TCAGGGCGCATCCAGGACAAGGGATCTAGAAAGTAGTGGGCACAGTCTTTGGTTGGAGCGATTACTAGTGCATCTATGCTTTCATCATCTTTCGTCGAGGGCGAGGTGTGCTTGAGCAGGTACTGTGAGGACGTTGCGAGCGCCCGTCTACCGACTGGTAAGTACTGACCAAAACAGACAATGAGAAGAGACTGCGAATGGAGCGATACTTACCTGCACTTGCGACATCTGAGCTCGAAGCCAGTGTTCTGATCGGCGACGTGCTCATCCTCGAAGCGAATCTTGTCGGCTTCAGGGGCCTGGCCACATGCGCGGCTCAGCTCGATCTCCCGTTGATAAACCCACCGTTGGTAGGCTGGAGACTGTTCAACGTTTTCAGGGGTATGCATCTCGCCATACAATTCTAGTTGCTTCATGAAGCCATCGTTCGGCTCGCATATCGATCGTGCCTGGCGCAGGTGCGACAATGCTTCTGCAGGGCTAATGTTGTGCTCTTGCATCAAATAAGCAATGACGACGGTAGCTGATCGGGATTTACCCATGGCACTAGAGAAGAAAGGTTGGCTGGCATATCGACACAAGTGGCTGAGGAAGAATGGAGTGGCAAACGAGCGGTGTGGGGAAAACTGCCCAGAAACCGGAGGGGGCGAGAGACGGAAGCTTGAGCGAAGAATGGATGCAAAACACGCGTGAAAGAGATACTGAGCAAAAACGGGTCACACCCCAGTTGACGCAATGTGCTCCTGTGAGGATGGCGAATGCGCCAAGAGGGGTATCCATTGGCGTTGATCGGGGGTTGAAGATGCATGTCTCAGCTCGACTAGGGCTGTACTCACCAATGGACAAGAACGCCGCCACCGCCATTCAGCCCTGCCTTGATAAACCGGTTGGTAGCCGGGAAGTGCTCTAGCAGGTTTTCGTCATCCACATCATCGACCTCGACGACCATGTGCTCCTTGAAAGGGCTGAAGAGGTCTTGATCGAGTGGCAAGCGCAGCACCGAAACAACGTGGGTGATGTTGGCTTGCTGTAGCGCCTCACGTCGTCTCAGAGTGAACATACTATCACGGACGTGTCAGTCTCCGTTGCACTCCCCAGACGTGGGCTGTGGGGGACTGCGAAACGGCAATCTGCAACATTACGTACCCACCAATGTACAACTGCAAGTCTCCCGGCACTTTATCGATGAGAGCCATGGCGACAAGCGTAACCGTGCAGGGCTATCCGAGAATAGTCGGAGCACCGGAGATGAGGAGGTGGGTTGAAACAAGCGACGGCGTGTGGTGTTGAGTGCTCATGTGCTTGAGCGTGAACTTTTCACCGAGGTTTCGTCAGTAGCGCCGACGATGGTCAAGTACGCGGCGTTGCAGCCCTTTTCGGAAAGCGCGAACCAGCAGTTGCCAGTTGATTTGACATTCGGTGATGCTCTTAGCCGGCAAATTCAATACAAACCTAGGAGATTCGAACAAGATGATTCTTAGGTCGTGGGTGCTATAGTGGACATGCCCTTGGCGGATGCATGATTCGCCGAGAGCGGGAGAGGCTTTCCGCACAGCGACGATCATCGGCCTAAATCTCAGGCATGGAAAGACGAACATCACATATTACTCGGTGGACAATATCAGCACGCATCATCAGCAAGCACAATTATGCCCAACGTGCAGATGGTTTGCTGGATTTGTCGCCGGACACGCCCCGGCATGCAAGGCCGTGGCACAGTCTGGTTACACGCTACAGAACTGGTAAGTACCGGTACGTCTCTCATAGGGCTAGCGACCGTGCCAGCAGCTCCCTGGCTTCGACGGTTTGACGCCAGCGGCTAGATGGGACATTCCGCACAATCGAACCACGGCCTTTCGTTGCGGCAGCACGAGCACCGGGACCCATCTCGGCTGACTGCTCCAAGCACGCGTCGTGTCCAGAACCTCCATCGCGGCGCTATAGCCTTCCTGTTCTGGAAGCAGCTCATATGGCTGATCCGGCTAGATGAGAATAGAGTTGCAATACATTGGGGGAAGGACCAATCGAGGCGATGAAGTCCTTGAAATGGCAGGCTTGTGCCACACGCGTCCCAATAGTGACCTTGGTACACAAACCGGGAGCGCGGTGGCATGTCAGTTAGTTGTTTACCAGATCCCAGCCTAGCTGCGCCGAGTCAGCTACCGGAGATACTGCGCTTCAGCACTCTGTACGGAGGGTACGCCCTGCTGTGCATCGACGAGCTGAGGGCAACAGGTGCCGCAAAAGTTTGTGTGTGCTCTCTTCAGACTATAGGCGTTTTTGGAGAGTGACTATCGCTTTATACGCGAGTCGTCCGGATGACTCGGAGGCTTATTGACTGCCTTCAGGCCTCGGGGCTATACAGCCTTGGCGATCCCCCTGCTGTTAGTACAGTACGAGTTGTCGCACCGCCTTGTGAGGGTGAGATTGTACAAGTGTCTTGTGCATCGCGATCAACAGATCACCGCGAGGCGCCCGACCAGACATGGACGGGCTCCCATCGAGTGTGACTAAACCCTGATGAATGGCCGCAAGCGAGGTAGGGCCTGGCGGCGCGTGGGGAACGTGTGATTTGCCCAGGCGCAAGGACAAGGACTGGCGTGGAATGGCTGGTAAGGCTGAGTGAACCGCTTTGACTTCCGTTACCCGCCTCGAGTCTGACCCTGACGCCGAGCCATCTGAGGCTTGCACCGCGTGCGGAGAGGTGCAGGACAGCGCTGCAGCCTGAGGCGTTCCGGCATGCGCCCACATTTCACACAGAGCACTCACCGTTGAGTGGCAGTCCAGCCCAGCGTGCGCTTGACGAGGACGATCGGCCTTGCTTTGCGTGAATATCGACAACGGCGGGCGGGTGGCACCCAATGCAGCGCTTGATTACTGTGGCCACGGTTGTTGGTCTGAGTGAGCGCGTCCCACGCTGCTGGAAACGCTCGTCGCCCGCGGCGATATTGACTCTCTGAACATGCAGCATCCAGGACTGGTCCTGGGAAGGTGAATCCATGGCGGCAGCCAGGCCAGCCGGGCAAATCTTACACCCAAGTGCCTAAAGTGCCTAACAATTCTGTGCGGCGCGGGGTGGTTAGCATGGAGCGGCTTCGGACGAGAAGGGGTTCGGCAGACTTCTCGAAAGCCCCAGAGACATGGTTCGGTGGTGTGTCGAGTAAGGACTGCAGATGAGGTTCCCATCCCTGCGACTCCACCCACCGCTATGATCCGTGCTGGTAGTCGTGGTTGCGGCCAATCAGCGCCAACAGGCACAAGCAGACGGTCGTGCTTAATACTGGTGGTTCCCGTGGGACGCCCGTGGTTTGCGTTGCTTGCTCTGCTCTGCTCTGCTTCTGTTGTCTGTTGTCTGTTGTCTGTCGCTTGCTTGCCCGCAAGTGGAGAGCACACCACACCCTCGGTCAATCAATCAATTCTCCCTCCCTGATTATCGCAGTCCGGCTGGACGCAGGGACACTCTCTCCCCTCTACACAGTATCCGCCTTTCCCACGCCCGTCTACCCGCCTCTCTTGCGCAACGCTAGGGCGGTGCCAGTGCTGTTCGCTGCGGTGAGACCATGAACAGTGCGCGTTGAGTGCTTCTTCGTGCTTCGTGCTTCTCGCTTCTCCACCTGGACGACTGCCAGAGCCTCCGCCAACGCACCCCCTTCGCTGGGCGTCAGGAACCGCAGTCAATATTGCGTTGCGTGGCGGTGTCCGGCCAGGCTTCAGCTAGTAGCGGCGTGGATTGCTTTGGGGCTTCCCTTCAGCCCTATTGCGCTAGGAAAAGCGCCCCCCGCCGCTCAGCAGCCTCGCACACGGCCTCAGCAGCACGGGTACGCGTTCTTTTGCCTGCGCTCTGCGGCTGCTCGACACGCTCTGCGCTGCCCAGGTTCGCGCCCCCTTTCCCCCATTCTCCATTATTGCCCACCTGGTCCCGTCCCAGCTGTGGTCGTCGCGCTCTCCCGACCGCCCCTTCCTGTTTCGGCCAGTCCGTCTGCACCTTCCCGGCTAACGCTCTCAACTAGAGCCCCGAGGCCCGTGCGCCTTCCAGCACTCCAGTAGAGAGCGCATCCACGACGCAGTCCTTCACTCTGCGGCATTCGCCACACGTGCGGCGCTCGTGTGCTGCGAGGCACGCTTCAGCTGCCAATAGGTGGCGGGCCCCCTAACGACACCACTGCCCGTGGCCCGTGGCCCTACCATGTCGTCTGCGAGCAGCACCCCGAGCATTCGGGTATATGAGTCCCATCGCTACGCACTGCCACACCACCACCGCGCATCCCAGCCGAGCCCAGCTGTCGCCATGGCCATCCCAAGAGCCCGCGAGGCCATCCCGCCGCCCTTGCCTCCGCCGCGTCACATCGAAGACATCAGCGCCGGTCAAGACCCCGGCTGGCAATGGGGTAACACCAACAGTCCGAGGGACACTGGCTTTAGCGGAAACCGGCTCGCAACAGTCAGACCTGGCTCTAGCTTGTATGGTGGAGCAGCCGGCTCCCAGGCGCGTCCGCGGTCAGTCCTCGGCCGATTATGACTTCAGGGCCCGCGAACCCTCCATCTCCCTGTCCTTCGACGACATGAGCTCGGAAAACAGCCAGGAGCACACCGACGACGAACGCGGCGCCAAGACCCGGCCGCCGCTCGGAAACCACAGGTAAGAGCTTTTCCCAAAATCCGGGGCACTTGCCGCCACCACAAATTAAATACGCTTGTCATCAATTGATGCCCACGCACGAATGCGGTTTTGAGAATCGGCTTCCTGACATGCTGCATGGCTTGAAACGGCACGTGCCCGCACGGCGTCTGCCTCTCGCTCGTCCTTGCCCTCGTAGTCTTTCATGGAACATTACTAAATGGACGGCAGATTCACAAGCGAGCGACAGCTGGGCCAGCAGGCGCTGCAGAGCTCTTCGCATGCGTACGATAAGCAGTTGCTGTCAAAGATAGGCGGACCCAACACGCCGACAAGAGCGAATGCGCCGCCCCTCTCCAGCAGTGCTCAAGACTCATCAGACGCTCATCCCCCACTTCACAAGCTCAACAGTCTGAAGCCTCTCTCTGTTCCTGACCGTCTGCATCCGGCTCTAGACTCCCCTGCATCCAAGTGGCCGCCGTCAGGAGCCATCTCTCCGGGATACCCTGGCTTCCGCAGTCCCATCTTTGATTCGAGCTCCAATGATTCGCATAGAGGAAGATTTGGCAGCATTTCCACCCCTGGACCCTTTGACGAGACATCGTCCCAGCATCGGGGCAGCTACGACCACAGCATCTTCTCCGAACAGGAATTTGGCATGGAAGAAAATGGCATGCGTGAACTGAACATCAGCGACCGCAGCCCCGCCGAGTCTGACGAGTACCATTTAGGCCCGAAGGGCGGCCTTAAACGACGCGCCTCCTCACCACCTTTGGAAGCCGCACGCGAAGACCGGCCCACGACCAGCGGCCCTTCGGACTTGTACCACCGCCGCTCGGCACAAATGCTTGTCAACCGCAATTGCGCTGCTTCGCGCTTTCAGGCAAGTCAAGGCTCCATATCGTCGGCCTCATCGCTGGGCCAACGCACTGGCTCGATTGGATCCTCCTTTGGGTTCTCGACGGCTGCTAGCAGCATGACAAGTTATGGTGGGGACCAACGTCTGTCGCCCAACGCCTTGTCGCCTCGAGGAGAGACGGACTCGGGCCCCGTGTCGCCATATGCAGCTAGTCGATCGCTTAACCCAAGCCCTCGCAGCTCCTTATCACGACCACAGCACCAACGAGGCCCTTCGGAAAGCGATCAGCCGCAGAATCGGAAAATGTCCACAGATGGCGTGCTGCACCCTCGACACAATTCAGTGGCTAGCCGCATCCCCGGGGCCTACATATGCGAGTGCTGTCCCAAGAAGCCCAAAAAGTTTGATAGCGAGGAAGAACTGCGGTAAGTGCTACCCGATTCCTCCACCGCCATTTCTTGGAATTTTGAACTGACGATGCAATAGTCTCCACGAACTAGAAAAGCAGTACATCTGCCAATACTGTCCAAATCGGTTCAAGAACAAGAACGAAGCAGAACGGCATCAGAATTCTCTACATCTCCGACGCCATTCATGGGCATGCGCAGCGCTTGCCGGCGTGCATTCCGCGTTTCACCCATCACCTACCCGTCCGTCGGCTGCTGATATTTGCGGATATTGTGGCGAAGAATTTCCTAACCCCGCTGACTGGGACGCGCGGTCTGAGCATCTCAATCATGTTCACAAATTTGGCGAATGTAACCAAGCCAAGAAATTCTTTCGTGCTGACCACTTCCGACAACATCTAAAACACAGTCACGCTGGTACCAGCGGCAAGTGGACCAACCTGCTGGAGAACGCGTGTATGCGTGATGAGCCGCCACCACAGGAACGTATGGGCTCGGTCAGTTCTCTGTCTGGTCATTCAGGTGGTCCTCTATCATCGAAGCCTGGAGTTATTAATGAAGTACACGACGAATCTTAATCGATTCGCAAGCACCTGTCGCCTGTCGTGCACGATGACACGATTGTAGGTCGCAGTAAGGAACGGGCACGATCCCGTCTGTTTTTTTATTTGCACATCATTTCTGCAGCCGTTCATCCCAGGCGGAGCTGTTCGGCCGGCAGATGATATTACATCTGCCCATGAGCCATTGTCATTGGAGTCTTGTCATCGGAAAAAGCCATGTCTACGCATAATGCCTTGCTATTTACCAAACTCGGTCGACGTTATATAACGATTTTGATGACGGCATCTTCGTATGCGATCCTGCGAATCGCTCCTGTGTTTTACAGGTTTCTGTTCGGGTTTAGCGACGATACTGTTGCATTTCAAGGGTGTTGGCCTATCGATTTGGGCTCATCGACGGATCGGTCGCCGTGGCCGTGATCAGCGGCCCCTAGTATTATTCCAGCTCATTGCTGCATTCAGACTTCTCGAGTCACAGGCGTATCATATATTCAACATGTACACAATTGCATACTCGGCTGTCTTTCATCCATCGCCTTCCCCTTTTTTCTCCGCTGGTACGAAGGACCTGAACTTGCATACAGTAATAATCTTCGAACGTTCACAACAGCATCATGTTCGGTGCGACTACACGACCTTGAACCTAGTACAACTGGCCGTCGCCCGGCCAATATACATTAGCTTTCGATCTCATCGCAAACTACCATAAAACATCGATGCAACAGCTAGTAAGATATCATCACCTAAAGATCGATCGACAGGGTGGTCTTTGGGTTGTCATTAGCAATGCAATTACCACATTGAATCCTGATTCTGGACAACAAGCGTGGGGTGATCACGCAGGCGAAGTCAGCAATACTGAAGCGAACAAGACGATACGGTTAGCTCAGAAACAAGCATAATTCACATGCATAAATGAGCTAGGGAGGGGTATGATAATGGGGCTACCTGGGGTCGAATGTTTCTGCCTGTAAGCGTGGTCGATGCTGGCCTCAGGCACAAAGCGACAACGAAGCCTTGAGGTTCACTAATACTCTACCAGTACACAATCAAGCAAAGAAAAATTTCAACGAATGAGTCTGTGTTCGCCCAGACGATGCCCTTACTTCTTTTGCCCAGGCTATGCATCTACAAGAGTACAAAGATGTACGGGGCCGTCTCTCAATTGATACCATAGCCTATTCCGATTTGCAATTCGCGTCACCTCGCCGCATGGCTCCAGAAATTAAGTCCAATCTTCCACGGCCCGACTCTCAATCTCGCGTCCTTATCACCACCGATGCTAGAGCCATTGCACGATTCAAAGCTCACGACAGCACCTCGTCGGGACTACCGTGGTCATGTACACGCATCTACGGCACTTGAGGGATCATCCCAACGATCAGCCTGACTTTACACAACCCTGCCTTGCTCTCCAAAGTCTAACCGCCCCAGATCAAACTACAGCGGGAGTCTGTGCGTCCTAGCGCTGATGTCAGCACGTGCAACTCGTCCTCACGGTTCGGGAACTGTGGGGTGCAGTTAAGAACGTTTGCTGATCTAGAAGATTTGCCAGGTCTTGAGAAGGAGTAATCGCCGACCACTGTGGGTTATTGCGTGGCTCACGTGGGGAAGTGGGGTTAGGCTGACGGGCGGAGGTTTGGGGTGGTGCTTGTAAAAAAAAAAAGAGGCATTGCACGCGAAAGCAATACACGTACGCATAGAGCTGCTTAGAAATGGGATACGGTATAGCACAGAACTTTCAACCCGAGGAAAGCATCCACCACGTTCTGGAACCAGCTTACTTGCGTTAGCCACGTATACCCACCAGTTCGTATCCTTGAACCTTCAGCACTCATCACCTTCAAAACCAAAACCATAACCTATGTCTCCGGAGATGATGTTACACAACATTCCCGTCCCGATCTTCAAACTTGGCAATGAAACGGCCGGTTTTCCCAATCCAGGCAAATGATCAGCCCGCGATCTACATCATCTCCCTTGACTATCGGAGACAAGCCCGTTGGATCATTCATTCGATTCGGCACGTGGAAACTGTCAGACTCCGAAAGTCCGGGTTCCGATCATGCACGTCTGCGATTCATGATGGGCGAGGGGTTGGGGGTTGGGGGTTGGGGCTGGGGTAGGGAATCGGAGTACCCTTGCGTGCTTGCTAGGTGAGAGCACGGCCGGTGACATAAGCATTGGTAAGCTTGTAGGTTTGGTTTACAAAGGGTGACGATGGGGAAATTGTCGGTGGTTTGGGGAAGGTTTGGGGAAGGACCCGGGAAGGAAGGGAAAAGGGTTGGGCTTCGGGGCAGCCTTTGAGTTGGGGGGAGCTTGCTGACTTGGAGGTTGGCTGATAGAGGTGGAATCTGACTGGATTTGCAAATGCTTGCCGCCTTGGAGTGCAGGCTTCGACGCATTAGATTCTGCAATTGATATGTCGATGATTTAGTACGCGCTGGCGCAGTGCAACCATTATCAGACTTTTCTGGCATGGTGCCTTCACTCTTCCCACGCGCAAACTCCGCCTAAGAACCACCACAGGTCTGGCGCTTCACATTACATCCCTTCCAAATCTCATGCCAAAAACCGTACCTACACGCACAAGCGCCACATATCCATCATTCCTTTCATTGGCCCGCCCGTGGGCGTAAGTGGAGCCACGGCGACGCCGAAGGATGCGGCTTGCATGCACGTCGGCCCTACGGTAGGGCAGAACAAAAGCAAAACGCAGCGGCTCACAACTTGTTTTTGTCGTTCGCCTTGCGCGCCTGGGCGTGTTGGTTGTTTATCTGAGTCGGCCGTTGTGGAGAGGTATGGCGAGCTAGATGAGCTTGGAGCTTTGCAGACCCTGGTTGGCGTTCACGCGCGCCATCTACAACGCAACGAGGCTCCACGGGGACAGATCTCAAAGGAAGACATTATCGCCTGGCGAAATCTCACTTAAACGAGTAGAAGCTAGTTTTGAACAAGACAAGCGTGCATGTCACTCTTATCCCCTTTCCCTCAACAATTACAAAGCTCGCGCCGGCGTCAGCAACGCATGCCCGCATCGTCGCGCAAACCCTAAGCGCGCGGTTTCCGCGTGCCGCGCAAAGCGGGTGGATCGCGGCTGCGGGATCTGTGGGGTATTTCGTCCCGGAGTGAACCAGATATGCTGCTCCGCAACGAATCTGGAAGGCACGATGGCCAGAGCCTTGTGTGTAGTGCCGATCGAGGGATATCTCCGGAGTGAATGCAGGAAGATTTAAGCTTGGTGAGATGTGGAGATGTCACTGTGCATTGCGCGCGGGGATTTGACGACGCTGTGGAGGAGTTTGGTGGTACGAATACTACTTTCGAGGGAATAGGCTGGGATAGAGATAGTGTAGCTCTTTGAAGCTAGCGGTAAAGACTTAGATGAATTGTTAGTTTCGCTGTGTTGGTGAAGTCTAACGCACGGCTTCGGTAACCGTCCTCGTATAGCTTTGCACTCGACGACGAAGCGACGAGTAGCTTCACAAACCCAGCACTGTGTGCAGCTACTTACTGTCTTATGCACGGCATGTAGTCGTGGCAGACTGTAAAAGGCTAGTACGCAGATCCCACAGGTCATGGCCAACATTCTGCAGTCGTAAATATGTAGTCGAAATGAGAGGATTGCCAATGTGCGTTGAAGCATCTCCACCCAATTGTCATACATGTATTGCCGGACCTTGGCAACATGCTACTGCAGTGTGGTGATCGAATCTAGGTGAGTCTATATGGTAAGGGGTGCATACCCCAATCGTATGGCGTTTGCGACTTGGAGTGGACTGCAAGGACACGATTCCGTGTAACGAGTCTAAACGGTCTGGAGGGAAATCCACCCTACTGTAGGCTGAAGGACCACGCTAATACTTACCGAGTGATTGTTAATATGCACTGCGTTTAAGAACCCCACACTACTTCATGTATACAGTTCTCTGTGATAGGGTACCCGGGCAGTATCGGAGTCTGGCATGCAGAGATGGGCAGATCAAGGGCTTCACGAGAGCGCCTTTGCCTTCAAATGGGGTCTGAACTTTTGATGAAGTAATCATCCCCAGCAGAAGCAGACATACAGGTGAAGACTGGACCAGAGTCAGATGTTGTTTATTTAGAGTGTCACTAAAGTTAAGTTGAGAACAATATCTATGACGGGCGTAAGGTGACAGTCAGTATTCGAGGTGGAGCCGTTTTCTCGACAAGACCTATATGACAGTGCGCGACCGAAACCGGATTGAAGTGTAAGCGCGTAGCTTGTTCTCGGAGATCGGAATCCGTATTCAGGTCGCGTTAAGGTAAGTCGTTCAAGCGGGAAACGATATGCAGTAGGACGTATGAAGGACAGACGCAGTGGGGAACTGGGTGACCGAAGAATGTACAAGGGCAAGCCGGTGAGGGCTATAAACAGATCAACATCCGTCATCCACATCGTAGCACATGATGGTATTCGGCAAACATGGATGGCGGTCCGCCCACTAATTGCTGACTGCATTGTTGGTGTAAGGATGGAGGACTAGCTGCAGTGAGCGGGTCATCATTTGTGTATCGATTGCCAAGGAGGCGTTGCCCGCTGTCAGAGAGGTAGATGCAGAGGATGTGCTATGATGCCAGAATGTGTGACAAAGGTCTGGCAATCCGGTTGCGCATAACCGGATCTCGATGATGTTGCAAAACCTGTAAGCTACTAGGCAACGTTGCGTATCATCACGAAGTCCAACGTGCAGTACACTGTTGCAATTAGTTGTCACTACTGTATGTGCTGACGAATTACTATACCTATTGAGGGTTGCCGGAGGGAACAGACGGAAAGTTTGCGGGATTGTTGAGCCTTTCCCGGTTGCGTTTGGCGACTTCCGCGTTTCTTAGTTTGTCTAAGCGCGACTGGTAAAAGCTCCTTCATCCATAAGTATAGACTTCACGGGGGGTAGATCGCGGCTGCGGGGAGCCAGTGCCGCATCAGTGACTTACTTGTTGAGGTGGTATATGCGGGGGCCAAGCTCGGTCTGAGATTGTTCTTTCGACTTGGAGAGCTCTTTGATCTGTATCACTATTGATTAGTTTGTCGATACGAAGTTGCGGGTGTGGACATACTTTGTCTTCTTTGGCTTTCTCATCTTGTTTGTCCTCTTCTTCATCCTTGCTTTGTGCCTCCTTCTCTTTCGCCTTGTCTTTCTCTTTCTCTTTTGTCTTCCGCTTTTCGCGCTTCAATCTCTGCTTCTCCTCATACTCTTTCTTGACCTTTTCAATCTGAGCATCGAGTTCGTCCTTTTTCTTCTTGACTTCGAGAGCTGTAACTTCCTCGGCATCAGGCTGACAAAATCCCCGGTCAAGCAAATGCCCCGGACAAATGTAGAAGAAGTCCTATAGCTGTGAGAAGATACTGAGTTATCCTAGTGCATTTATATACCTTATTATTTGGAGTGATGAGGACGCTTGTTGTGGGCTTGTAGCATATCCAGCAGGCTTTGGAAGCGTTGTCGGCAACCTTACGCAAGTGCCACGTGTTCTCCATGACCGATTTAAACTCAACCGCTTCACTCGTGTAGGAGCGGAAGTCGATGCAAAGAGCAGTAGGCTACTTGAGCTGATATGATGTGGAGATGGTCGTTGACGGGAGCACGGGAGCGCCACGATTCAAGGTTTATACTAGTCCGAGAAAAGCTTAGTCTCACCACTTGAGGCAACTTCCATCATGATACAATTTGTGAACATTCATCGCATTCACATGTCCATCTATGCGGCACAAGTAAGAAGGCATTTGATCTCGGTTCCTGCTCTGAAGCAACCGATCAGACGATCTTGTGCGAGAAAACCCACCATATCAACCCCGAACCAGTATTTTGCACGCGTTCCAAATCTAACTGCGTATACCACATCCGCAATGGCAGCCGAAACTCTCAAACTGAAATACATTGATGTTGGTCCGCAAAGCATCCGCTACCATATGTAGACCCACTGATAGCAACCAGATCGGTATCAACTTCACTGACCCAGTCTTTCGAGGCGAATACCATGGCACCCAACGCCATGAGAACGATTTCGAAGACGTCATCCAACGCGCCTTAGATGCTGGCTGCAAGAAGTTTATGATCACTGGCTCCGATCTGGATGAATCGAAACACGCCATCGAAATCTCAAAAGCACATCCAGGTCGATGCTACGCTACTGTTGGCGTGCACCCATGTTCCGCGAAATTGTTCGACTCGTACCCTGGTGGACCTTCTGAATTGCTTTCTGCGTTACGCAAGCTTGCACTAGAAGCGAAAGAGGCTGGCTATGCTGTTGCTTTTGGAGAGGTCGGGCTAGATTACGATCGTTTGTTTCTGACGCCGAAGGAGCAGCAGCTCAAGTACTTTGAAGCACAGCTTGAGATTGCTGTCGAGGTGCAGCTGCCACTATTTTTACACTCACGAGCTGCGAGCGAGGATTTTGAGCGACTACTCAAGGCCAAGCTGGAGCAGTTGCCGAAGCGCGGTCTGGTGCATAGTTTCACAGGCACTGTAGAGGAAATGCAGAGCCTGGTCGACTTGGGATTCGATATTGGTGTGAATGGCTGCAGCATGAAGAGTAAGTCAGCCTAAAAGCCCTTATGGCAGTCAGCTAATGCGATCACTAGCGGAAGAAAACATCGAAGTCGTAAAACAGATACCACTAGAACGCTTGCAGATTGAGACAGACGGACCTTGGGTAAGCTACATCTTTGATGGTAAATAACAACTCACTGATTCGCCACAGTGCGAGATGCGTCCAAGTCATGCATCAGCAAAGTATCTCAAAGATGCTCCGCCTCTTCCCAAGTCAGTTAAGAAGGAGAAGTTTTCGAAGGGTCTCATGGTGAAGGGAAGGAACGAGTCTGCCACGATACCCCATGTCGCATACGCGATTGCTAAGATCAAAGACGTCACTGTGGACGAAGTATGCGAAGCGTAAGTCTTTGGCTCTCTACCCTCAGGTCTACGACTAATGTGTGTATAGCGCATGGAATAATTCGATCATAATGTTCGGGCTGGGCGAGTCGTCTCCAAAGGAGAGCTATGTGTCAGCTTGAGGTCATAAAACAAGGGCAATATAGACGCATGAAGAATCTGCTAGCAAAGCATAGCCATAATAATTTGGTGAAAAAGTTGATCTGTACAAGAGGATGAAGACCTCGAAGCTCGCAAGCATAATGACCACCGCACATATTCGCCCGACCCAAATGCACTCTCTACTTCCTGTACCACATTCTAGTGATCTTTGTATGCCTCATCTTCTTCTGCAACTGGAAGATGCCGTACATCAGCGCCTCAGCCGTTGGTGGGCATCCGGGCACGTAGATGTCGACTGGTACGATCCTGTCACATCCTCGGGTGACCGAGTAGCTGTAGTGGTAGTAGCCGCCACCGTTTGCGCAGCTGCCCATGGAGATGACCCATCGTGGGTCGGGCATCTGGTCGTAGACCTGTCGTAGCGCGGGCGCCATCTTGTTTGTGAGGGTTCCGGCGACAATCATGACGTCCGACTGACGAGGCGAGGCACGGAAAATTATACCAAGACGATCCTGATCGTATCGTGGGGTGGACAAGTGCATCATCTCGACGGCACAGCATGCGAGACCGAAAGTCATAGGCCAGAGGGAGCTCTGACGTGCCCAATTGGCCATTTGATCGAGGGTGGTACTGCACATCACATTAGCCACCGTGGTTCTCGCCAATCCTTCCTGAGGTTTTGTAGACAGGTTCGACATACAGCGCATATTGGATGGCGCCCTTCTTGCCCTCCTGACTCGGCAATGGCACCTCCCGTCGCGCAACCTTCATGGGCGGCGGTGTTCCCGGGTTACCGGGGACTGTGGCGGGTGTCGTCATCGCCTTGTCGGAGGAGCTCGAGGAGAGGAAAGCTGTGTTTCCTACGCGAAACGGCATGAGCGCGGTCGCTGGCCTGGCTGCACGACTTGTTAGTTCCTGAGGGGATTGAGCTTTTGCAGTGGCGGTGTCGCACCTCGTAGGGCCATTGAGGCCGCAGACCTTGTTGTCGACAGCATTCTGGCGACAAACAGAAAGGAAATGCGTGTGGAGAAGGAGTGGAGAGTGAAGGTTGCGGGGTGGCGGTTGGATAACTCGCGATTGATGTCGATGATGAATAGCCAGAACGCCAAGCTTTCATACGTTAGCCGATTCCCCACGCATTTGATTGGCTGTGCGGCGATCGCTCCTCCACCATCACGATTGTGGCCTGCTACTACACATGACCATCGGCATCTTACCGGAAACACCTAAAGGAAACACCAAATACTTGGTCACAGCCCTTAGCATCTTATATACCAGCAGATCAGCACAGGCTCATAACTCCGACCGCCTCCAGGCCTCAAGCCGCTGTGATACCCAACAGGCAAGCCCATAGACAGCATGGCTCGTCCTTCTATCGCCTGCATAGGCGTAATCGGAAAACACGTAAGTCTTGTCAGTGGGTGTCTCGTTCCATCATTGTGAGCTCACCGCCGATCAGAACAACCCACTTCACATCTCACTATTTCCGGCTGAAGAGCGGGCGCCTCTCGAGTATCAATTCCTACTAAGCTCATGCCTGGACATATTTGAAGCTCGTCTGCCGCACAAGACAGCAGACCAGGACTTTGGTCTTCTCCAAGCTGTCGATGAAAGACTAGCAATGTATGGGTGGCTGACCAATACTGGTGTCAAATTCGTCGTTGTTGTCGACATGGAGGGACGGCCAGCTACTGCGCAAGATGGCAAAGCACCTGCAACCATCGGGCTTCGAGATGCAGATCTCAAACCGGTGAGTGCGCAAGTAGACTCAAATGACAGCTCTAATGAGAGGCAGGCTTTCAGAGCTCTACAAACAGCATACATCATGCTTCTAAGGAACCCATTCTACAACCCAGATGAACACTCACCAGTGACAGCAAATGAAGAACAGAGAATTGGCTCGACACAAATCACGAGTCGAAAGTTCATCCAGGAAGTCAAAAGGATCGCCGACGCATGGTCTCCAGGAGTTGCCAGCATCTAAGTGCCTTCTCTTCATAATTTAGCATTATACCACATTGCATAGGACGGCGTTCAGTCTTCAGAATACACAGCCTTCATCAGTACAACATTCTTCTGGCATCGACTCGTCTCGGTCTTTCTGCGGCTATATTGATTCGTAACAGAGCCCACAGATGTGAACTCAAGACTCCAGGAATAACTTCATTTGATAGAGAGACACTGGTCTTGGAAAGTCAATAGGCTTTTTCAACCTTGAGCTCGTTCTCTACACAACCAAGTTCTCGGAATCACATTTCAAAATTCGGGCGATCAACGGAACAAGTCTCGATCGTGGGCTAACGCCGTTTCCGGCTTAGATAACTTTAAGCATTGAACACCTCGGCCATTCAACATCTTCATCAACATCGAAGCATTTGCAGTCTTGATTTGCTTGCAAATGTCCTCCAAATGTCGGGTACTGGGGTCACGATCACGAACCCGCTGGTTCTGTATCGAAGTTTGATAGCAACGCAAAAGATACGGCCGGATCCAGCCCAGCATCGCCTTGGTATGGAATGACGTCGACCATTCTCCCATGTCAATCACACACTGATATGGTTTCCAGCATTACATCTACAAAAACTCTACGAAAACCTGATCGACTATGAACCCTCTGTAGAATACTCTAAAAGATTACAACAGCTGTCTCGAGCTGTCGAATCTGGCCAAAATGCTGCACCACCACCACCAGCAGACCTGGCCTCTCGAAGTTTGCGAACGCGAGGCCTATGGAACTCATTGCTTGCTCAAAAGCAAAACAGAGACTCTATGGAGTTGACTCGTGTTTTAACCGACCATGAACAAGCTATGCAGCTACAAAGTCCGAAAGGTCTCATGTTGCACGGTGAAGTCGGGACAGGGAAGTCTATGCTCATCGACCTGTTCCAGGATTGTCTACCGAATCGGAAGAAGCGCCGTTGGCACTTCAACAGCTTCATGCTTGATACAATCTCTCGACTTGAACAAATTCGCAGGTCTCGAGCAAGGATAGCTGGGCCGGAGGCAACGCATGACGAAAACTCACTTTTGATAGTGGCGCGCGACCTTATCGAAACATCGCCAATATTGTTCCTAGATGAGTTCCAGCTACCGGATCGCGCAGCTGCCAAGATTCTATCGAACCTCATGACCTCCTTCTTCCAACTCGGAGGTGTACTTATTGCAACAAGCAATCGTATGCCAGAGGATCTTGCCAAAGCTGCGGGCTTGGAATTTGATGCCCCCAAAAGTAGACAAAGCCGGCTAGGATGGTCAATAGGAGGACGTCCTGGTGCGTCCAGAAGAGACGAAGGGCCTGGTCAGAAAGGCGAGTTCGCGGCGTTCTTGGAAGTGTTGAGAGCTCGCTGTGAAGTCTGGGAGATGGAAGGGAAGAAAGACTACAGGAAGCTTGAGTACGAAGACAGATCTCAGAGCACTACAGGAACTCAGACAACCACAACCACTACTACGACTTCGACAACAGTAAGCATAGGTGGTGCAAATCTCGCCAAGGAGGCGGCACAAGATGAGCAGGACTCAAAAGACACTACGTCCCCACCAAGCATTACTTTGCCCAAGAACTATCTCGTCCAGCCTTCTACTGCCGAAGAGCTTACAACGTTTGCGGAAACTTTCAATGCCCTTGTCGAGCGCGCAACCTCAACATCCTACCCCATTCCCTGGGAATCTACCACGATCACAGTGTACGGTCGGCCAATAGCTATACCTGCTCAACACAATGGTGTCGCCTTCTTCACATATGAAGAATTGTGCGGTGCCGCTCTCGGGCCAGCAGATTACATAACCCTGGCATCGACCTATCACACCTTCATCCTCACAGATGTACCTGTCATGCAGTTTCTGCAAAAGAATGAAGCAAGGCGAATGATCACTTTGCTCGATGCTCTGTACGAAGCGCGATGCCGCCTCCTCGTCACTGCTGCAGCAGGCCCAGATGACATTTTCTTCCCCGAGCCTCCAGCTTCAGCGACTGGTACCGTTACCGAAGAACTTGTGGACGATGCCGTCTATTCCGAGACATACTCCGAGATCTATCAAGACGCCACATCGCCGTTCAGACCCAACATATCTTCTTATGGCGGCGACACACTTGCGCACGACGCGCTGGAAGACGATCCGCCAAACAAGACTCGCATTCCTGGCTCATCTTATACTGACGAGCGCAGACTCAGCGACGGCAGCAAAGCACCCGACTTCGCTAACATTGGCGGCCTGACAGGAGAAGACGAGCGCTTCGCCGTCAAGCGCGCAGAAAGCCGCATCTGGGAAATGTGCTCCAAGCGCTGGTGGGAGCGTGGCGCCACCGACGACGCGTCCGCAGAGCCAGACATGTCATGGTGGCGTCCTCTTCCCGTCACATCGCGGCACTGGGAGCGCGCGTCTCTTGCGCAGTCCACGCCTAGTGCTACATCGCTGCCACCGAACGTCAAGGTCTTATCGGCAGATGAGCAACAGGGGCAGTTGTTCCCGCATGGTGCGAGTCCGTTCAGGACGAACCCAGATGCGCCGCCGAAGATTGATTGGACGCATGTTTGGGGGACGGTCAAGTGGGGGAAGAAAGCTGGGGCTTGGGGGAAGGGTGTGGAGGGGTTGGAGGAGAGGAAGAAGGATGAGGGTGATGGGAAGGATGGAGGAAAGTCAGGGTAGAGTTTGGCTTAGACAAATGTTAGGGTGGATTTAGCTCACTCGTTATGTCAGTGCAGTCTCTCTTGAACCATGGAACGGTGACTGCAATCGACACTGTGTGCGAAAGTTGCTGCTATAGGAAAGGGTGGAAGGGATGGTGGCAAGGCAGGGTGAAATGTGGCTTAATACGAATGTCAGAGTGGATCGTAGCGAGATTGTTGTGTCAGTGCTGTCTCCCCCTGAACCGTGGAACGATGACTGGAATCGACACTGTGTGCGAAAGTTGCTGTTATAGGAAAGGGCAGAAGGGATAGTGGCAAGTCAGAGTGAAGTCTCATTTGGATTAGGATGTTAGGGCTTGTTGTGGCTCACTTCTTGCGTCAGTGGTGACTCTGTCTGAACCATGGAATGCTCACTACTATCAACACTGAGCCCGAAAGTTGCTATTATAGGAAATATAGGAAAGGGAAAAGAAACTACACACGGCACGACAGCGGAAGCCAAGGTGTGTTGGCACCACAAGGTCTGTCAATTTCTGCTGGTGATTCTTCTTAACCATGGAATCTTAGCTGCGTTCGACACTTCATCTGCCAATATACTGCATCGAGTAACCCTCAGCGGAAGCCAAACGCAAGCGCAGTTACGAGAGATGGGACCTTACCGCTCATCACCGATCTCAATCAAACCTACCAGGGGACTTCCGTTAGAGACCAAATGTATTGCCACCATGGCACATGTCATATTACTCCATCGTGTCTGTCTGAACCATGGTGCTGAAGCGGGAGCCAAAGGTCAGGACTGCCACGCCATATGTCATTCCCATCACTCGTCTCTTCTTCATCCACGGAATTCTAGCTACGTTCGACACTTGTCAGTCAAACCTTCCAAATGAGGCAGTTCGCAGCGGGAGCTAGCTGTCATGGCGGTGAGCAACAGGAGCTTGTATGGGCCGCTTTCGCCACCGAACAAGCCACAGGGGCATCGGCCATAATTAATCTACCGGCGCAACCCACACTTTGCATCGTGCGACTTGCGAACCACGGATCGAGGAAATGAGATTCTGAGACCGCGACCGGATTTTGCAATGCTGCAATCCACACTTGCGACTTGGACCTGCTCTTTTGGGTAGGTTGGGGGGAAGGGGGGCGCGGAATGAAACACAGGTGAACACCATGGCGAGTGACGGCTGTCGACATGCGAGGCCCCGACCGACGTCGCGTTCGTGTCGGAACGCCTCTGACGTGAAGGGTTCCAGGCGGATCGTGTCGGACTCCCATATCAGGAACTAGAGTTAATTGTAATGAGGGCCCGGCTGGAGGGTGGGAGACTGTTCCGGCAAGTTGGCGCGTCGTGTAGTCGATACGACTACCGCGGGCCGGTGCCACGACATGCTGTTTACCCCAGAATATAACGTGTCGAACGTGTCGAACGTGTCGAACGTGTCGCATGGCTTCATGATGATCTTCAAGAAGTACCATGGTACCGATCAATGTCTAGTCTCAAGAGAAAAGGCTGATGTCAAGTCTCTGTACCGTCTTTCGTTGTGTTAGGTCGCCGTAAGTTGCCGGTCCATTCAAGGAGTGGTGCCCTACTTTGTTTGGTGATGCTTGCGAGAGACGGCGCACGGTGAAGAGCATCGCAAGCACAACCTGAAGCAACGCAAGCATATTCGCATCAATCCGCAATCGCCACATTTGAACATGGCTCCAGGTCTCGTGGCAACCTCGGTGTGGCTAAGCAGTGACTTAGTTTGCTCACATGCACGCTCGCTACCACGCAATTGCCAGGCACACGCATCCAGCACTGGCGACCCTCTGGTTTCAGAATTGAAGGCTCTCTCACCTACTCAGTATCCTAATCCGGCATGCCAGGCTGCAGTCGTGAGCATGTTGTCCTCATACATTACTCGTCGGTTCTCGAGCTCTGGAGTTGTTCCGTCTGGCGAAGCGAGCAGCGATGACGGCACCCCTTCAACTCCCCAGCTTGCATGTGACAGTCCACCCAACTCTCCACCAGACTCAATTTCGACTGTCTAACGCGCGATGCGACTGAGGTCTCCACCGCCGAGAATAGACCCGCTTCCCTGATCGAGCGATTTCGACGTTATTCGTCTTTTTCCCGTCCTGCGCAGGATGCTGTGGAGGAGGAAGACGACAATGGCCTGACCACATGCAACACAACACTCGCAGCACCCATTCCTATTTCACGTGACGCCAGCATGCCGCAGGACTCGTCTCGCATCCTAGACGACGAGCTTCGTCAGCTGAGCCTCGATCCTGCACCCTCGAGCGCGCCAGCAACCCCTTCAGGGCTAAACAGCAGACCTACCATCGTCCAGCGAAATGCCACCACAGTCTCCGAGTCGCTGCCAGCCGACGATGGCATGGCACACCTTCGAGACCGCATACACCAGATCAGAGACCTGAAAATCACAGAACAGGAGCGTGCGCGTATGGTCCATAGCCTCATGACAGAGCGCTACAATCACATGCGGCCCACGTCACCAAGCAGCTTCATCTCTCACGACCGTCCCTTTACGCCTAACTCTAGCCACTCCGTCTTCTCAGACGCGCAAGCCTCTTCGTTGATATCTGCCGCGTCCGACATCGACCCCGAGAATCCGTACAGTCTGCGGCCGGGCGACACCAATCCTACATACCGCCCGCCCCGTCAACACGCAGTTGCAGAGAATGGCGAAGAGGAAGAGGACGATGCTGCGGGAGATCCACCTTCTCTTGGATGCCAGCACTACAAGCGGAATGTGAAGGTGCAATGTTTCGACTGCCTGCACTGGTACACCTGCAGGCACTGTCACGATGCAGTAGAAAACCACAGCCTGAACAGGAAGTTGACCCAGCATATGCTCTGCATGGCTTGCGGAACGCCTCAAAAGGCGGGAGACTATTGTATCAATTGCCAGACACCAGCGGCATGCTACTACTGTGATATTTGCAAGCTTTGGGACAACAACAGCAAGAAGAGCATCTACCACTGTCCAGACTGCGGCATCTGCAGGAGAGGCGCGGGTCTGGGCAAAGACTTCTACCACTGCAAGGTAAGGATCTTCAAAGGCATAGAAGTCATGATCTAATACATGGTAGGACTGCAACGTTTGTATTGGCATGCAACATCACGGCAAGCACAAGTGTCTGGCAGACGCCATCGATAACGACTGCCCTATCTGCAGCGAGTATCTCTTCACCTCGTCTGCCGCCGTTGTATCCATGCCATGTGGTCACTATTTGCATAAGGAATGCTATAACCTCTACATGGAGACAGCGTACAAGTGTCCTATTTGCCAAAAGAGCGCTGTTAGCATGGCTTTGCAGTGGCAAAAGTTGACCCACGCGATCGAGAGCCAACCGATGCCTGAGCAGTTTGAGAATACTCGCGCCATCATTCAGTGTAATGACTGTTCGGCGAAGTCATCGGTTAGGTACCATTGGCTTGGGAACCAGTGTGGGACATGTCACTCTTACAATACCAACGAACTACGCATCGTGAATGACGCTGACAGCGAAGATACCGCAAACGCAATGCTCGAAGCAGACGCAAATGCTGGCTCGAGATCACCTGTTAGTGTGAGCTCTCCAACCTCCCAACCGCTTCGTTCGCCTCGATATTACTTCCAGCCGGACGTGCCCGAAGAAACATGGCTTCCCGCCCAGCTACCTACGTTTCCATTCCAATTGCCCAATTTTCCGGGCAGGCCACGCATGCCTCAAATGCCGCAGATGCCTCAATTCCCATCTCTACCGCAGTTCCCCCAGATGGCTAGGTTCCCGCAGATGCCACAATTTCCACAGATACCTCAGTTCCCACAGATGCCCCAGATGCCGGAAGCAGCACAGGAGGTCTTAGAGCGTGTGCGAAAGTCCATGTACGACTATCTCAACCCGTCAGGCGATATACATGTCGACGACGTCCCTGTCATCGATCTTGGGGATGACGATCGTCGCGAGCGTACGGCTACAGATGGTACTGTCGTCAAGGAGCCGTCTCTTCCGCAGTACGTAATCGAGAGGTTTACACAATCACTTGCGCGATTCAGAGATGATCTCAATCCTGGGCTGGAAGATGTACCCGCGCTGGACCTTACAGACGACCACGATCCGGGTGGCTTGCAGTTCTGGGGCGAGGACGGCGGACGACTGGAGCGCACCCTGAATGCGCATGAGGAGGATGACGACAGCAGTACTGACGAGAGCGAGCACGAAGAGTCCGATGAAGAAGATGACGATGACGAAGGCGAGGTAGACGGGAGAGGATTTGATTTACCTGGGCATCGCTAGCATCATAAAAGGCGTTCAAGCATGGTCAAAAGGCGTTGGGAATTTTGATTGGTGGCTACCTCTACGATAACCTAAAAGCCCGGCATGACGAGAAGTACCATGTTATTATTGTACACGAAATGATACCCACCTTTACAACATCGTGTTGACTGCACCTGCAGTTCGTGAAGTTCCGTCACGTGTGTCGGGTCGCTTACTAGCGCCGACCCACAGCACACGAAAATCGTCGTGCTTGAGGGAACTTTGAACTTCAAGCCACTCGAATCTCATCGTCAACTAACCCACAGCGAGGAACTCTGTCAGTACGTACGATTGCTTTCCTTTTGAACTCATAATTGCATCGCGCTTTTACGACGCTGTACATTGCGCACGCGCATCCCCATTCGAAGTTCGAACAACAGCTAACCAATCCACAGAAAATGGCCCCTTCAGCAAAGACTGGCAAGAAGACCGCCGGCAAGACCGGCCGCAGCGCCATCGCCGATGTCGTCGCCCGCGAATACACCATCCACCTACACAAGCGAGTATGTTGATTCAGTTTGGTGAAGTCCAACGATGGCCTGCACAGCTGGGGACGGACATTCGAGCAGGACGATCTGAATGGTAGCAGCACTTGCTACTGATCGTCTCTTGGATGTTCGTTTCCGGCTCCCTGCGGGTATCGGGCGGAAGACTGAAGAAGAACATAAGGCTAATACATGGGGTCAACAGGTCCACGGTGTCTCTTTCAAGAAGAGGGCTCCCAGGGCGATCAAGGAGATCCGCGGATTTGCTGAGAAGGCCATGGTATGTGGATTCTTGTCGCGCGGCACTTTTGTGTCGTCGCAATTACTGCAAATACTTTATGCAACGGCATGCTAACGTTGCCCAGGGCACCAAGGATGTCCGCCTCGACCCCCAGTTGAACAAGAAGGTCTGGGAATCCGGCATCAAGGGCGTTCCTTTCCGCCTCCGTGTTCGCATCAGCCGTAAGCGTAACGACGAGGAGGGCGCCAAGGAGAAGCTTTACTCCTACGTCCAGGCCGTCAACGTCAAGGACCCCAAGGGTCTGCACACCCAGGTCGTCGAGGACGCGTAGAGAATGCTAGTTCAAGACGAATGAAATGGGATTGGGATGCAATATCAAAAAGCATGGCGTTCCGGCGGGTCGCTGAGTAGCTACTACTACTTTTCTAGAGAGTGAAAGGCTTGTGTGAAATGATACCTGAATGACAGTTCATGCCCGCCATTTTCCTCTTCTCAATCTTGTGCATGATCTTGATTGTAGAATGTTGAATTACGTCGTGAAATGTTCCTATGTACAAAACCCTCGAATATCTTACAATGGACATGCCTGTACATGACGCGCACTTGCTCCATAAATGCTCACAAACTGCTTTCCTTACCTCTTTCTTATCTTGAATTCCGGCCGTCCAACGTGATTGCCCATATTGTGTTCCTCTCTTTCGCTCTGCTCAAGTTATTTGGCTTAGTCGTTCTTGACCTCATCATCCTGATTTCCCGGGCGCAGGAAGTCAGGCCGGCGAACATTTGGATTAAGCATGTGCTCGCTCGGAGGCAGCGTGCTCTCCCTCTTCTCACCCGATTCCGGTCTATCCATGGTCCACACGGAGCTTGCCTTTCTCTGAGGCATCCTGTTCTGCCTGTCTTCACCCAGCTTGAACCTATTCAGCCCAGGCGCGACTTTCTGGAACCTCAACGGGACCTCACTCGAAGCCAGCGCGTTCTGCCTCTCCTCAATCGTCTTCCTCGGGCTCGTGGGGATCTTCGGCGCAGACTTGGTCTCGGTGAACCTCCACGAGACATCCGCACTCTGCGTTGGAGCCTTGAGCGTCCTATCCGCCACCTGCTGTTGCTCAATCTGGATAAGATCGATCTCCCTCTCGAGCTGCTCGACGGCGGCGACCATGTTCTCCCGCTTCTGCGTCGGCATCTCGTCCTCTGAGATCGGGATATTGGTGTCTCGCAGGGTCATGAGGCGCTTCACGCGCTCGCGTTCTTCGTTCTGCATTTCTAGCATCATGGCCCGCTCGCTTTGGAAGATCGATTGCGTCCAGAATAAGTTGCTGTTGAAAGTTCCGTCTTTGCCGTTGGGGTGGCGCATAGCCCGGTGCAGGTCGCCGATTAGATACAAGCTGCCGGTCAGGACGATGGGGGCGTCAAAGTACGAGTTTGTCAAGTATTTCGCTGCGCAGAGTGCGCGGAGGGGGCTGGCGCCCGGTGGCATGGCAAGAGCGGTGATGGTTGGGTGGATGGATTCTACGATTTTGAGGAGTACGTCGGGATCGATGGGTTGGACCCAGGGCATGCCGTCTACGGGGCCGAAGGATGTGGTTACGACTTTGTCGCCAGGGCGGAGCAGGATTTTGAGAAAGGCTTCTGCGTCTCTGCCGGCAGTCATGGCGAGCACCCATGTTACTGGCCTTCCATGCAACTTGGACGATTCCTTGTGCCAGTCCTTTGGTTTTCTTTCTGTTTTAGTGACCCAGTCGTTTAGCACGTGGGCTGCATCGATGTTGTGCGCGCCGTCGACGAGGATCTGTCGTCCTGGAAGTCCCGCGCTTCCGAAGACGGGCACAATTTTGGTCGACTCTAGACGCCCTGTTACTCTTTGAGTGCGGATTTTGGTAAGTTCGTTTGCGATCATGTCGTCTTCGATTGTGCCCAAGCCCTTCATGGCTCGTTTGACGGCAACAATTGCGAGGGCGGCATTGTCACGCTGCCATGTAGCCTTGGGTTGAGCAAAGGCTCTCCAATCCTTTGTCATATAGAGCCCCTTGCGCAACGCTGGCGAGTCGGGGAATAGACGCGGTCCTGCGCCAATTTCTTTGGCATACTCGTCAATGACATGTTGGACATGGAATTCGTTTTCAGGGTTGACAGTGTACGGGACGTTCGGCCTGAGGATGCCAGCTTTGTGTTTGGCGATTTCCTCTAGAGTGGATCCGAGGAAGGCTTCGTGGTCTCTTGCAATCTTGGAGATGACAGAGATACATTGGTTGTTGATGATATTGGTCGCGTCCAACCTGCCGCCCATGCCTACTTCGACAATGCCAACTTGAACCTTTGCCTTGTTGAAGCAGGCTAATGCCGTGGCTGTGAGGATCTCAAAGGGAGAAGCATTTATTTCCTCGGTCAGGTTGCGTGTGAGAAACTGTTTCTCAATGGTGGTGAAGCTAGTTTTTGAGACTGGCTCGCCATTGATCTTTATGCAGTCCCACCTAGCAATAGTTAGGAGGGTATAGAACGCACGTGACAATGCACATACCTGTCTACAAGATGCGGTGAATTGAAGGTACCTACGCGGATAGTCCTTCGCTTCAGGATGCTTGCTGCGTAGTGGCAGATTGATCCTTTGCCATTGGTGCCAGCGACGTGGATGGCTTTCCAAGGAAACTCGACATCTTTGAGCAAAAGGCTAATTCGCTCCAAGCCAGGCTGAATCATGATATTCGTGCCCCTTCAACGTTCATTCGCCTCATGTGTACCTCCCCAGCGGAAGGTCGCTGAAGTGGTCTATCTCGAATCGAAGATTTTGATATGCGGCTGACTCAACTTTTCTTAGCAATCCATGCGCCACTTCTTGCAAGCTCCTAAGCGTCGTACGCTGTACAAGTCAACGGTGCTAGGGACAGCGGCCTAGGCAGACATGTGTTGACGTCTGAAACTCGTTCCTGTCAGATGGTAGTGACTCAAATGCTGCATTGGACAGGAAGCCACGAGGTGATCGCCCTTGCCGCAAGTGGCAACTACGCTAGTCGCGCCTGCCGACCGTGTTCATCTGTTTGTTGGGCGCACTTGAAGATGGCTACAGCAAACAGAGGAGATATCACACTGCCTCGAGCCTTGTCGCGAGTGCCTTCTCCATCCTACAGTATCAAGATCGTTGTGGCAGCTGCACCTGCGAGCATATCCGACGGCCGTTTCATTCCGGAGGTTCAGCCTCACATCCCTTTAGCGCCGTTGCCTCGGGGCTTAGCTCGTCCCCCCCGTTCCCTACGAACCTTCGTCAGGGCGCGTCTGCATCATCACCACAACTCCACTCCATCATTTTCGTCCCGTCTCCACACCAAACATCGGCGCAATGGGCATCCCAATCGGCTGGAACGTTTCTCGCGACGATGCGAAGCAGAAAGACGTGTTGCGCGCCGACGTGACGGGGCAGCGCTCGCCTATCCGCCGTCGCATGCGACCCACGAGATCGCCGAGATCGCAGAGCGCATTCGATACCGACTTCCTCATTTCTGCTGCACGTGTTTCGCCGCGTCATGAACTCCCAGTCGCTCGCCCTTCGCATGCTCGCACGCGCCTGCCCCCTCCACCGGTTCCCGAGGTCTCGAGGTCTGCTTTCCGCGACTCCCCAAGAGATACCCCCAGTCTGCAGCCCGAAGACGCCATCTTTCGCCGTATTCAGAACAATCTGGATCGCGAAGCACGTGAGGACGAGAGACGCGCAAGTGCGCACAACGAACGTCCTCTCCCCGCCCTGACACCAAACTTTGCGCCCGCGGCGGCAGCACTCGACGCTGAAATCGGGATCCGACAGTTCAGCAGGCAAGAAATCAGGCACATCGTGTCGGAGGGAATGAACTTTGTACGGGCAGATATTGAACGGCAGCGAGCACGGAGTTTTCCCAGCGAGCATTCGGCGCTCAGGGGAGGCAATAGTGCAGATGATGTTGAGGACGAGCATTCACGTACCGACTACAACGCCGTCAGCTTCCCGCCTCTACGCAGGATGGGTCGCCGTAACATTGCCGATGGGCCTCTGCCGGCCAGCTCCCTGCGCGAGTCCTGGAGCCCAGCCACCACTGTGGATGGTCTGGGCGACCGCGAGCGCAGCATCAGTCCTGAGGACGAAGGGTCGCAATGGGAGACTTTCTACGGCGGCATCGTTCCAGACACAATCGCACCAACCGCAGAGTCATCCTTCGCGTCTGCAGCCGCTTCAGCCTCGTTCTCAAACTCGCACCCCAGCTCGCGCGCTGGTAGTTCCAACACGTCAGCGTCCTCTTCGCGAACACATCTCACGGTTCCGTCGCGACGACCTTCGCAGCCAGACAACGAGCAATTCATGCGCGCCTGCGACACATCGGACGACGACACTGCCTCAGACACCGAGGCTGAAGAAGAAGCGCCACCTGCAGATCCAATCAGGCAGCGCTACAACCCCATCACACTTCGCCGCAGAAGCCGCCCTTCGTACTTCTCCGACGAGCCTCCGCTCCGCGACACCGAGCGATACTCCAGGAGAGTCATGGAGCGCACGCGCGATGCCAGCGCGTATGTTCGAGGATTCTATGGGTCGCACTCCACGCAGCCTAGAAGTCTTCGCGGCGTCATGAGTAGCCCATACAGATCGCCTCGTGGGCACGACCGGCCTGTGGACGGTCCTGTGGATTTGGATGGCCCCGTGGACGCGCCTCTCCCAGCCAGCGACGACGAGATGCCGAATTCTCTCATCCCGATCAACTCACCAGCGCTTGATCAGGAGCTACGCGAGGCGCGCTCGCTACTCGAGCGACTGTCGCGGAGGGAGGACGTCAGCGACGACTTCTGGGCCTCTGTCGGTCTGACGCGATCTTTCGCCGACCGCGTCGAGAGCTTCAACGAGCGCGAGCAGTTGTGATCTCTCCAACATATTTTCTGCTTCTAGAAGACGCTGACTGGCTGGCCTAGTCACGTTATCATCTTTGTATCTCTCGAGGAAATTTCGTAATATTCAAGCTTCACGGGATGGGCACGATTAATCGCGGCACCTGGTGAGGCTGTTGTTAGTTGGCGTAACGAAAAGTCATGTTGGGATTATTGGGTATGATATGGGTGAAATGGACAACCGATATGGTTTGCGTGGGTGGCGCTTTGTATTATTACCGTCTAGCTGCGTGCGCCGTCTGCCGGCTAGCAATGAGGAATGAAAAGCGTTCTCGCGTGTCTTTGACATGCTTTCTTGAAGAACTTCCAAGACTTTCCTAGGTGATTTGCGTCGAATGTTCTTCCTACCCATCTAAATATGGCATGTGTCTCTAATACCGCACTTTGAACTTTGATGTTCGCACACACGGCCATGCGCAAATCCACACATTCCCCCGCCCGCACCCATCACAAAAAAACCACTCACCCCTCCACATCATTCACTCTATCCATCCATCCCTAATAAAAAAAGGTCTCCCCAGCGCAGCAAAAAGGCAAAAAGCATCTCAGGCGGGGCTCGAACCCGCAGCCTTTGGATGACCAGAATAAGTGGTAGAAGTCCAACGCGCTACCATTGCGCCACTGAGACCAGTCGATGGGAAATTAAGACTTCTGACAGATTTCAAAAATTGCATAGAATATATTGTTACTTCAAAACAGGTTTTACAGAGGGGTGGCGATTTACAGAGGTTTGACAAAGAGAGCGGTGACTAAATGAAGAGGGGGTGTACACGTCATTGAGTGGGGTGGAGTCAGTTGGGTGGGGTTGTTTGCGTTGGGCGGGGCATGTGAAGATTCGCAGATCGGATTGGGGAGGGGAGGAGATGAAGAGCGAGGATTTGACGGGACACACGATGACGTTAGAATATGTGCCAAAGGCTACTTCGGTATCCAAATAGGTTCGAGGAGTTGATTTAATCGTTCTTATACGTATGGCTCCTAACGTGTATTCGTCCACATGGAGCTTCACGAAGTAACCATGCCCTAACTTTCTTGAGAAAAAAAATCGCAAACATGCTTCATCACTCGCCAGCTACCTCAACCATGTCTCTGAGAATACCGTCATCCAGCTCGGTCAGATTTTTATCCTTCCCCCTCTTCGCGTCCCAAACGTTGTAAAGTTGCAATCGATTCGACTCCCACGCAATCCATGCCGCAGCCTGCAAGCAGCAATCCGTGATATCATCGAGTTTCTTTATATCCTTACCCTCTTCACTACTCTTCGTGTTCTTCGTCTTCTCCTCCTTCCCCGGGGCAGGCAAGCGAAGAGCCTCCCTCGCCATAACGGCAGCAGGACCAATATTAATCGATATGACCGGTGAAGAATCTGGCGTTGAAGATGCAGTCGACGCCGGCTCTATAGACAGCCACGAGCGCAGCAGAGCAATCTTTGCTTTCTTTTCCGCCTTGCTGCGCGGAATCTTTTTCGTTGCGGCCTTGGTGGTTGGGGGAGTATCTTCCAAAGCCAGCGCCTCGACTGCCTGATCCAGATCCTCCGCTCGAGCGCGCGCGTGCTGTGCGAGCCAGAACTGGCCTACGCGCTTTGGATCGACGCCATAGACTTCAAAATCCAGCTTGCAAGATTCTTCGTTTTTGATTTTGGACGGGGATGTTAGACGTTCTGTGCGCAAAGTTTCTAGTACAGCCCATAGCATCGCTTCGAGTGTGTTAACACGCACTGTCCATTGCAGGATTGCCGCGCTGCCAGCTGAGCGCCAGCGCTGGCTCTCGATGAGGATAATGTCTGGGGCGACTGCTAGCACTTCTTGCTTGATGAACCAGTACGCTGTTCGTGATAATACTGGGAGTGAGTATGGATCCACATCTTCAGCATCTTTAGCGTGGTCCTTAGCTTGGAGTCCAGGACGCCGCAAGTCCCTCGTCGCGTCTACGAGATTGATCTTGTCCCATCTCATTATATCCATAGTGGGATTCGTGGCGTTTCCATTTTTGTAATCGACGGAGACATCGCAGAAGGCGAGGTTCTTGATGCCCATGTCGATGCTGAGAATGCGGAGTTGTCTGCCATGTTTCTTTTTCTGTCGAGCTTGCCATTCTGGGCGCAGGGCGAACAGACGTGAGTGCGCCACGTCGCGTTGAAAGCGTTCGTGAAGTACATCCTTGGTCCCTGATGAGGCCGATCCGATGCGTGTGAGAAGGGCTTGCAGCGCTTTAGCTGTGACGGGCCGCGGCTTTGGTGGCAGTTTTGGTGGCATCGAAAGTTCAATCCTGATTTATTGTTCTGACACATATACTAGGCCATGTGCAGTAGGACTGAGCGCAAGCCTTCCGCACACAAATGAAGGTTGTGGGTGGCGCTATGATGCATCACATCTTCAAGAATGCGTTAGAGTGACGATTCACACTTGAGGCCGAGGGGCTGATTATCGTAGGTGCATTAGTTTGGTACGCGTAGCAGATGGCAAACATCTGTTATCGTAGCTTTGGTGATTTTGGTATGTCATTGAGTGGTTCGGAAGTCGCGTGCGCACAAGGCACTTTCTGAAGTCAGTTCATACGATCACGTGATCGTCTACCACAACTTCGAAGACTTGGTGAAGCTTAGCCTAAGTTTTTTATTTATAGATATTGCGCGATTGTTAGAACGTCGTCTATGCTAAGATTGCAGAGATGTTTAGTTCACTTGGAAGCATCCCAACTCAGGAACATGTTTGAGGCTAGCAATATACAAACATGCATTGATGTCTAGCATAGGCGTCTTACAAATACAACAGTATATCCGTGACCACTAAGAACGGGTATCAATGACCAGATGTGAAATGAAATCTCCAAACTTTTGTCGACCCGAGCGTTCCCATAGATACATACACAACGCCGAAACCCAAACCCGTATATTTTTTTGGTTAGTCTAACAGAGATCCTATGCCTCTAGAGCAGATGTCGTCTCGGCGTCACCGAAAGCGCGGAATTGGATGAAGATGATGGCGTCTTCGACCTTCAAAGAATTAGTATGTATCACATGCAGTTCTCAAACAAACGACTTACCATGGTACCGAGAGAGCCGATCAACCAGGGCAAGTTGGTTAGGAGGTACTCTTTCTCTTGCGAGTGGAAGAGGATCTACGCATGTTAGCTGTCTTGTTGCAAATCAAATCGCAGGTTGAGCTTACTCCTGCACCATATGTCGCATTTCCCAGCAAGCTCAGCATGAAGAAAAGGAGTGAAAGGCCTTCACAGGACTTTTCGCGCTGGTTCTTGATGATCTGGGGAATGCGCGCGCCAAGATAGCACACAGCACTGGCGTAACCTAGAATCTGCGCGCCCAGAGCGATATCTGCTCCCTCATCCGCGTTGGTAGGTTGCGGTGCCCAGACGCCAGTCTTCCACGCAATCGCCCATCCTGCAGCGCCAACGATGCAGACACCGACGATGCTCAGAGCATTCTTGATCCACTCGCTACCTCCAGCCTCGACATCCGCGATTGTGGGCAATGAGCTTGCGCGACGGCGGCGACTTGCTTGCGAATCGCGGCGGTGGCTGCCCGGAAGACCGATGTTGCTCGAGTCCCGACGACCGAGTAGAGGCGCTTCGACGCTGTCTGTGCTGCGTGTAGAAGACTTGCGCGTACGGCGCGAGTTCTTCAGGTTGTAGTAGACGCACTGCGAGATGAGGATCAGGTCCGCGAAGCAGAAGTAGATTGCGAGGGCGATGACGGTAGGTACGAGTCCGGCCCAGAGTGCGCCGGCGAGGTTGGTGATGTCGCCAATGAACCAGACAGTGAGGAAGGCGAGGGAGATGCCATCCGCGGAGCCCTGTTTGTAGTTCTCGATCAGTTGGGGAACCTGGGGTGGGTTAGCTGGGGTGAAGGGCAGGTCGCGTGCTTCCAATAAAGCATGACTTTTGCCGGTAAGGTGTAAAGCGATAGCTCAGGTCGCATGGCTTCACGTGCTTGAGCTGCTCGGTTGGGAGCTTAATGAGACGCTGAATATAAGGCGAAATCGATATGGCAACTGACTCTCTTCACTTACCAGCAGGAAGATCCACGATGCCAACGAGATGGAGCCGAAGACACCCGACAGAGCCTCGTTGGTAGTCAACGATATGCTGGCATGCGACATGGCGGCTGTGGCCCACTGCATGCTGGTGGTGTTCGTACGACGCAAGTGCAAACGGGGCGATTGGTCAAGGAATGCTCTCTCTCTCCTGGACCTCGAATAGACTTGCAAATTTCCAAGGTATGACGCAGGACCCCCAGTGGTGAGGCGGAACGGATGCCAGACAAGGATAAGAGCCGATGTGGATGCTGGCTGCTGGGCTGCTGGGCTGGTCGACGAATTGCGCAGCAACAACAAGGATGGCAGGGATGGCGCCTCGACGGCTCGACGGCTCTAAAAATGAGACGCTCACGCTGGTGCAGCAAGGACGCGTGTACGCTCAGGAACAGCTCGCAGCTGGCCGGACTTGCAGCGTATTTGTACAGACGTCAAGCATCGAGCAGGCATCACGAATCAGGAGCAGCGGATTGCAAGACTTCTGTTGGGCGCCAGAGTTTTCTCCACGCCGTGGACGCAAGCAGTCTGGATGCGGGAAGCTGCAGGGCACGTGCGACGGCGGCTATATTTGGCATAGGCGCAAAGGCACCGTTGCAGCGCGAGAGATGAAATGCCAGCGTCCCCAGCGACTAAGTGCTGTTACTCGCCTCGTGACAAGTCTCAGCCCGCCGTCCTTCTACCCTCCACCATCCGCTCGCTTCACCACACCTTCGCTGCCAATATTCGACTTCAACAAACGCTCGCTGCACCACATTTAGTCACAGTCACACCTATTCCCTTGAACTGCGCCCTGAAACGGTTTTCGTGAAACGCGTCAACCTGCGCCGACGATCTGCCCGGCACTGCAACCACATCCGCCATCTGCCGCTGCTGCACTCACCACATCACCAAAAATGTTGCGCAACTCGTGGCTATTCGCCCTCTTTGCGCTCTTTGCGCTGTCGTCGGCCTTCAACCTCGACGGCATCGAGGAGTACATCCACCACGGCGTTAAGAGGTAAGCACTCGGTCACGTTACGAGGAATGCGACGGCGAATGCAGGCACTGACCTCTCACCTACAGGCAAGCTTCAGGAACCGGCAACAACAACGCACCCGTATCGACACCTCCCGCATCCTCTGCAGCACCACCGCCAGCATCATCGGCGGCCCCGCCACCATCGCAGACACCCCAGCCGTCTGCCACTCCCGATCCCACGACAGAGCCAACTTCGGCTGCACCCCCGCCGTCGTCAGCAGCAGCACCATCACAGGCACCTGCCGCGAGCACTACCCGCGGACAGTCGCAACGTCCCACCACCGCCCCGCAGTCAAGTTTCGTGGATCCTGACCCGTCCCGAACTACGCCCATCACTATCAAGACTCCTCTTGTCACATTCTCTCCCAAGCCATTTACTACTGTCTCTCGAACGACGCTCCCCAATGGAGATGTAGCCGAATCCACTGTCTCTGGAGTCGAGTCTGTTCCCGTCACCACCGGTGAAGCGGAAGCGACCATTGCCCCAGCCACGCAGAAGAACACCGACAGCAGCGACGGCTTGAGCGACTCGAACAAGAAGGTCATTGGTGGTGTCGTCGGCGGCATTGGCGGTGCCCTGCTCCTTGGCGGCATCGCACTCGTCTTTTGGCGCATGAGGAAGCGTCAGAACAAGGTGACTGCCGACGATGACGACCTGAACCTCAACACCGGCGCTGCTCTTGGCGACAAGCCACAGAACGGTACCGGAGCTTCGCCATTCCAGTCGAACCTCGAGCAGTACCACAACCCTGGTGGACGCCCGAATGCCGCAGCCAACTTCTAAGCTGCCGATAGCCGGCGACGTACATATGCGGCCTAGCAACGGCTGCTCACGATACTAACGACCATTTAGCGGCTTTGAGGTTTTGATGTGGAAGCTCTCACGTGTCTGGTACCATACGGTGCTACACGATGAGCTATTCCACACGATTTGTGTATATGGGAGATTGTCACATGTATTGGGTTTGATGTTCAGCATTGCGAGCGATCTGGCAGCATTCTTGCTTTGGAATCACCGCGCGAGCATAACATCAGGGTATATTACAAAGAGGTATCGAGCTGCTCGAACTGCTCGTCCACTCTTTTTATCAAGCGACGTTGCATTTGCAGCACCGCTCATAAAAGCTGTAATTAGCATTCTCTAATTTATTTCGTCTGTGTACCGTCATAGAATACCCAACCTCAGAAGCTACCAAGCAAGTTTCATACCTCACATTACGATCTACATGACTTTATTCACGTGTCATCTTTTGTTTTGCAAGGCATTCAGGCACTATTCCAAGCATTGCGTTCTTATATCCATGGGGTCCGGATATGCAGGGGCGGAAGGATGTCTCGCGTTTCATCGCTGTCGCAACACCACCGCTACACTACCAATCCTAGTTACGCGCCCTCAGCCCTAAACAGCGCCAGCATGAGAACGTGGGAAGCGAGCATATGCGCTCAAACTCCGCGCCAGGCCTACATATGCGCCTCATGTCCGCCAGGCGTGAGGTCCGCAAGTCTGCGACTTCGCGCAATATACCTCCGCTCATTTTCTACCTACTCACGAGAACGCGCTGGACGCACTTAATCCCCCACGACGACAACGGCGAACCCGACGCAAAATGCTCTCCCTTCTCCCCTCAACTCTACTCTCCCTCCTCTTTGCCCTCCCGGCCTTCTCCCACGCCTCTCCCTCCCCCGCCCTCGTATCCAGCGACTTTGAAATCAGCCTGATCCCGCGTCACCAACTGTTCCTGCGACAGCTCAACGACCTGCAAATATTCACATCCGCGCTGGGCGGCGTGCGCGCGTCGCCGATTACGAACTCCGGGGATACGGAACGCCCGTTTAGGGTGGATGGGGACACGTTTAATGATTTCCAGAGCGCGGCTGGGAGGAGCTGTGATAATCAGTTTCAGGGGTGTCAGGCGGTTGCGAACGGGAATGGTGGGCAGGTTAGGGCGCAGAGTAATGGGGGTGGAGGGGGGAATAGTGGGCAGCAGAGGAAACAACAGAGCGATAATGGGAACGGCAATGGAAATGGCAACGGCAATGGAGATGGAAATGGAAATGGGGACAATAACAACAATGGAGATGGGAACGGAAATGGCAATGGAAACCAGAATGGGAATGGAAATCGAGATGGCAACGACAACAACAATGACCGCAACAATAACAACAACAACGACCGCAACCGCAGATCAGAAGTTTACGCCAACGAGACCGATTCCATCCTAGACAAACGCCAGAACGGAGGCATTACAGTCAATCAATGCGACGAGCAGAAGAGTAAGTTTTACCTCCCCTTACTTCTTTCCCTCCTTCTATACACGAAGAAGAAATGGACGCTGACGAAAGAACAGATCAGTGTAAGAGCGCACTAGATGCCACCACGATCAAGGACTTCAATACCGCCTTGCAGTCGATCAATATTGGGCCGGATCCGAACTTTCCGGACTTTGATTTGATTTGTGAAGGGGCTTGAGAGTTTGGTAGATAGGACAATTTATGTTTTGTTTGTGAGGATAATTTTGGAGAGTGATGTGTGGATGGAAGTGGTTGTGTCTTTTGTGATGGATCGCTTGAGGTTGTGATACCCCTGGACTGGAGAGGTCGATGGATGTTGATACCTGTGGGAACAGATCTTCTCCTTGTTGAGCGTGTAACATTGCGATAGTTCTCGTGTTGTGTATCGTCCAAATTTATGAAGTGCACGCAAACTCCCATTTTGACTCATCGTTGACATGAATGAACGTCCAGCTTATCATAAATGAAGTCGCGGGAGTGTTAGCCGACGTTTGTGACACAGCTGTACGCCTTAAAGCCCAGACGTCAAACTTTTGAATGTCACCTGCCAGTAACCATGCATTGATTACGGGAGATGGGCGCGACGAAGATAGAATCGGGATACGAGAGAATAGGGGATGGTTGTGGAGATGACGATGCAGCGCTCCGACTTCAACTCGTGGCATGTGAGCTCGGTGTCCCAAATAAGGCAGGGCCAATGACAACAACAAACGGAACACCGCAGGTCCGCACGCATAGCCTTGCTTACCATGCCCTGTGATCCTCTACCCGCGTTCGGAGGTCCCGTCTTGCGTGCCGTGTCGCGTAGAGGCTGTCCAACGACGTCCTAGCTAATTGTTTCTGCCTGGCAGCCATGATGGTTACGTGCACGCCAGGCAACAACATGCGCACACTCTGTATTGTATAATAGCCTGATTGGCTTGAAAAAGTATAGATGCATCTACTGAAGCGGACGAAAACATGAGAAGAACGAAGAACACTCACTGCATTTGTTGTGAAGAGGCAGCTTCGGGCGGATTCGGAAAAGGCCCGCGACGTAAGCGAACCGCAGCAACGTGTTTACCTGCAGCATCGACAGAATGCGAGGTTCACTATGACGCTTGTGGCCGTGGAATTGCTCCTCTGGCGCACATGAGCCTGAGCTCGAGTATAAGACTGCACCTCAGGCTACCATCTGATACTTCATCCACCTCAAGCGGTTGCTTTGGTCTTCCGTTCTTCCTGAAGTCTACCTCACATCTCTTTCTTATCTGCAACTTTCATCAATTGTCTCTTCGTTACGATTACTGTCTACCTTGAGAACTTTGTATTCGATTTGAAATGCCGTCACCAAGAAGCTACAACACCTCTTTCCCAAGTGCTGAGGCTCTCTTCTACTCCTGCACAACATCCTCAACATCGGCAGAAGACCTCGACATGCATTACATACCTCCCTCAAAATCATCGCTCAGAATCGGCGTCATAATACTCAGCCAAGACCAAACCCAAATGGTCGACTTCGCCGCCCTCGACCTCCTCACCATGGTCGGCAGAAACAGACTCAACAAACTCAACGCTTCTCCTGCCGCCCTAGAAGACTCTCTCGACGAAATCGACGTCCGATACGTCACAGCCAGCGGAGAGGGATCCTTCCCCGTCTCATCCGGTGGCCGCATCCCAGTAACGGTGAGCATCAGCTCAAATTGCTACTTCAGCTAGCCACACGATCGACCCCAACCCGACTCCTGGCCAAGAAGCCATTCTCGGTCGCGCCGGATAAGCCCTGATCTTGGCTACCTTTTGCGAGGCAGTCATCTGAGAGACAAGTCTGGCAGGGAGTAAAAGGTTCCAACATGCCCCGTTCCAACCCTCTCCATCGACACCTCCCTTAAAAAAAAAGAAATATCTAGGAAAAGCAAGTTCTAATCATGGCGTATAGAATTCGTTTCAAAATGCTCCGCAATTCGACATCCTCCTCATCCCAGGCTCCTTCTCCACAACCCCCTTGCCGCCCTCGGCAACCCTCTTCCTCAACTGCCAATGCGCAAGACCCAATCTCATCGCCATCATTAGCATCGTCTCGGGCATCCTGCACTTGGCGCAGACGGGCATTTGCAATGAACGCCGAGCAGCTGCGCCCCGAAGCCTGCTACCAGCGCTTAAGCAGCGTTTCCCCGAGATCTCATGGCGCAGTACGCCGTGGGAGCGCCACGACAAGTTATGGAGTAGTAATTCCGCCGTGTCTGCGCTCGACATGATGAGGACGTTTATGCGCGAGTATTTCTGGGATAGGAGCGCGGCGGTGGAATGTGCGCTGGATGCTGTGGGGATAGGGAAGTTGGATGAATGTGAGTGACCATGTCAATGGTTTTGCTTTTTGTGTTCATGGCGTTGATGGATGTTCTCTTCTCTGTTCGCTGTAGTATACCCTCTCCTCCCACGCGGATCCGGACAAGAGTCTACTGTACCATATCTTGAGGCATATTTGGCATGTTGTACCATAGTTTGGCTGTAGATGGAGCGTCTGATTTGGACTGGCTCTCCAGCTGTTGTATCATATTACGAATTCATTTCAAAGCAAGTTTGAACACTTCACATCAACTACGTCATTGAATCGACTTTCCAATGTGTAACTGGGGGGGCGCTTAATCTCCCCAGCAGTTGCTCGACCCACAAAACCTCACTCAGTAGCACACATGACCTCCTCAGAATTCCCGGCCAGCAATGCAGTTTTATGTATCCATGAACTCCCAGCCCCAAAATCCATCCTGAATACATTTCTCTTGCACACATGCATAAGACGTACTCCCCAACCCTCAAAGCCCCAAACACCGTCATCCTATCCGAAATCCCCGCCTCAACTTACCCTAACCATCCCCTAGCAACACTCCCTCCATCTTTTTCCCCTTCCTCCCCTCTATAGTCCCCGACTTACTACCACCCAAACGCCGACCCCAACCACTCCTCCTTGCACCTCTGTTTCTTCGACACATTACCCGCGCCACCCCTCATCGTCGGCCCCGGCTTCGGCTTCGGTACTCGCACATCCCGCCAATTTCCCTGGCTGTCGCCCTCGGGCCAGGAGGAATAGTCCGTTTCCGCAACGAGAGAGGGGGAGTGGCGCACGTAGGCGTTGAACGCGGGGTTGAAAGAGGGGAGTGTGCGAGTTTTGGACTTGGGGGTGGAAGTTTTGCTGGAGGTGCTTGGGGTGGGAGTAACCGCTGTCGTGCCGGTATATCTACTGGCGGAGTTTTGAAGGGTGGACGAAGTTATGGGGATGGTGTTGGGGTTGGTGTCTGCTCTGCCTTTGCCTTTGGTGTCAGTCTGTGCGGAGAGTAGATGTGTGGGGATGCTAGGCGTGTTCCAGAACGTGGGTTTGCGTTTTGTCGAGTGGGTTTTGAGATCGGGGTCCGAGGGCGCGGCGAGGAGGAAGCGGCTGATTTTGCCACCTACACGGCGCGCTGTCTTGGAGTTCGATTCGCGGGCTTGGCTGGGATTCTGCATGGGGTGGGCGAGTTGGTATTGATCTTCGAGACGCTGCCATAGGGCGGGATCGGTGGTGTGAAGCATGTCTTGGTAAACAGCATACCCGTCTGACGTGTCCATGGCGTTGAGAATGGAGTTTTCGTCTTTGAGAATCTGGTATTGTTAGCGCAGTCTCTTGGTGTAATCCATACCGGCAGGAATATGTACCACATAGCCAGTTGTTTTCGACGAATGAGCAAGCGATTTTTTAATGTTGCTGGCTAGATATCCCATATGCGCGTCGTATGACTGTATAGACATATTTCCATTCTGCAGTGCGCTCCGATATTTTGAATAATGTTCATTGTATTCAGACATGGCTTTTCGACACAGTGGAAGAAACCTAAACAGTGCTTCTTTCTGTCTTTCTTCAAAGTTGTCTGGTCTTGTTTGATTGGCTTGCTGTGTTGGTACTGCTCTTGGGGCGTATACCCGTCCAGCCACGCTGACCGACTCTCCAAGCTGAAGAGATTGCAATTCGTAAGCTATTTCATCGAAGGATCCGGCTTCTGACGGTGGGCGTTCTTGCCAGTACTTTCTCTTTGCTATCTCTGCCGCGGAGTTGACAAAATTGTTGGCTGGCCCCGTGCTATGGGGTGGTGGTGGCGGTAGAGGAGACTGAGGAGGAGACCTGGTGATCTGATCATTGTCCCATCTCTTTTGTGGCCTCGCACTGTAGTTGGACTGGGACACAGGTGATGTAGGTCTTGCCACGGGAAACATGGGCTTTCTATAAATAGGGTCAAAGTCGTTGCGTACACCAGGTGTGGTATTGGGAAGCGGTGATCTTATTCCAGCGCCATACGAAGTAGTCAACTTCCCGAGAGCGGCATCTCTCTGGAAGTCGATATGGTTGGGTGAAATCGGAGAAGAAGGTGTTTGCGTTCGAATAGTGTCTTTCCGTCTGTTCTGAACACTGCCGAATTGAGCGTTCGCACTTGGCTCCCATCGCTTAGAAGTTTGAGGGGGTAACCTTTCGATCTCCAAATCCGTCGGTTCCGACCAGCCATCATCTACCCTAACTGATGACTGGCCATGTGACGGAGCAGTGATTCTCGGAGAAGCGTGACGAACTTGAGGATCTTCACCATTGTTCTCCAGACGACTCAGAGACTGGCCCTGGATATCGATAGGCCCCTTTCCTTTCGAGTTCTCAGCTGCAATTTTGCGCACGCTATCTCTCAGGTTTGTATTACTCTTCTGCTCTGCCAACACTGGGTGTTTCCCAGCCTGGTAAATGCCCAAATTGTTCCACCATCCGCCACCTCCACGAAGGCTAGGCAAAGAGCTCTTCGAAACTCCTATTGTGCCCTCCGCTACAGATTGCAGCTTCGATGGGGTTGGCGAAAGTGGAGTATCAAAGTAATTCTGGGTGTTGGTCGGGATCAAGTTACCGTATGCATCACGGCCATTGTTCATCGGCGAGAGTGGAGATGCGTATTCGCGCTTACCTGTGACAGGTGATGCAGGAGGAAATATTGTCAAAGCGCACGGTCTCTGGAGGGTAGGAGTTGCTGGAGTACTTTGCATGGCTGACGTGCAATCTGATTCTGGAGCCTGGGCGTCCTGTGCACCACGTCCTAGCCATGCTTCTACACGTGTATCTTCATGCTCATATTCCGCTATAGCCTGTGTCACAGCGTCGCCGTTGTCGTAACTCGATATGCTCAAGGTGTCTGATATATCCATGCTTTGTCGAAGTTTTGCCACAGCGTTCTCGATTCCATGTTGTCGTGCTTGCCTCTCATTGTCTTCAGGTAAGATGGGAGTGTTGCGGCGACGAAACAATGAAGAGTATCTTTTCAAGCCATCGGTCAGGCTGCTCTTCGTGCTGGCAAGCGACACGTTATCTTCGGCTCGAAGTGCAGGGGCATCTCGGAGTGTGTCATTGGAGGGAATGTTCGCTTTTATTTTTGCTCGCTCGAACGTGGTCGTAACTGCCCGCCCGTTGTCCAGGTATATATCCTGATTCGCTTGCGTATGAGAGGCGCCCACTGGTTCGTGTCGTGTATCGTTGGAACAAACATCAGGCTTGGCTAAGGCGGAGGGGGTCATAGAAGATAGCAGTACGTTGACTCTGGTGGGAGCCCGACTTGCTTGATGGAGGGAGCTTTGGCGGAGAGGATGACGCCGGGGAATTGGTGGTGGATACGAGTCCACCTCATCGTCGATACACTCACTTAGAGCCATCGGAAAAGTGTACCGAGTATGCTTGTCGAGAATAAGAACTATGAATAGAAGTCTTCAAAGCATCGATTCGAGTCTGCAGATGCTTGGGGGATTTTGATCGTGACTTTAATGAGCAAGACGTTTGCCTATATTGACTGCCTATGGTGCACGGTCACGGTACCTGCATGTCGTTGGTGGGCGAAGTCACAGTGGCGGTGACATTCGAACCAATACTACTGGTTCACATGGGGCCTGATCGTTTGCGTTGTCGCATTTCGAAACCGATAACGTGGGTTCAAATGTGTTTTGGCGGGTAAACATGTCTCAAAGCCCTCTCACTTACAAACCTCAGTACTTTGGAGTCTTGATCACCATGGTAAACAGTCGTGTTCGCTGCGACCAGAGCTGAATGTGTCGCCGGAGTGTTGGTCGCAATGCGGATGTGAGCTCTTCTAGCCGTGATGCTGTGTTGCCCGAGCTGTAGCATGTGTAATGTTGATTATCTCACTCGCTGAGTATAGGGCTTCCAAGAATCAAGAATCGAGAGAGCTTTGTATGAAACGTCTTTGTAATGGTATTTATCAAAACATGCGGGACATAAACGCTGGACCTGACTGTGCTAGATGACAGCAACCAACCAACGCGAAGGTTGATCTCCTATAACGCCCTGTGCTTCGATGCTGCCATTACCCATGTCGGGAAAATGCCGAGGTGTATATACAGACAAAATTAAAACAGGACAAGTATACTCCATGAATCGCTTTACTCCTCGTGTTCGACGGACGCTCCGAAGGGTATCTCGTGCTTGAGTGTAACCAACATCAATCCTCCTCCTCTAATCGTCGCCCCTCGTTCTTCAACTTTTGGTGGACGATCTTCAAAGACTCGAAAGTCATCATTGTGGTCACAGCGGCGGGGATGGCGCGGACCATATTAGTACCCATTCCGTTGTAGAAGGCTCTCCATCCTTCCTCCTGAAGTATGACAGAACAGGTCCGAACTACTCCTCGGTATCGCGGCATGTTGATCATGCCATCGGATGAGGCTGTCCCTGGCGGCCGGGTCTGGTAGCCAATGCCATGCTGGCCTCCCTGGAAGGATACATGATCATGCGACTGAGAGGGAAGGGATCTCTGCTGTGTCTGCAGTCTCGTGCGCAAAACCTCGTGCGGATATGTTGCGGAGGTGGCCGCCATCTTGCTCAGAACCGTAGCTGCAGCGATGCCGAGCCAATGTACCTCTTCGTGATTCGCATCTGTCTTACCCATTTCAAGACCCGTAAACTTCATCTTCAAAAATTCGTACAGCGGGAACTGGATGGCAACGTGCGTGAGTCCTAGCAGAGCCGGTGACAGTCCTGAGTAGAAGGACGCAATGCCTTCTTTCGCATACATTTTTCGGAAAGCGTCGAATGTGTTCTTGTAATGCCATGGCGGGCGATGGTCCTCAGAAGCGCGTGCGCTCACTTGTGACATGAGTCTTGTCTTGACCACCCAAATTGGATTAGTGACTAGCGTTGAGCATCCGCCGGCGGCGACTGAAGCGAGGGTTCGTGCGAGCCACTTGTTCTCTGAGACAAAGTCTGTCAGCAATGTCGGTTAGATACGACGAGCATACTGACCCATTCGAGAGTTCAAAAACTCCTTTGTCGACTCGTACGTGCTCATGTAGACGGCCCATGTTGGAATGTACCCCAGCAGCATTGGCCCGAGTCCTCTGTACAGTCCGCGGACACCATCCTCCATCCAAATGACGCGGGCGGTTCCTGTGAGGCCCTTGTATACTGCGCGCGTCGGCCCAGTGTACTTCCTAGGGCGGAAGGAGCCTTGCGCTTGCAGGCGGGTTTTGATGACATCGAGCGGGCAGGTGACTATGCCCGACGCAACTCCGGCGGACGCTCCACACAAGGCATTCACAGGCCCGTCTGGCAGTTTTGCGACCGCCATAGCGAGCCTGGCGAGCGGCGAGCTCAAGTTGGTGTTCCTGTCCGGACTCGACATGTTCCGGGCCGCGTGCTTGACGGGTGCAGGCGCATCTTGGTCGTGAGCGATAGTGGGGGACGGCGGCTCGGGATCGTGCGTGGACATGGTATGGGCTGCAATCACATAGCGATTAGAGTCGTAGCCTACGATACTGGGGGGAGAAGGCGAGCATACAGGCCGTCGTCCCCGGGTGCAGTGCCTCAGTGTGCGGAGCCCCGCAGCACTCGAGTTACACAGTGGCTAGGAATTGTCCGGCTCCATTGACAGGCGGGCGCACTATGGATCTGTGTCTCTCGTGGAGCTGTAGGCGGAAGCGCGGCGGTGAGGTTTGGCGTGGTCGCGGGTAAGCAGGAAGCTTGCAGGGCCGACGTCAGAGGACGAGTGAAAGTCGGTGTTCTGGCGGGGACGCACAAGCTTGCTGCAGTCCTGCTAGGCTGATTAAGACGCTTCAGCGGGCCCGAGCTCGGGCGGCCGCACTCCCCCAATGGGCGTTCAGTTCTTTCGCCTGACCAAAACGACGACCTCACGACTTTGACATTCTGCAATTGACGGCAGCCCACCCCCTCGACACCCACATCCCCACGTCGCATACCCGCAACCATGTCTGCGCCGTCGCTCGCCCCGTTTATCAACAAGCGCCCATGGCTGCAGCGCTGGATGAAGCCGCTCGCCAACTGGTACTGCAACGCCGCAGGATACAGGCAGCTCGGACTGAGGTATGCAGCCCCCCGGAGGCGGTGCATTGGATGAGAATTGTCGCCAAAAAATAATAATGGGCAATCTATGGCGATCTGGGTGGACGATAGGCTAACGCGGAATGCTTCACAGGGCCGATGACCTGCTTCCCGAAGAGAACGACGTTGTGCAGACCGCCCTCAAGCGCCTCCAACCCCAGGATGCATACAACCGCGTCTTCCGTCTGCGTCGCGCTATGCAGGTACATGGACCCCCGCTGGAAAGGACAAGGCGAACAATGACTTACACCTCTGTAGCTCTCCATGACGCATCAGCTCCTCCCCAAGGAGGAGTGGACCAAGGCGGAAGAGGTGAGACTGCCCCTGCGAGTGTGCAAACCCCATACTAACGTCGTTATAGGACGTCCCGTATCTTACCGACGTCATCAAGGATATCGAGTCGGAGATGGCCGAGCGCGAGGACCTCGAGGCAATGGTCATGACCAAGAGGAAGGCGAACGCATCGAGCGGACACTAGAATGTGAATATGAGAACGAGTTGGAATTCTGCGAGCTTGGGTGGTCGAACCGATATCAAGGATGTGCAATAGAGTGTAACACCAGTTTTCTAAATCAAGCCATCTCCATTGCAGTCGGTCTTGTGCGCTGTCTAGGCATTCGGCGAGTGCTTGCGGTTGCACAGATGAAGTGAAGATGGTGATGAGAGCTCAATCCGACATTCCATCAGGTACACGAGGGGCCTCCTCGTATGTTCCAGCAGCAACACTGTGGAAGGGTAAGGTTGTGTCAACCACCGAGTGGCAAGCGTTCAAGCCGGACCAAATTCTCGAGTACACCTTGTTTCCTTGTGTTTCAACATCAAGAGAGAGAAAACGCTATGCAGCTTGTGGAGCCAAGGGAAGGATTAAGGCAAGTGGTGATGTAAAGAAGCAGACATGTCAGTGCTTTTCTTCCCCCAATATTGGAGAGTTCTAGGCAAGCATGTATGGCATACCGAAATCATACCGTATGAGCAAATACTATTCGCAACACATGCGCCGTGTCAAAGAACATATCGGACCCCTCTGCTGTCCAGTTCACAGCCACAAGACGAAGTGCAAATCAAGGCGCAAATGCACAAAGCTGACAATTGAAGAAACTATGTCTTTCCAATACTCTGGTTCGTTCAGCTGTCACCTGCATGCTACGTACAAGCGTGACTGTATGTCAACTGTCAAACATGATAGTGGCCTTGAGTGTTCGTAGCCACGACTGCAACGAACTAATTTCAGGATTATCGCATTCTTCCCAGATCACATGTATGTCATATAATCGTTCGATAACTCAAGTTGTTCCTCGCATGAACGTCTGACGTCGCTCCCCCATCCGAGAAATGCGATATGTCAGCACGTGCCCAGGCGTCACCCACGCGGGCATCACCAAATCCATGCCCGCGTTTCGCGTCAACTTCAACAAACTCCACCATCTCCATACACACTCATTCATGCGTGCATGCGAATCGCAAGAATAAGTTTGAAGAAGATAGTATGATACAAGTACATATAATTCCAGAGCATCATGCTAACCACATGACGTCAGACCTCCCTGATCAACACCACTCCACACACCCCCAAGAAGCACTTCACCATGTCTCTGCGCCGCTCCTCCCGCGTCGCAAAAATCTCTACTCCGAGTATACCAGAAACTAAACCAGCGAATGGCGGGGCGAAATACACAAAAGTCCCCCTCCCAACCAAGGCAGCGCCGAAGAAGCGCAAAACAACCGCCCCAGCACCATCTTCACCCCTCCCAGAATCAGACTTCCCCGTCCCGGATCTCCCCGCTACTCCACTGCCTAAGAAACGCAAAACTGCAAAGGGGGGTGGGGATGGGGAATCTCCACTTAAACCACCGCCGCCGTTCACACCCACGCCGGCTGGTGTCGGGCTCATAACTTCCTCTAAACTCGACCACCCGCTAGATGCGTTTCCCAGGCCAGCAGATCCACACAATACCAACGCGCCGTTATCTACACCCGGAGATTCACTTGTCGTTTCATCCCCAATCAAGCCCGACGACCCTTCGCCCGTAAAGAGGCGCAAGGCGAAAGAGTTGGTTCCGCCGGACGTCGGGGTGGTCAATGGGCCGAGTAGGAACATCGATACGTTGTTGAAAGAAGCGGAGGAGTTCTTGATCGGTGTCGATCCCAAGTTGAAGGGCTTGATTGAGAAGCATCATTGCAGTAAGTCGATGTGAGATGGGATGAGATGGGGGCATTTCGCTGACTGGAGAATAAATAGAAATGTTCAGCCCAGAAGGGTTGAGAGAGGTAGTTGATCCATTCACGGCGTTGGCGAGCTCGATTATGGGACAGCAGGTATGTTTTACTTCGACTTCATTGCGGTCATACGAGACACATAGGCAAATACGTGACACCACAACCACGAAACTGACTGGACGAAAACAGGTCTCCGGTGCCGCCGCCGCTTCAATCCGCAAGAAATTCACATCGCTCTTCCCAGAAACCCACCCCTCCTTCCCCTCCCCCTCTCAAATCCTTGAAAAGGACCTCCCCACCCTCCGCACCGCGGGCCTCTCCCAGCGCAAAGCAGAATACATCTCAGGACTCGCCGAGAAATTTGCATCAGGGGAGTTGAGCGCCCCGATGCTCGTCACAGCCAGTGACGAAGAGCTCATTGAGAAGCTCGTAGCCGTGCGCGGCCTGGGCCGCTGGAGCGTGGAGATGTTTGCGTGTTTTGGACTGAAGCGGATGGATGTGTTTAGCACGGGGGATCTGGGCGTCCAGTAAGTCCCCTCCCTTCTCGATCCTTTACTCTTTTCCGCCCCCACGAATGACCAGGGCTAACAAGCCGCGATGATCAGGCGCGGTATGGCTGCATACATGGGCCGAGACACGAGCAAATTGAAAGCCAAAGGCGGGAAATGGAAGTACGTCAAAACCCACCTCACCTCTCTCACCGCGCGAAAGATTTTCATCGCTGCGCAGCTTCCGCATCCCGATGACCCTCCTGGATTGTGTCACAGTCGACGGGGAGAAAAGAAATCGCGCGAGATGTGGGCACTGTCTGCTTCGAGCAATTCGAGCGAGAGAATGAAGCAACTTCCCCAAACGTTTACATCGACTAACGCATCGTGCCATAGATATATGACCGAGGCTGAGATGCTCGACCTGGCATCCAAGTTCTCGCCTTACAGGTGCGTCCAAGTCCGCTCTGCCTTTTGGTGTCACCCTTGATCAACAGCTAACCTACAACTGCAAGGTCTTTGTTTATGTGGTATATGTGGAGAATAGAAGACGTCGACATTAGCGTGTTACAGCAGTAGACGTGTGCATCTCGAACACGGATCAAGCTTGTTTCAGTGCGGTTATCCGGATTCGGAGACGTAAGTTTGTTGTTGAAAAAAACAAGCGCGCGGGTGCAAGGATAATGCCTTTGCAGTCTTGCGCCATGGTGGAGAGCAAGCAGAACGGGGGATCCCATGCAGTCTAGGCGATTTAGCAAACTCTGGTACCGCTGCTGCCGGGTAAGGTGCACATGAGTGAATGTAGAAAAGGTTGCAGGACATGGACCGGCTTGCACGACTTGCAAGCAGTCTCTTTCCGTCCGGCTTTTACGTATGTTTGACGCGCGAGCATACGAGCCGCGTTTACGCGGCTAGTTGATTGGTTGGCAATGTTTACCGGCACACGGACGATGACAAACGTGTGTTCGAGCAGTGTACAAATGAAGCCAAAGCTGCTCACCGTTCAGTTCTTGAGCACTCGAGATTCTCCTCACTCGTGCATGAGTTTTCACCCGCAACGGTGCGGCAGACGACAAAAAACGTTGCTAGGATTCGGGCCTTGGTAATGGTAGCACAAGAAGTTGAGGCGCCGCTATTTACCGGTCTGCCACATTCCTCGCTTCTCGACGATCATGGCCGGTCAAATGGCACGCCATTATGCTCCCGACAATTTGCTTGTTGTGTTACTCCAGCAGGTGTGTAAACAAGCACAGTCATGCAGACTTTGACTATCAAACCAACTGACAACACATTCCCATGCACGTCACTTGTACTGAGTCAGCCCCTCATGTACCCAGCTCGTCTCAGAACCATCCGGAGATGGAGATGATGCTGGTATCCGTCGACCACGGCAGATGGCGGTGTGTCAGGGTTCCTTGTTATTCAATAATAGATCTTGACCGTTTGGGCAGTAGCTGGCGGCAGTGGCAAGGCCATGGAGACCAAATTTGGTTCGGACAGACAAGGTACAAACTGTTGTATCACAGCTGCGCTCACTATGGCAGAGTGGAAGCGGGCGGGGCTTCGGATGCGTGTATGGGGTAGACGGTGAGTATCGATTATTGAGGGATTGGTTGTCGATGTGAGGTGAGGGACAGCGTATCGCTGCTGGTAACACACGTTGACATGCTTGTGGCGCATCCAAGGCTAGAGACTGAACATCGGTGAGCAGTGTCGCACAATCTCGCTCTGACCAACAAGATCTGTATGCCCACTTCCCCGATGCAAGCTACTGCACTTTGGCAAGTCCTAGAACTGACAAGGCTTCAACGATGGACGTTGGTCCAGTGACTCGAGCAAGTCCCACCTGATCATTTCCATACAGATTCCGAGAACAGGTCGACATTGTCCCAATGCATTTCGGTGTAGGATTTGCAGCGCACCATAGCGGAGCTGTAGGAGGACAGGCTGCATGTGATAGCGGTTGACGAGCGAAGCTAACAATGTAGCACAACGCTATGTGTTCGAGGTGATGAATGGGCTTTCGAACAGCAAGCAGCCATATGATGGTTTATACCAGCAGCTGAGCCATGGAATCCAATAAGGAGGATGTATCGTTCGCTTTCTCGGGTCTAATGCCATTACTAGGTTGACTTGACTTTTAAGCTTCGTGATACCATGTCTGATGGGTCGGCCTTCCAAGATGCTTACCCCGTCTCAGCATATAGGCAAGTAAGTTGAGTATGGCGCATGCCGTCTTCAGTCTGGGTATCTTGCAGATCATCAAACAGCCGGCCTGTGTTAGTCTTGATAGTGCGAAGTGCATGTTCGCGTGATCCGAGGTATCTCACAGCAGCATCTGTGATTGCGACACTCGTTCCAACGCCAGTGGTGCAGACAAACCAGCGTGACTTGATGTCTACAAGATAGAGGTAGACTGCTCACTGAGTGAGTGACCTTGCACCTCGAAAAGAAGTTGGTTATCACGTTGCCTGGTCAAACTCGGTGATGTGCGCCAGGAGACAGTAGTTCGGTGAGCGAGTCGCGCTAACGTCGGTCTGGGTGCATCGAACGTTTGGCTTGGCGACGATTGGCGACGGTTTGCAAATGATCAAAGTTCAGGCAATGTTCTTCATGGGCATTTATGGCCAAGCGACATTGGGAGTGTAGGGGGCAAATGAGATGATGTGCATGCCTGAGGTTTGTTTCTGGGGCGGAAATGACAGCACGGATAAGGCCGTCCGAATAGTAGCCGAGCTGCAACCTTAAAGGAGAGATTGAGTGGAGCCGCTGTTATTATAGGAGAATCATGACGCTGTTGTTGGAGTGTGGATGTGGATGCTTCAGGATGTGCAAGATTGCAACGGTGCTGGAGGCCGAATCAGGGAAGACACAGCAAGGGCGGCTGGCACGAGCACACTGGCAGATGGCCACGATGGTGCCACTGGTCTCTTGAGGCTGGACGCATCACTGACGCGACTGGAACAAGGCCTGCAGTCCGCTCGATGACAGCTAGACGCATGGCGTGGGACGCTGGGCGGGAGTGATTAACAGCAGCGCAAAGGTTCGTTCAACGAGGCTTTCCCAGGGCAGCTGGGCAATGTGGCGCGAATCCAGTTCCATGAGCCCATGTGCGCTGGGGGTTACCGAGACGATAGCGACGATTGAACACAGTGGCGGCGGCGTGATTCGCCCGGCTATTCCAGAAGCCAGAGGGCCGCGATAACATCGTCTTGGAAGTGCAGGGCGAAACAAGGCGCACAAGCCGCCCGGAGAGATGAGGATGGCCAGGGTGGGCGGGGACGCTGACGGCCTGTCAAACATGCGATGACACTCTGGGACCGAGACGGTGCAATGCAGTGCAGGAGCTGCCGGGCGGAGCGCCGTTTCGCGATGCCTCTCGCACGCTATGCAACGGCGCCAGAGAGCCAAAAAGACGGCGAAAAAGCAGCGGCAGTAGTGAGTAGGGCTTGCGTGAGGCCGCGCAGCCAGCGTCCCAACAATGCGTCGAGCATTCACCAGCGGCGCAGAACCAACCTGGGACGGCGACAGAAATGCACGTGCGCCCCCAATTGATATGATCTCCACCCGAAAAACACTAGACCAGCGCGCTAGTGGTCTGGCAAGGAAGCACGTCCGCGTCTCCTTCCTCCTTTTTGAGCCGCCGTCGCACTTTGTCTTTCGTGCCTTTCCTCCCTCAACTTCAAGTTCCACCCACCTTCGTTTTGCCGACAGTCGACCTTTCCCTGTCACGCACACGGCCTTACTAGTTTTAATACCTTTGTTTGCTGTTTCTTCCTCTCGCTCCAAGCATCTTTCAACCATCCACAGCCCTTAGCCCGTGTAAAGGAGCCTGCCAGCCATTGACCACTCTTAATATCATCTCCCACGTATCGAACGCTTCAATTACACAATGCCTTCCATCATGAAGATTGCCCTCCCGGCTTTGGCCGCCGTGGGTGCCGCACATGGTATGTTTTGCTCCGAATCGCCACGAGACGCTTGCTAATAGCACCACAACAGCCGCCTGCAGTGTCTCCGGAACCACCACCGTCCAGAACCAGGGTGACGCAACCGCCATCGCCTCGTGCTCCACCTTCTCTGGCAGCATTGCCATCGCCACCGGTACCACGGACGACATCTCCATCAGCGGTGTCAAGTTCCTCAACGGCAACCTGGTCGGTGCACCCAACTCGGCCATCAAGCGCATCAGTGCCAGCGACCTCGAGGAGCTCAACGGCGAGATGAACTTGGACGGGCTTACCCGCCTCAACGCCGTCGACTTCCCCAAGCTCAAGAAGGTCGACTCCATCAAGTGGAACGCTCTTCCCAACCTCCAGAACATCGGCTTCACCGCATCCGTCGAGGAGGCCAAGAAGATTGACATCCAGAACACCGCCCTCCGCTCCCTCCAGGGTATCAACATCGAGCAGGCCACCACCTTGAAGATTGCCAACAACGGCTACATCAATGAGATCAAGATGCAACTTGGCAACGTTTCGAACTCGCTCGACTTCTCCGACAACAACAAGGCCGTCAAGATCGAGCTGACCAACCTGATCTGGGCAACCAACTTGACTTTCCGCTCCTGCGGATCCATCCTTCTGCCGTCCCTCACCAAGCTGAACGGCTCGCTCGGTCTCTACCAGAACGGTTTCGAGTCTTTCTCTGCACCCAACCTGACCGAGGTCGGCGAGGCTCTTGCCATCGTTGGCAATGATAAGCTCACCAACCTGTCCTTCCCTCTCTTGACCAAGATCAGCGACAACCTGCAGATCGCCAACAACACCGGTCTCCAGAATGCTACTGGTTTCCCCGAGCTCAAGAGCATCGGTGGTGCCTTTGACATGAGCGGTAACATGACCGAGTAAGTCTAACTCTCTACCTTTTCCACGATAATTACTAACCAGAACAGTGTTTCTACTCCCAAACTGAACAACGTTGCCGGTGCCTTCAACCTCCAGTCGTCCGAGAACATGACCTCCGTCTGCGAACCCTACCAGGAGCTGAAGAACAAGAAGCTCATCCAGGGCAAGTACCTCTGCAAGGGCAAGCTCATCAACCCCGATGTTGCCGGAACCAACCCCAAGTCCCAGGGCTCGGGTGGTGACCAGAGTGGTGCTGCCACTCTCAGTGCTATGAACGGTGCCCTGGTCCTCGCTGCCATGGCTGCTGTCTTCATGCTCTAAAAAGTACACTACGCTGGCGTTTCCATCATAATTGCATAGATTACTCCCACGGTCGACTTTCTGTGATAGCGTATGGCATATCGCGGGCATTCCCGCCGTCGTGTCGAGCATTTTGAGGTCTGGAGTGGATTTGGGGACGAGTCTAATGGGTCAGTGCATCAATTGTATGTATTATTCGAATTGGGTACGAAGTGCGCATCATAGTACACCGCGGCCGCGCGCAGCATCCGTCAATTATCTTGTCAGGATAAACTTTTGGGTTGGCGCAAAATTCATGTATATGCTCACTCCTTTTCCTTGTGAATATACTTAACTGCTTCAATAATCTTTCGCCTTTGTGAACTCAATCTTGACAAACAAATTCCCACTCACAATCCTGCATCACTCCCCACATACCTAAGCAGATATTGCCGGCATATCGACTAATCACTCATTGGAAGCCAATACCCGCAGTGCCGTTGAAGACTACGCACCCTCACCATTCGTCACCACTTCGTCTTCGTGCCATCTCGTGGCTGACAGCGCCAATGGCCGCTTAGCGTCCAGATGTGAAGTGCCCATGTGGGGCTGCTGTTGTTGCTGCGCTACGTCGTATCTTCGTTGCATGAGCCTCGCGGTCGTCGTCTCGCTCACATCAGCCTTGGGATAGAGTCGCAAGGGGATCGCGGCTTCCTTCCCATTAGCGCTGCAGGCTTGCTGCAACCTGCAGTTGTTTTTGTATCACTCGAGGTTCGCGCGCTAGTCAATTCTCCACTCAAGTGCTCTCTTCATCCATGTCAACTTCTCTAGCACATCGGGAACGACAACGACCCTGGTCGCAATCTGCGCGGGCGCCTGGGGATCGTGCAAATCGAGAGGCATGCAGCAGATGCACCGTAGACCGGGCTGGCGTTTCGAAACGGTTCTCATCTGATCTGACCCGGCTATCATGACTTGGACGTAAGCCACAATGATACCCTGGCTACGAATCGAGCCTGCAGATCTGCTGCCACGGCTTCACAAGAAGACTCATCACATAAACAATCTCCTGTGCAGCAGTAGATGCGCTACAACTGCACGATCTGGTTTGACAGGTCCGTTATACACGGCTACTGTGAGCTCTCCTCGCTTTGTCCAGACATTCTTTGGCTGATGTTAAGGCGGTGTAATATACCTTGCATACTGTCCAGATGGCCACGAAAACGTCGAAGATTTCTTGACAAGGGGTGCCATGCTTGTTCGTTCAACGAGCGGCAGTGTTTCAGTGAAAGGCGGCAAGGGATGAGGACAGTGCCCCAAGCGTACCCCACAACCCGTACGACATGTAGCTGGATGTGAGGATCTCGATCGGGTAAGGCCTTATGTACCGCCACTGCATTATGACCCCCAAATGCAAAGGTCGTAAAAGGCGAACGCAGAAGCCTAATATGACATAGTGCTTTTCCCGCTTCCGCGCGCTCCCAGGGCCCATCATATGCAGCATGAAGCAATGGCCATCTCTTTTCCTGAGATAAAAGAGCCCTCATCTCCCGAATTGCAATGATACTTTCTCCTTCGTCAACCCTCATCTCACAAGATACTCGAGCACACCGATACTCCGTTACTACTCCTCTTTACAACACCACTGTCTCCACACTCAGTCAAGGTTCTCATCATGTCACCCTTCCAGCTACCACTCCCAGTGGTATCACAAATATACAACGAGGCCCAAAGCTGGTAAGTTACTACTTCTCAGATTGAAGAACTTTGCTCACAACATTTCAGCGTTCCTGAGCGTATACAATTGGCACCGTTACGTTTGGATGCTTCCGAATCCGAATACAGATCAAGTGTGCCGATGCAACGGCAACACTCGATCTCGTCCGCCACTGATTCCGGTCTGTCGAGATACTACGGGTCCTCATCGGAATCGCCAGCACAAACCCCATGCAGCTCTCCACGACTGGGACGGTCCAACACCCTTATCACTAGTAGATTTCATCCCTACTCGCCTTCGGCTGAGCCTTCATTCAGAGGAGCTCGCTGCCCATCTTGCCTAGAGCACGGGGAGCACGTGCCCATTCAACTTGGGGAAGCGTGTACGAAGTGCAACACCATCTTTGTTGATCAGCGGTCAACCGGCAAGGTGACCCGCAAGAAGCGCAACGACCGCGTCCTGTATTCGCGTCTGGCCACAGGGGGTGCCAAACCTCACGAGGCCAGGGCGAAAGACCAAGTCGAGGCAGGAAATCGCCTGGACCATACTACCCTGATCGGCAGACTTCAACACTTGCTGGAGAGCTTCAACCCAGATCTACCTACTCAAGCCCGCGTCGGCGACGGGCGTTTCAAACTTGGATGGAAAGCTTTGAATCCCAATAATACCAGCAAGGATATCCGGCAACCCTTGACATGTAACAAGAGCGAGGTCTTCATCTCGACCGAGCAAGCTATGCGGGATCTATGGGCTACTCTTCAGAACATCATCGACTACATGCCCGCAGGCGATGCTCAGCGCATCAGGGCCTCCTGCAGATCGGTCGGTACGCACGACTTTCAGGTCCCATTCAAGGCACATTACAAGTTGTAGCACTCGCGACAGGCTCGGGGCATCATTCCCGGCATAACAACACTTTCGGATCTTTTTACCTCTCTCCTTCTGTTCGGTGGTCTGGTTCTCGAGCGATTTAGCGTGGGTCGTGGCAATGTGTTCCACAAAAAGTTCTCTCCTTCTACAAAATCTGGCGGCGATTCCCCCCCTCATGCAAGAGGCTGTTCTTCGGCGCAATACCTGTCGTGTACTCTTTGGTATTCCTTACGCGTACATTTCGCCCAGCGTGGCACTCATCATTTCCTTTCGTTAGCCACTGCTGGCATGCATGATAATGATGATGGATTTTCTAATGACGGCCTGTACGACAAATGGGGATCTGAATTATGGCTTAATGCAGGTAATATTGGTATACATTGGTAAAGCCGGTGTGCGGCACATATGCTGGCACTGCATACAAGTTTGGAAGTTGCAAACGAGTAATAACACACGTTTTCCTCCTCCAAGACCTTCCATCAGCAGTCGTTTTCGTGTGACGTGTCTTCGACTCACCTCTTTTCTCCGGATTGCATTGCCCTGCATTTGGGCTTGAAATATCATCCATACACGTCTATTGCATGGCCATTTAGTCTTACGCAAATACTCCGCTTTAGTACGTCACTCGAACCTTTGGCAAGCACTGGCGCTGCGCGACGTTCCTTCCTTCCTTCATTTCACCCATCTGAGCATTGATCGACTTGCTATGATTTCTCGCATGGGACCATGTCCTCTCTAGACAACCACTCCAACTGCCAACGGCAATCGGAAGAATCCCTGCTAGATCGTCTGCGAAGGATTCGCGCGTGCGGAAGCGGAACGTTGGCTGCTACGCGAGATGTGTGTCACACTGGATATCCAGAGGCGAGAAAGTGCTGTACAGTCCAGTCGATGTCAATCCTCGAGCAGCAAACTCCCGCGGAGTTTGCGAAACATCAGCGACGGAGACGACTCCGATGTGGATCAGGATTCGACGGGCAGAAACGCCTTCTTGTCCTGCATAATGGTGGACCTCTAGCCGCACGTCATATAGTCGAGGCCCATCGCTGCAACTACACACCATCTTAACGCCTACGGGACGGAACGTGGTTTGTGATGCTAAATTGGTCTAACAGATTGGCCCAGCGGGCCCTCCCGTTTTGAGCATGATGCTTTACCACACAAGCTCAAAACGTCAAGGGAGTGGTGCATGCAGCGCCTGCTAACGTCGTTTTGGACCAGGTAATCGGCCCTTCATCCGACATGTCACACAAGTTCAAGTGGATGGAGCTTGTGGGCCAGACAATCATGTCGCGGCGGTTTCCTCCGCAGACTGGAGACGGAGATCAGCATCCTAGATTTACGGAGAACGTGGCCGGCGCCTACTCGAAAGATGGTTCTTGAAACTGCAGGTCTCAGGTAGAATTTTGGTCTCGATGCTCAGACAGCTCACACTTTTGGATGTGGCTTTTGAGAGATCAGCACACGACGCACGTCGACGGAAGAACACATGGTACATGCAACTTGCCGACGCCTCCAATACCAGACAGCTGCGCGGAGAAACGCGTCCAGACTCGCCCAAAGCGTTCAAGTCGTCTGGCAAACCGTCGCATTTGATCTCGGACTTGCTCGCACGCTCGCACGCTCGCACGCTCGGTGGCTGCGGGGAAAGCCCTCCCCGTGCCGCAGGTCTAGCATATCAACGGCGAGTACGGGCTGTCAGTATGCATGCTAAGATGCCGCTGTTACCAGCAATACTTGATGGCGGTGAGCAATCTGGAATAGCCAGGACGTCTACGCTGGTTACACATGGGAAGGCGTCCGACGAGCCTCGCCTTGGTCCCATCGTCATTGACAAAATTGTCATCGGTTAGGCGCAGGCAAGCATTGACATCTGCAGTGTCGCAGGCCTTGGAGAAGGATTGGGTCGGAGGGATATTGCGCCCCCCACAACGGGGGAGTGAGTACGAGAGTACGAGATGTGGGTGTCGTGGTAGGTTACTTGGATGCCACCAGGCCCTCATGCTGTATCAACTTCCTCGTCTCACAAAGAGCAAAGTTTGGCACAACAAGGGGCCCTGCGCGCAAATCGGATGTAGATTCAGCGTCGCATCACATTCCTCAGCTCGCATCGCATGTGGTGCTACTTGCATTGACAAGGCCGTAGGTCTGCGCTGCGACACGACTGGGGGATGCGGAGGAAATTTCTTCAGGCTGGACCGTTACAGCAGGGCTGAGACACTTTTGCGTGCAATGCTACGAAAGGGCGATAAGCTTTCGACTTTGAACGTTCGTGCGTGATGCTTTTTTGTCGTGTTGCCGGGTGAACACATGCCGCACACTAGCTTTCGGCCCGCTGCGTGTCATCGATCGTGAGATGAACATGTGCATTGTGCTGGACGCCTTGGGTGATTCTCATAGTCACGACACTCAATAAAGCACTCTGAAGCCGTTCGTTCTACTGTTTTACTCTCCGCCCGTGGCGCACCGTAGCGCGAGATGGCTTCAGTTGGCGCAAAATGGGATGACGTATCCGGAGCAGGGGTACCAATCGCGACTACCAGCTAGGACGCGGAGTGTTTGTTTACGATAGTGGCTAGGCAATATCGACCACGGAACCAGACGAATAGACATATCAGCCATAGCAAGAGATAGGCATTGCAATCGAGAACGTTTCGCACTTTTTCTACGTGGCGCAAAATCCCAATTCGCGCATAGTCGTACCTGGACAGCGAAACGCAGAGCTCGACTTGAGCCCACGATCGTTGTACGCCATTTCCTCACGAAGGCAACCAGACCATAGCGCACGCTATACAGACCCGTCACTTCCCCGATTACCTCTCACCTTCCCCGCCCATCGTTCCCAAACCCCTGCGCTCCGGCGCGCCCACCGCAAAGCTGGACTCTCCACCACCCACGTCCGCAACACTGCACGTCCAGCGGAAACGCAGCGACACAGACGCCATCCGCGAGCGCAGTGTATCAGTGCGGTTGTCACAAGCAAGAGGAGACGAAGAAGACTCCACGTACGGCGGCAGAGCTTCGCCGGTCGAGATGTTGCTGGGAAAAGGGTACACATGGAAGACGGCCAAGACACGGTTGCCGCCGTCACGGCAGCTTCTTCATTCGCTGAGGAATCCGCGATTCCTGTTGGGATTCGGCTTGTTCACGCTCTTCATTGTGCTGTGGCGGTCGCTGAGCCCAATGGCGGGAGAGGTACAGAGGTATGTCATGTGAAGCACTCGCACTCATTGGACGGCATGACGTCTTAGAAGCGAGTATGTGCTGACTGACCAGATCCAGGTTCTCTTGCTTCGGTCCCTCGAAGCCTCCCATGCGCATGAGTGCGAACGAAGCCGAGGACTGGCATGCCCATATGCAGACGCCTGTCATTTTCAACCACCATACGCCTGTCGAGATCAACGAGACTGAGGTGCAATATGTGAACCTCAATGGCATCGACTCCACTATAGACGCCGTACGCAACAAGGAGCGTATGTTGATCGTCACGCCCCTGAAGGATGCCTCGAAGCACCTCGCAACCCACTTCGACCTCCTCGTGCAGCTTACCTACCCGCACGAACTCATCGACCTGGCTTTCCTCGTCGGCGATACAAGCGATGATACCCTAGCAATTCTAGCAATGGAGCTCGAGAGGATCCAGACAAACCCGGACGTCGCATTTCGATCAACCATGATTGTACAAAAGGACTTTGGCGTCAACATCAAGCAGGAGGTCAAGGACCGACACAAGTTTGAGAACCAAGGCCCGAGGAGGAAGGCCATGGGTCGAGCGAGGAACTATCTGCTCGCCACTGCACTAAAGCCCGAACACAGCTGGGTCTACTGGCGCGACGTCGACATCGTTGACAGCCCCAAGTCCATCATCGAAGACTTCATCGCACACGATCGCGACGTGCTCGTTCCCAACGTCTGGTTCCACCGCTACGAGAAGCGACATGGCGAAGTCTTTGACATTGAAGGACGCTGTAAGCCATCCTCTCCACTTCCTCCTGCATATCACTAACACATCTCAGTCGATTACAACTCCTGGCAAGAATCCCCCCAAGGTCTCGCCCTCGCCGCCACACTCCCCAAATCCGTCGTCCTCGCAGAAGGCTACAAGCAATTCCCCACCAATCGCAAATACATGGCCCTCACCGGCGATCCGCGCGCCAACAAGGACGAGGAAATGCCCCTCGATGGCATTGGCGGCGTCAACATCATCGTCAAGGCGGATGTGCATCGTAGCGGCATCAACTTCCCCGCGTATGCTTTTGAGAACCAGGCGGAGACGGAGGGGTTTGCGAAGATGGCGAAGAGGGCGGGGTATGGGGTTTATGGATTGCCGAATTATATCGTCTGGCATGTGGATACCGAGGAGAAGCCGGGGAATGTTTAGAGATGGGTGGGAGGGGGGGGGAGAACGACGCATATAGAGGAGTTTGGGCGATATGACTTTTCTTTTGGAAGGGAGGTATTTACCTGGTGCATATTAGCGTATACCCTTTTGCATGATATGAATGGCGTGGATCAGAAGGAGATGCTTGGTCAATGTGTATAGATACATGCCGGATGTAAGCAGATATCTGGTCGTATTACTAACTTCATGGCTAGAAGCAATGGACAGAATGATTCAAATGCCTCCATGTCCACGTGTGAATCAAATCAGATGAGATAGCTTGAGTTGTGTATGACAATGCTTAAAATCAAGCTTGTCTGTAGAATCAACCACACAGTGTCAACCATGTGTGTAATAAGACCCCTTCAATTCAAGGAGGAGGGAATCTGAAGGAATAATCATGGTGTCGCAGATCTAGCGAGTCCAGACTCGTGCGCTCAGTGACGACGAACAGAATGAATGCATCACAATCGGGTTTTATCCCAAAAACATCACCGTGTCTGCGAGGTACGCAAGATTGCAGTTCAGCAGCAGTAGCAACGCATGACACCATGCACACCCACAGACTCATCACATCACAAATCCAGAACACGATATTTGCAAAATAATGCCTCGTTTTTCTCAATTCCGTCCCTACTCTATGTGCAAAAACACTCCCCTCCTTCACATATCTACTCTCAACTCTCAACCATCCACCTCCTCCTTCCCGCCTCTGCTGTTTGTTGTTGGATAGAAAAGAAGACTAGAAATTAGACAATTAACGCCATGGAAACCCGTAATTTGCCCCCGCTTTGACCCCGCTGCCCTAGAAAACGCACACAGGATAGAGAGTAAGAAAGCAGCATCTGACCGGTTCCGACAAGTATTGTACAGACCGCGATGGGGGAGATGGAAAAGCAATGAGCTGCGACAGGACATCTGCAATCGTCGTAGTTTACTTTGATGATGATGATGATGATGAAGAATAGTTAGGCCAACGCGCGCCGTTTCTATGCCGTTCGAAGGAAATCGTCACGTCTGCCGCGCCACGTAGGGGGCAGATCGATATGTATGTGTGAGCTTTTTGTGCGGTCAATCAATGGGATGTGGAGCTCAGCCAGCGAGCCGGTATACGGGTGAAGATGCGGATGGTCGTCGTCAAAGTATGGTGCGGAAATTCAAAATATTGCAGAGGCAGACTATGCCTTGGAGACCATGCTCAACTGCGGCCTGAGCTGGTTCAACATATCGTCCTTGGTGAACACCACACCCTTGGGGATCTTGCTGACGCGGTTGGCGCCATTGGCAATGGCGTTCCTGCCGACGGCCGACATGCCGGATCGGTTGGAGCGAATGGAACCAGCATCCGATGCGTTCGAGCCAGGATCGCGGAACTTAGGCGGCGGCGCAAAGTCGAGGCCGGTGAAGAGACCTGATTTGCGAAGCAGATGCGGGCTGGGCAACACAGCGAGGTCATCGAAAGAGCTGGCTAATGGAGTGTGCGGTCGGACGGCTGGGCTATACGGCCTGGGGCTGCCCAGAGGGCTGTCTGGCCTCATGCCATTTTGTCTTTCACGATAGGAGACCGGGGGAGCAAAGTCAAGTGCGTTGAAGACCATGGCATCCTCGGACAGCTTGGCTGGCGTAGGTAGCGACGAAAGAGCAGAAGGCGGTGGCAAAGGCCTCTTGGGTGGCGGTGCCCGACCGCTCATGGATGACATGTTTCGGGGTGGGTAGTTCGAGGAGGCCATTGAGCTGTTCGACATGTGTGGGCCACGGGGACCGGTCTGAGTGTTGCTTCGGAACCGCGGGGGTGCGCGAGGGGGAGGAGTCATTGCGCGACGGGTTACAGGAGCGGCGAAGGGTGCGTTGGGTTGGGCTGCGACAAACCCTCTCGAATGTGTGTCGAAGACTGGGCCATCCTGGTGGTACTCGGAACCATAGTCCTCATAATAGTCGGTGTAGGTGTGGCCGCCAACTGGTTCGGGCTTCGAATCGTCAAAGTACTCCTTGTAGAAGGATCGGATGCGCTCAGCACGCTGTGCTGGGTCACCTTCCATGTCATCCGGGGGCAGAGGGCGCATAATGGACAGGCGGTTACTGTTGTTACCAAACTCATCAATGCCCAGACCCTCGCGGGTGGTGGACAAGGGACGTAGGGGCTGAGGTGCGACAAGTCCTGGCGCGGCAGCCATGGTTTGACTTAGACGAGGTGACGGGGGAGTGATCTGGAAGCCATCGCCGTAGCTTGACGTGCTGATGATACTGGTGGTGTTTGTATTTTCATAGACGGCAGCCTGGTGCGACTGTACACGGGTAGGGTATGCGGGAACGGCAGGTTGCTGTACAGGGGATGTTGAGATCTCGGGCTTAGCGGCTGCGGGCGCAGGGACAGCGATGATGGGGACGTTGGGAGGACTTGAGGCTGAGGGGGGTGTTCTCGAGTGCGGCAGTTCAGTCGCTGGCATAGCGAGCGGCTCACCCTCGAAGCGCGGGTTCAGTGGACTCAAAGCGATGTTCTGCTCGGGAAACTTGACGTCTGGCGAGGTTGTGCTGTCGGGAGAAAGTGACTCGGATCGCATCGGACGCGAGGTCGACATTCGCTGGGCGTTGTTAAGAAGACCGTCGCCCATCCTGTTTCTTTGCGTTCCACCACTTGACATTGTCCTAGTCGTGTACAGAGACCCATTGTCGTGTCCGTATCCGCGGCTCTGACTGCGGATGCTCTGGTTGTCGTTGCGAAGGAAGGTGACTGGGCGGTACGGGTCGTGGGGGTCGTTCTGCGAGCGCGAGAGCGAGTGAAACGACTCGCGGGAGCCGTGCAGGCCAACAGGAAGGATATAGGGGTTTCCACCTTCGAGCGAGATGCCGCGGCTATGAGCGCCTCCCCTGATGTCCTTCTCGGTGATGCTCATCTCAGGACCGCCCTTGTTCTTCTTGCCAGCCCCACCCATGCCGAAGTCCATGGACTTGTACTTGTCCTTCGCATCTTCCGCTGCGAGCTTCTTCTGATTCCGTCGGTGCAAAAAGACTAGGACGATAAGGAGTCCAACGACGGGGACACTACAGGGAATTAGCATGGCCAGTATACGGGCGGCGATTCTCCTACATAGCAGCCAGTGCGATAGCAATGGTCGGGACCTGTGTTGGTTTCGTGCAGCCGGGATCGCTGTCGTTGGTGCACGTGGTTCGCGCAACGAGGACGCGGCTCGCGCGGTCGACCAGTGTGTGGGTAGCAGAGGTGCTGGCCGCCATCTGTGCGTCGCGCCTCAGGTGGTGCATGTGAGCGTGCTGGTGATGATTATGCATGGCTCTGGCAAGTGTGTCTCATCCGGTGCCAAAGGCGGCAGGTACAACGGTGTGCGGATGGCGGGTGGGCTCCAGGGGTCGTGTGCGGTGAGGGCGCAGTGTTGTGATGCTGGAGGTGCAGTAATACTATCGATAATTACAGCGTAAGGTCGTTATTGCGGTCGTAAAGGGCCCGAGAGACGGTGTATATGCAAGAGTCGAGTACGGGGTGTCAACGAGCGTGACGGCAGCAGCCAAAGTTTACCAACAACAAACACAATGCGAGCCCAAAAAAAGAGTGACTGGGGTAAGGTGCGGACGGTGGAAGTCGTGGTGACGACGAGGTGAAAGTTAGTGAAGGAGCGGCGCTCACAGGCGAGTGAGTTGAAGAGGGAAGAAGCGACCAGGCACGACCTCGAGGAGTAGATGAGGCTTCGAAGGAGCTTGGTGTCTGGAAATGGCTGACAGGCCCGCTGATTGGCTGCACGCGCCGCCAGTGCATGGGTTAGGCCTGCGACGCCGGGAAGTGAGTGCATCCAGGGTTCGCAGCTTAGGCGCAGCCACAGTGTTTGATGTTGTGTAATTGCGCTCTTTTACATTCCGGGCCACTTTCCGACCTGGCGCACCACGATTCTGTGCTGAACAGCCTTTGTGCGCGCTCGTGAAGCTGCTCGTATCGCTATCAGTGGCACATCCCGCTGGCGATTACAGCAGATCGCGCCTCACGTTCAGGAGGCTATTGGCGGCTCCATGCAACTCAGCCGTTTATTTCGAGACGCACGCTGATCGCACCCCATCTGGAGCGCTATGTCCAGATGGGGATGCTTAATGCAGGTACCGCCGGGTGCCCTGTTGTGATTGGCTTGTTCCTGATTGTCGACAGGGTTCGCTGTTGTGCTCGTCCAGACCACAGGAAAATGTTGACGCGCCTCAGGCCCCTGAGCCTTTTCTGGAAGAATTCTCCTCGCGACACCAGCGCATCTGTACTTCCTGTGCTACCCTTCGCTGCTCAGCTTCTGTTCTCCGAAGCGGTTCGTCCGGCATTGAATCTTCAGGCCATCCCGCCGAGCAGAAGCCTCCCCTCTCCTTTTCTAGCAGAGGGGGCTTGCTTTGGTCGAGATGCTGCGGCCCGCCGCCTTCATTTCCCGTACCCACAGACCGCAGTCTCGTTGTTGATTTGTGCACGTCATGAAGCGGAGCCTCGCGCTTCTTTCAGAGATTCCCGAACACACTGCAGCGTGCACCGCGGGACCGTAGGCCAAGCATCTCATCACGCCAGCGCTTTCTTATATTAGCTTCGTCCGTCTTGGATAAGGCGTCTTCATCTATGGAAATTGTGCAGCTGCTGCGAAAAGCGACCGATGTAAGCTTTCCCCTTTCCCCTGGCGCTAGATGCCTCCATCGCTGAGCGCGCCCAATCACCCGGTCTCTGTCGTTGTACCTGGGCGTGGTCTTGTGTAGCACCGTCGACGTGGAGCGCGTTGCACTATCTTCAGCGTCGAAGCGAGCTACGGCGATAAGGCGGCCTTGTTAATGCACATGTCCTCGGCGCCCCGGATGGATCACGAAATCTCGCCTCTGGGTCCTGCCCAGGATAACCTGGTCGCTCCCTTCATCAAAAGCGCAAATTAGCCGTCTAGACCACCAAAAGATGGGGTTTGATAAGATATAACCATCGAGTCAAAGTGCTGTGCATGATGTAATGTTGACTTGTGTTTCTATGTACTAAATGGCAAACCTTGTGCGACATGACTCCGAGCATAAGAAATAAAGTGCATGGCAAAAAAACGAAAAGAAAGAACACCATCGCATGAAACCCATAGACCAAAACAACATCAAGTCTAGACATCGGGTTGATATCTTTCGTCGAGCCCTGCAAGTGGTGTTGCCCTCCCCATCTCCGAATCGACTGTCTCCACCGTCTGAAAGTACATTCTGATTTCCATCCAGTGGGCAAACTGCTTTCCAACGCTAAGCTGAACCCTCGGCATCCCGCAATCATTGCTGCGTATAAGTTGCCGTGCACATTGCTCTGCTTCCCGGCGGAGTCGGTTTCTTATACTGATGATTGGAGTGGCCTGGACTGGGTGTTGCGTATCCTCGTCGTTCTGCTTGCCCTGCTCCTGTACTTGGCCCATCGGTCCGTCACGATCGTCCGAGATTGTGGTGGTGATAGTGACTCTTCCAAAGCTGTCCTGCCAGTCCTGCAAGACTGTTGACACGAAGCTTGGAATGTTGGAAGAGGAGTGTGCATGCACGCCGTATTTCCACTCGAGCATTAGATCTAGAGGCAAGCTACCCTTGCGGAGGACTATGAACGCAAAAAATGCTTCTGCATCCTCGGCAGAAAGCTGCAAGAGGTCAGGATCTGGAGAACTTGGACTTCTGTTCGCATTGTATGCAACCTTGATGCTGCCGACTGTTTGGATCAGTATCAAACGCAGATCCATCTTTTCTTCTGCACCTTTTTTTTTCTCCGTGTTGTTTTGCCTCTTCCTCTTCTTCTTCCTCGTCTTCACTGATGTCATCTATGCGACAATTCATTTCGAAGACCTTGTTTCTAGCAAACGCCTGGATTGCTTCGATGAGAAATTGGCGATAAGGAGCGGTCCACCGAGGAATTTTCTAGTGGACTAGATCACGACTGGTCTTTTCTGCATTGATATTCCACTTGTATGCAGTGAGTGCGAATTCGGGGTAATCAATAGTACATCCCCATCGATAACCGTTCGTGATCATCCGTGATGGAAAAGCTTCTTTGTAGATCATTTCCTGGATCTCGAGAGGCAAGTTGAAGAAGAAAGGAAGACAAGAGGTGCTGGCCATTGCTAGTGACGAGAAACATGATTGCTCAGAAGAGTGTGTCTTGCTAGTGCGATTGGTATAGCAGGTATTCCATACACTCTATCGGGAGAAGAATCTGATGTGAATAAATAGAGTTGCGTTCAACACTTCCGCAGCTTTGACTGAGAATGCTATGGTTCTCAGTGAGGATCTACCGTGGTTCTCAACGAAGGGTTGACCTCTGGCGTCCATTGCTGTTCCTCGGTTCGCAATATTGGTACTGGGCTGTCAGATACAGGTAGCGTGGACACATTCAATTTTTGACAGTTTTCTTACAAACAGAACTGGTTGGATTGAGAACGACCACCGTTCGGCCTCGGCACTGACTGGAGCTATACACACTGTCGAGGCTCGAATGTTGTATGGCATCGGTAAGCTGTTGATAGATGTCGACGAGTTTATGTTGATTCAAATCTTGAGCATCCTCGCACTTTGGCATGGCGGGTATATCTACAAGCTGTCGCAATATACGTTCCGAATTAGCATTCTGCTAAATTTCGTCCACGGGAGAGCTGTGCCTCGAGATATCGTCCGCCATGCAGTGTGTCGACGTGCAGTAGTACGGCCACATGATGGACAGCCGCTCCATCAGTATATGCGCAGCCAAAGACGGTAGTGCGTGCTATCGTGGGGTATAGCGTAACGTATGCCGGCTGGTGTTTTTGAGACTGGGGAAGTCGAGCCGAGGAAGGCGCGATCGCTATGACGCACGGGTCCCCTTCTTCTCGTCGACAAATCACCAGCAACCAACAGATACCTACATACACGCGACCATTGCCCTTAGCAAATCTGCTGCCTGCCCTCCTTTCTACCTCACAAGACTGACGGAAAAACGAAACCGCGCAATAATCAACCAGCCTGAGTGGCTCCTACGATTCATTCATCCCTCTGGTCCCTGCGCATAAATCGCCCCACACTCTGTCGCGCAAGTACTTCAAGGGTCCGATTCGATACTCCAACACTCTGAATATCTCGCACACACGCTATGTCGAACTCAACTCCTATGTCTTCGCAAGGCGCAACGACTCGTACAGTGACGCCTACGTCGCAAGGCGGCAGCAGAACTATGGAGGTTCGCCCTCAGCCTGTCTTGCGACTGTCAGCGCCTTCGGGAGTGCTCCGTCTACGAGCGGAACCGACTGAGCGGAGACGCATCCAGTGGGCAGAGGACGTTGTCGATAACGAGGGCATGGGCAAGAAGTCTTCCAAAGGTAACGATCACGTACCACGTTCCACTGTAGCCTCCACTGACATTGCTCATAGTTTGCTGTATCTACCACAAGCCCCGCGCTGCTGACGAATCTTCGGACGACGAATCCTCTGGCTCTTCCTCTGATTCAGATTCAGACTCCGAGGTTGATAACAGTACAGCTAGACCTAGCAGTGGGGCTGGTGGTCATCGAGGGCGTGCGCACAAGCATGACCATGGAGATTGTGAACACGGTCATAATCACGGCGAAGGCTCGGGCAAGCCACAGAAGCGCCGTCAACGACGAAAGCCTAGCCCCAATGCCTACGAGAAGATGCCCAAGGTCAAAAAATAGATGCCGGGTGCACCGAACGTGGGGCATATCATGAAGCCATGCTCTCGTATTGCTTCTACGAATTTAACGAATACAAAACCTTTGGTGCGCCTGGTCAGTTTCAACAGGGAGTTTCAGGAGTCTCTTTCAGTACGAGACTAGATTACGTTTGCTAGCATAGCGGATTTTGCGATTGACCGTTTACTACGAAGAGTCGCATTACCTAGGTGCATCACGATCTTCTGTCATCGGGCATTTCAATTGGAGTAGGATCGTTCACCGACGAAACATCGCATATGCCGATTGTAGCTTCATTAACGTAGCATAACACTGCTATCTGCTCTAGAAGCATTATACAATGTCAACCCCATCTTCCCACTTGGAAGTGTGATGTTCACTCTAACCTGACGCCGGCACATGCATGCCGCTTGCAGCAGGACCTTCCACCCACTGCTGCGTCCCCACCCGTCGGGCTGATTTACATGTCTTGTTTGCTGATACTGCTACATGATAATTCCTTTTCGTCGAATCGTCTTTCCGCGAATCGGATGGTGAGTGAGCATACGCGACCTATCGCCGAGTACATGTCTCATCCAATGCTACAGCGACACAAGTTTTGCGGCATATATTTCAATCCCCACGGCCACTCATTCCGGTGCAGCACCTGCATTAGCCTGCTCAATCACTGCAGGAGCGTGCTGCGTGGGAATGCGGACAAGAGTCTGGGGCAGTGGAGGGTCTGCGTCCGGCTTCGCGTCTGCGTCTTCCTCTTCCTTCGGCTTTGGTAATTTTGCTTTGCATCGTCAGATGACATGAAATTTCAAAATGATCCAAGACTTACTGGACGCCATGTTGATAGCGCGGAGGACATTGTGCCAGTTTGATAGGACGGCTGCGACCGCTAGAAGGAAGACACGTCAGTATACATGAAGAGCAGATTGATCCTCGATAAACATCTTGGATAGATTTTGCGTACCTTCCGTGCCGTCTGAAAGTGTCGAGAGCTTATCAGCGAGCAGTTGCATCTGATCTGCCAGCCCTCCGCTGAGTGCCTCTAAGTCTTTGAGGTTCGCGAGTTCAGCCTTCTTCTCTGCAATGCGCGCAAGTAGGACTGGTGAATGTTGCTGTGATCCGCCCAGCGACTGGTTACGGAGATGCGACGGCAGCGGACGCGCGTAGTTCGACATGTTGTTCCTCCACAAATTGATTTTCTTGTCCCACAGGTTTTCGCTGTTATTGATATCGCTGTCGTGATGTTCCGAACGCGCTCTGCCCCACTCACGTGTCTGCGCATCAACCCTGTCATTATTTTGCCGAGCACTAGCGTTGTTGCTAAGGTAAACAACGCCCCAAACCTTCTCGATTATGACGATAACGACACGGAAACAACGATCGAGATAAACGTTAGCAACGCTGCGACTCACGCGTCTCATACCACTACCATCATACTTAATCTCGACATACCTATATTGCGCATATGGCGCGTCTGAACGAGCCGCCGATAGCACCGCAGCCTTCGGCGGAGACGATTGATGCTGGTGAGGACACTTGATGACGGGAGGGATGGCATGAGCTGACGAAACACGCAGTGAAAAGAAGATTTCTGAGACAAAATCGCGAGCTGGCAAAGTAGGTGTATACTGCTAATGTGTGTCGAGACGGCTGGGCTAACTCGGCTCAGAACCAATTCGCAGCAGTCTATCCGCATCCGCAGTCTCGAAAATGACTGCTCGCGCCTCCTCGCTGAGAATCTCTCCCTACGCGAACAGGTTCTACAACTTCAAAACACACTCGAATCCCAGCCATTGCGCCCGTCGTTTGAAAATATCGATGCCGTCAAGTCCAAGTTGGAAGCTAAGATGGCAGAGCTTGGGGGCTTGGTCGCAGAGTTGGGGCAATTGAAGAAGGCGGACCGAAAACCTCATTGCAGGACACAGCTTGCGACGCGACGAAATCCGGACGAAAAGCAATGGCGCAGTGGACTGGGATTGCAAGAAGTGGAGAATGCTATGATGCCTACCATCACAGAGGACAAGCACTATCCCAGGCGAACTATGGGGTACGTTGATCTTACCTGGTCTGAAGGAGGGCGAGTCTTGGAGATAACAGAAAGTTGAAGTTATGGATATGCTAACATAATTTAGTGCGGATGAACTGCGAGAAGTTTTGGAAGATCCCGACAGCCAGTCACCAGATATTGGGCCACCTCCAGTGTCGCGATTTGACGACGAGGGACCAATCTCCTACAACCCTGAGCAAGCAGATGCAGCGCAGCCCGAAGGGGACAACGAGGACGGAGAACCAGCGCTTTCAGTAAACCTAGAAACGCGTAAGAAGCGAAGGGAGAGCGGGCCGAAGTTGAACATTCGACGCGTATCGGTTTTCGAGTCACCACCCGAGAACACAGAGGATGGCGCAACGAGGGCTGTCAAGGCTGGCGCGAAGCGGAAGTTTAGTGTACAGGAAGACGAGGACAAGAGCCAGTCCAAGTCGGAGGCCTTTAGGTTCAGCCGCCGAAACGCTCCTACATCCGAGACTGAGGCGTCTAACGAGGATTCTGGACCTTCCTCTCCGGAGAGGCCAGTCCTTGGAAGCAGTGAGTCGCGTTGTTTGATCGCAGTAGACGTATGCTAACAGTCTATAGAACCTGTCAACACGGATCCTATGGTCTCACCGAAGAAGCAACGCCAATCTGTACAGGATAAACCCGAGAAGCCGGCCCTACCTCCACCAAAAGCTCGGGTTAGTCGCCCACGCCTCAACATCAATCGCACCATTACGCCACCCGAGATACCATTGCTTCCAATGCCCGAGCCTGTCATGACTGCCGAAATCACCCTCGACGCATTACCGCCGAAGACACCTGCCGTGGAGACTATATTCTCTCCTCCAACAACCGAACCGTCCACATCGCGACCAGAAAGCAAGGACACGCCACCACCCGGTGATCTGAGCGCGGCGGACCAGATTGGCGCAGGCAGGCCAGGGCGAAGGGCGCGTCCGCAGGTCAGCTACAAAGAGCCAAGCCTACACACCAAGATGCGACGACCGGATGCTAAGCTTGTAGACGCGATCGTCGAGAGGAGAACGAGCGTGGAGCCACAGACAGCACCGTCGACAACGAGTAAACCGACCGCCAAGCGCGAGTCAGCCGATGAGTTGGGATGGAAGCCAGTATCAGCTATCGCTGGTCGTGTTGGAGAAGAGGAGGCCGAGACTGGAAGTCCTCTGAGGCAGAAGCTGGATCGCCGAGAAACCGGCCAAGAAGGCAAAAGCCCATCTTCGTCAGATTCGATCGAAGTCCAAGCGTCCTCAGCTTCGAAGGCGATTTCGGCGCTCATAGACGAGACCAGTACCGCTAAACGGAAACAAGCTCCTTCAGCGCCCACATTGAACCCGGCGTCCGATTCCTCTTGGCAGAAGACGCAGAGTAAGCCAATAACGAAAGATCCGATTATCAGGCAAGAAGAAGGAGCCAAGGATAATCTCGCCATTTTCGACTTCACGGAGTCCTCACCCGCCGAGATTGCTGCCAACCCACGCGCCCGCATCAACGAACTCGCAAAAGCGGCTCGGAACGCACGTCGCCACTCCTCCGTCCCAACATCCTCGCTATCCGAAGAGCACAAAACCGAGCGCCCTGAAGGTGCACTTCCTTCCCTGCATAAGCGCACCGGAAGTGGAAATGTAAAGAGCTCAAGCACGACTAGTTTGGGCAAGAGTACATCATCGAGACACGTTGGTGTAAAAGACAAGAAGCCTGGACTGCCGCCTAGTAATAGCAGTATCGATATCAAGGCCAAAGTTGATGCAGTAGAAGAAGAACGAAAGATCAGGGAAACTACTGCACTTAGGGCAGAGAGGGCGGCGAGCCGCAGGAAGAGCATGCTGATGTAAGGAGAGCAGACTTGGATAAGAGGAGGCATGTGCTTTTTTGGCGTTTTGGGAAGATTGATGATGATGCTGCTTCCTCTTTATGACTTGACATAGCGATGGCGCTTCGCGAATGATACCACCAACTCGTTGCTTTCGTTCTGGAATACCATCTTTTTGTTCTGACATTCGGTCGGTGTCTTGGTACATCTCAGGCATGCGTGTCTGCTCAGTGAAGGATCCGAAGATGGGTGTATACGCATACTCTTGATGCTGCCAGGTTCTAGCAATCGAGATTGAACGCAGCTCACAAGTAGCATTTGTCCCCTGTCGTATATACGCTTTTGTCCGTTGCTCGCAGGATGAAAAGTTGTTGTGTCCCCACTATCGCAGACACCGCGTCGACGGGTGGAGTATGAGCCATGAAGAATATGGCGGTTATGTTATTTCGTATGCATCTCCGTGAAGATCAGTGCGAGGTGATCGAAACATGTTGAGAAGCCAGCGTCATACAGAACATCTTGTCATTCCGTGACGAAGGACCAGACCGATTTTCCGAGGTAGGAGAGAGGTTGTTCGCAATAGAAATTGTCCGACAGCCACGAATTCTCTCCCGTCATAAGAAGAAGGGCCGCAAGTATTTTGGCGAATAGACCCTTCTATTGCTATTTTCAGCGAGCCTGGACAAGTCCTCGGGATATATTTGGACCAGGCGGTGGCGTGATCCTTGATCATGGCTTGCATGTCGCCGATTCAAGCAACGAGGATGGACCGCACAAGCTTATACAAGCTATCTTGGCAGTCCTAAATTTCTGCATCAAAGGGACCTTATGTGCTCCTACCATCGTCATCAAGCCAAAATAGCGTCAGGCATCACGAACTTCCTGTTTCGCACTAGGAAAGCCACGCCTACCCCGTTGATACGAGTACCTACGAGAGAAGCACTGATGTGACAGCTCGCATACTTACAACCACAACGCCGGCGCAATGCAACCGTATAATTACTTCTAGAGGGAGTGTGATTGTGAACCTAATTCGCTTCTACTCTTTGGTGTAAAGTCAAGAAATAATCACTTCAACTTCAGCCCTGCTGTAGAGGTTGAAACGCATTGACCAAGCCCTAGTTGTCCCACCGGAGCTTCTCCCGGGTGGTTGAGTTTTGCACCGGTATCCTTGCCCTTGCAATTTTACCACAGTAAACGAAAGAGGATTGCAAGCAATACCCAGCTTCCACCGTAGGAAAATTGATTCGGACAGGATGCTTGGGCGAGCAGGAGCGCAGCGTTCCAAAGTCTTCACCGCATATTTTATCACTCTTACGTGAGCCATCCATCTATGGTGTTCAATCATCATTGTGTGGCATAGATCGCTCGACAAAGGTGACTGTGTTCTTCCTTGGGACTATACACATGGGCAGAAATTCGGACCATAACGTGGCGGTGCATCGACGTTAATGCAGTAGCGGCGTACCTCAGCGTCGAAATAAGATCTGCCCTGTGCTTTGCGGCTCTTTCCAGGCAATCTTTTCTATACGGAAAAAAGGGGCGTCGGGCTCGAAAAACATACCATCTTATTCGCTGACATCGAGTACTCCTGGCTAGAATCATTCACTACCTGCAGGATGCGGACCGGTCCCGGCTATACCAACTGTGGAGATGCTGGACACGAGATGCCTTCGTACATATATGTGCTATTAGCGGCGCGGACAGTTCTCCGATGCCTGTACACCTGTCGCAATTGAGCTCCAAGTCGCGTTAATAATCGCCGAACATGCGGTGATTTACCAGATGTCAGGGAGCTAGCATTGACCGTTTTGTTGTCGCTACCCGACCATTGTTCTAGAAGCATACAAGCTTGCATTTGAGGTACACTCGACGTGGGATATATAAGGTCAGCGAGATCCGCTGTGTAACGATCGACACAGCAGCAACATAGCCAGCAAACTCAGAAGACGGACAACATTCAACAGCAAGTTCTTTTTATTTCGCCAAGAACATCAACTCTCTCCGATTAGCCAACATGAAGTTCTCTGCCGCTCTTATCACAGCATCCCTTGCCGGCTCAGTGCTTGCTCGTCCGTCTTCGCTCGGAGACCGTGTCAGCCCTCGTGCAAATGGCAGTCGTCATCGCAAGAGCCATCCTGCCGAAAAACTTGGAACCAGTGTTTCTCTCGAGTCCACCGGAGGCAACACCGGACACAAAGTCGAATACAGCACCACCTGGTCCGGCGCTTCTCTCCAGTCCCCTTCCCAGGGCTACTTCAAAGCCGTCACTGGCCGCTTTACCGTTCCCTTGCCCAAGCACGTCGGCTCCAACGGTACTGAGTATTCCTCAGCCTGGGTCGGCATTGACGGTGACACTTGTGAGACCGGTCTCCTCCAGGCCGGTGTCGATATCGCCGTGGCCGATTCTGGCGAAGTTTCCTACGATGCCTGGTACGAGTGGTACCCCGACCAGTCCTACACCTTCACCGACTTCGCCGTTAGCGCAGGCAACGTAATCCAAGTCGACATCACGGCTATCTCGACGACCAAGGGCAAGGTGAAGATCACCAACATCAGCACCGGCAAGCATGTTAGCCAAACTCTCAGTGCGCCCAAGGGCTCTGTCCTTTGCCGTCTCAACGCCGAGTGGATCGTGGAGGACTTTGATGTCGACGACATAGTGCTTCCGATGAGTAACTTTGGCACTGTTGCGTTCACTGACACTTGTGCTACGCTTAGCACTGGTGGCACAGAGGAGCTTGGTCGCGCTTTGTTATACAATATCAAGCAAGGCAACACTGTGTACACTGATACTACTATCAACGGTGCTAATAAGTTTACTGTCAAGTACACTCAAAAGAAGAAGTAATGGAAGACTTTGCGGGGAGCGTGAGCTTGGGATTACAGATAGAACGGTGCATAATATGAAGGCGTTACTTGGGTGAGCGACACCCTTCTTACAGCAAATAGATAATTTATATTCATTCCATGTGCAAGTTTTGGAGATAACTGATGCTTGAGTGACAGTTCGAAACTACTCTCAATACACAACGACTTCCACATGTTGATCCGAAGCCTGTCTATTGGCCATAGCAATATCGTCGCTTACCCAGGCTTGTGAGGGATCGACTTGCTCTGAGTCTGCAAACTTTCTCGTGGCCCAGAGAACACATGTGCCTACTAACCGGTAGCAACCTGTGTCGACCATACGTAGAAGGAGAGGCCGCGATACCCCGTCTACAGTAGCGATAACATCGCCAGGCAAGCAATGGCCACTCGCAAAGCCTATGCTATACTGTGTGCGAAAGCTCGACCAGTCATGTGGCGAGTGGTGATCCTTTATATTACGAATATTTTTGCGTAACGAGACGAAGTCGCGCACCTCAGTGAGGCCCTGGGAAGCTACCACAAACTTTCCCCACATCGAGTGAATAGCTGTTGACAATGACGAAGAGTCTCCGTCGAAATTCCAGCCCGTGATGTGATCCACAGTTCCATCACTGATGGATTCAAGACACGCATCCAAGAAGTGTGCGCGGACCGTTAGGCGTGGAAGAATCTGGCTGGTCGGAATCAACCCTTCAGATCGTTCCACGATAAAGTGTGGATCTCGATCGACTCTTATTTCACCAACTCTGTGAGCAAGAAAATGCCAAAAATCGTGTACTGTAAATATCGGGGTCTTAGTGTGATCTGCACTTGCAGGGAGACTGGCGTAGCAAAGTATCTCGAGATCTTGACAGTCTACTATGCATGAAAGTACGGCCTGTGTAAAGACTTCATCGATAGTTGACATGTAATCTATCGAGATCATGGCACGTATATGAGGCGTAAGAAGGCCAGTTATGGCGAAAACCTTGTCCCTCGGATCGGATGCTGAGCTGTTCATGGACGCATGCAGGCACGATATTATGCTAGCGTCTCTCTCCAACAGGCTTGCCCATTGGGAAAGACGGTGTTTGGGTCTGGGCTACGTCGCATACAACCTGGCCAGTTGTTTGAACGCTTTTTCTGGAAATGCAATGCCGCGATCGTTCACGCGTAGGATAGCGTGTCTGGCCAGTGCCACCTCTTGCAAGACCTAGTTGTAGCAGATATTTGTCAGCCTTCTTCTTAGCTCATGGAGCGGATGGCCTTACCCACACTCGGCTGAAATATCTAAGCTTGAGGAATTCATCGAGTTGTATTAGCTCCGGCAAACTGTCGATGTCCAGGGAACCGTGGCCGTTGTGGCTCATTGAAGTCAGGATTCCGGAATCCTCTCCCTCAAGTAAATCCAAGACGAGGTGAAATCCCGCATGACTCTGTATACAGACTTCCACACTTTCAGCTCTGGTGTAAATGCGGTCCATTATGCTGACTTGATAGTTGCGCTCCGAGATCCGGTTTTGATCGATGCAAATAGCGTCGATCCATACAAACTCGGTATTAGATGCATTCCTGATCTGTCTAAGTGCAGCTTCGCAATTCATGGTGATATGCACGACCTCGTTGATATCCGTGGTATGCAGGAGACCGCCATTTCTTGTCTCTTCTTCCGAACGTATGATTATGTATCGTGTGAGATCTGCGTCACCGCCTTCGTTTGCCCAGGTATAGGACAGCGCAACATAAGGAGGCGCTTTACCAAACTCGACTGTTATCAACTGACAAAGGAGAATAGGATATTGCCCTAGCTCTTCGAACAAGTGCTTTGATTCTAGATATATTGGATTGCCGGGAAGTAATTTGAGAAGTCGAATCTCATCACGATCTTGAGCAAGGCTTTGGTAGGTATAGGGTTCCATTTTCGGTCCTGTTTGGTCGATGAAAACAGTGGCTTCATGTTCAGATTTTGTCTTTTCTGGGCCCATATCGCGTACCAGCCCACAGGAAAGGCAGCAAATGGTGTCGCCGAACACTCTCACATCTTTGTGTGCACATCGTTTAGAAGACATTGTGTATAGTGCAGAAATATAGCACCATCCATATGGGATCGTTTGCGCGCGTTGGTAGAGATCATATGTGGAGTGTCTCGGGGAGTAAGCGGAGAACCGGGTGCGGGGAGCTGCAATCTATGCCTATTGCGGAGCTGATGCATGTAGACGAGGCTGCATCGTATTGTTGCCTTCAGTACAGCCAGCTTAAATGCCAGGGTCCGAGATCGCTGTAGTTGCATGGCTTCGTTCTACATACCTAGATGCCGTACTACTTCCGATTGTTAGATCAATATATCTCGATGTGCCGTCCTCCCATCGATTGTAGAGCGTCGACCTCACAAAACTTCCAAAGCTCGGGACTTTTGTTCGGACTCCATATGTTACATGGACCAACAATTCTGTAGACATCGTGGCTGATCTCTCGTAGTAAGAGCGGTTGAGTTGCTCCTTTTACGAGGAAGATTGAATCTCCGGATACACAGCTGCTAGCAGTGAAGCCAACGTGAGCCCTTGCGCGGAAAATGTAAGGGTCATCGGCTATGATGTGATTCTTCCCTGCCTCAATTCCCTCTTCCATGTTCTCCAAGTCTTCCACGGTGGAGTCGAGGAAGTCTCCACCGTGATAAAGCGATGTGTTAACTAACCAGGATATTCGTGATGTACGAATTGGCTTTTTGTTGGCTTCAAAGAGTGGCAGAAGCTCAGCAGTTTTGTCAGAGGACGCCTCCGAACAGAAGCACAAAAATTCCGCCCAAACCTCTAGTCTTGGGAGAATTTGCTCTGGCGGGCCAGGTGTTCTCGAGATCTTAACAACATTACTTGCGGGCAGTTGCAAGCAATCGGTTAATTCCGTGCTTCTTTCTGGTGATCGAAAACCACTGCCAATTGCGATGTCACCCTCACCACTGCTGCCTCCTCCATCATGAGTAGACATTTGGTACCGGTGGGAGCTAGCCTTCAAGGCTATGGATCCGAAAGGTGATATGTGCTGATATGTCCCTTGCCGCAGGTGTGTGGTTGAAGTCGCATGGCTGGCTCTACAAACTTCCTGAGCGATGTATTCTCTGAATTGACTTTTGCCAAAGCTTGGAGACCGAGAGATATCGGCGCCCTCTTTAAGGCCTGCGAAAGAAAGAACACCTAGATCCCCACATTCTACTATACATGCTACCACAGCCTGTCTCAAAACAACGTCTAGGTTGAGCGTATAGTCGACAGTAAACAAGGCCCGTATACGAGGCTTAAGGAGGCCCAGAATCGCAAAAACTTGGTCTCTGGGGTCGGACGCGAAACAATCCATGGAGATACTCAAGTACAAAACTAGACTTGGTCGTTGTTTCAAAAATGAGGCCCATTGAGAAATTCGTGATATGTTCGCTCTGTGCTTCGAACAAAGCGCCTGAATCAATTCGATTGTGTAACTTGGGAATGGAATGACGTCTTTGTTCACATGCAAGTTCGCGACCTTCGCAAGCATCACCTCTTGTATCACCTACATGATACACGGGTCGGTTAGCACTTCTTGAAACAATGTGGACGATGGGACTACTCACCCAAACTCGGCTGAAATATCGTAGGTTGAAAAATGTCCTCAGTCTTTTCGTCATAGGATGACCTTCAAAACCAACCTTGTCGAGTCCCATAGAATACTTCTCTACAGAACTCCACACTCCGAGCGGTCCCATTATATCTCGAAAGTCCTGTCCAGGCACATTTATGCACACATCCACGCATAGAGCTTTTTTGTAGATACTGCCCATCATGCTAACTTGATCGTTGCGCTCACTGATACAGGTTTGATTGATGCAAATAGAGTCGATCCAAACGTTGACATCGTCACGAGAGTCTCGTACTTGTCGCAGAGCGTTTGCACAATTCGATGTCACTTTGATGATCTTCCAGCCTTGGTCAGTGTCTTCCTTGCTTGCATGTATCTCATCTGATTCGCTAATGTCTCCGTCTTCTGTCGCCCATGTGTAGGACACTGCAGTGTATGTGGGCGGGTTGACTAGCGATGCTATGACTATTCGGCAACATATTTCGTCGTATCCTTGTCCTGGCTGGAGAACTAGGAGCCGGAATTCCTCTCTGCCCAGACTTCCGTAATCATACTTTCTTTTGTCAGCTTCTTCTTCGTGGCTGTCCTTCGCATCATAGGCCCCAATGGACGTCTTCTCAGGGACGAAGTCTCGGATTTCCCCACAAGATACACAGCATATCGTGCTGTCGAAGACCCTCGTGTCCTTGTGGGCGCAGTGATTGTATGTCATGTCTCAAAAGACAAACATCTGATGATCCGTGGTCTCTTTCGTCGACCGAACAGCGTTAGCAAACACAGCGAAAGGATTTGTGGGAGCCAAAGTTGAAGTGGTTTTAGCTTACAAAGCCCTGAGGTACAAATATCAGCATTGCGGGGCAGTGCATGCGTCGTGGTCTCAGGCTGAGGTAAGCTGGTAGCTGTAAGGCTGCTTTGCAGTCTATAAGTTACATACTATCCTGCACATGCTGGTCGATGTTCATTGTTAGTTGTTACCTTTTTGAAGAATGCCTGGCGAGGTCATGGCGGACTCTCGTCTGACAGAAGCCATGATTCCGGAAAAGTGCTAACTAGGGGCGAGGAGTATATCAGCCACGAGCACCTGCGATGAAGTCACGAAACACTTCAACATATTGGTACCTCTATGGCTCGTATGTTCTTGGGCATGGTTTTGAGAGGTTGAAGCAACGAGAGAGCTGTGTGAAACTTGGGTAGCGTGGAATGACGTCACTCGATCTTCAAACACCGAAGACTTAATGTTGCACTCCACATACCCAATGTATTTTAAGTAGATGTCTCAGAAGTACGGGAATCTGATTGCAAGTATCCTGTTTTAAATTCGTGCTGTGGACACTATTTACTTGTGGACAACACAAATTCCAATCTCGCGCTCTCACGCCCCCCTTTCCACAGGGCTTCGCATATCGATCGCTCCTTCCCAAACTTATGCACTCACTCGTTGCATCTTTAGTTCCTCTTCTCATACCAATCTCCCTCGTTTTCCTTCCCAAACACCTTCCCCCACCCCTTCTTAATCGATTCAGTAACACTAAAGTCATTGAACAGCCACTGATTCGCATGTCTCCCATAGTACCTGAAATCATCATTCCCTTCGATCTTAGCACTATCGCGCCGGCTCCTTTCATTGACCCTCGGCTTGCTGAACTCTCCGATGCCAACTTCCGCACTCTCTCTGCTCGTCTTGGTCCTGGGTACTGCGGGCGTGATAAAGTCCGACCCCGAGCTCGACATTGTTGACATTGTGGACGACTTGGAGAACTTGGGTAGCTCGAAGGAGGAGGCTCGGGATCTTCGGGCTCCGCTTGACATGGTGGAGGAACGTCCAGTGGTGCCATTGGAGGTTTGGGTGTCGTGGGAGACTTGGGTGAGTCTTGTGGTCAAGTCTCGGGCGTTGATGGTGTTGGTGTAGTGGTCTGTCATCGGCAATGTAGTTTAAGAGACGATGACCTCGCTGGTATGTTTTTGTTGTTGGGCGGTTGTGGTGTTTTGATGTTGAGGATTGGTTCTTGCTTAGTAAATCAGGAGCTGCAACATGTGTAAAAGGTTTGATGGCCTCAATATCTTGTGATGTGTTCTTACCTGGGGCATCAACGAAGTATATATGCCCACTCCCTCATCCTCGCCAAGCACACATATCTCTACAGGCTGACTGACAAGACATTATTCCCGTTCCCAAGCTTCTTAAGTGGGTCGGTAGTAAACGCATCCATGCCCACTATTCCTCACCCACAAGGCACTTACTAGCCAACCACAAACCTATACATCCGATGCTCCCCGGATTAGAATGCATCGCGGTCCAGTAATACGAGCAGCTGATAATCGAAGCCTAGACTTTCATGTCAGCCTTACGCCTCAAACGGCTATACGGCAGTCTGTGCACGGCCACCGGTCACTAGCCACCTGAGCCACATCCAATCCGAACGACTGTTAGGAACAGGACGCAAGTGCACGTCCACAAAGCTGGCTGCACGTATGACATCGTTTGCTAGGCGGATGGTCTCGTGACTGTTCTTTCCGCTACAGAAAGATCCGAGCTATCCGGCTACGTTTGGATGGGGTAGAGCCTTGCCTAGATAAGACTGGTGGCCTGATGCGGTTACGTAGCGACGGATTTTGAGCCGCAATCTCAGTCGTTCTGTAAACGCGTGCGGCCCGAAACTTGCAGATGTTGACGAAGAAGGAGCACTAGGTACCGATCTCGACGCTCCGAAGCTCCGGCTTTCAGGGCCCTTCACGTAGCTTCATGATCGCTAAAATGCCGAATGTCTCATGAACATCATAACACCGAAGAACAGTGTCCGATTATCTGCATTACTTTTGGCGGAACAAGTACGGCGTGTAAACTATACATAATCTTGATGGCATTCGATGTACTGGATATTTCTTACTATATTGCATCAAAATGGCTGCCGAGTTCCAATAGCCAACCTCATCTGTACCACCTCAGACTCTCTTTGGAGGTAGGACGGTAGGTACAGGCGGCCGGCTCGTTGTCCTGGGCAGCTCTGGTACCGCGCTCGTTGGCACACAGGCACACGCGCTGCTAACTCTCGCAACCACTTCCTGCGTCGCATTACCCACCGCACAACCTGTTCTCGCATAGTCCGGCACCAAGCCAACATCATCATTCTTCCTGACCAAGAAGTCAGAGCAGAAGTCTTGACTAGCCTCCAGTCTTCCAGCAATCGAGCTTGCGCGCATCGCGGTCAAGCAGGAATCCGATTTGCACACAGCAGGCTTAGCGCACTCCTTGGATGTCATCTTGACGACGAATGAGCCGCGCTCGATGGTGTGCACGAAAATGAAGCCGGATTTGAAGCCAGCGTAGGAAGACCAGGAGCCGAGGAATGCGACTGTGCCGCCGCCCTCTTTCTCGTCGTCTTCGGGATATACATCAAAGTATCCTGCCTCGCAAACACCACCACCAGTTGGGTCCTCGGTGATGGAGCGTATGTCAAGAACCGTAAGACCAACTCCATAATTGGACTGGTAAGAGTAGCCGTCGTAGATGTATTGGTTGTGGTCGATGGCACGTCTCGGGCCCTCGTAGTTGCCAGAGTAAAACGGATTCTCCAGATCACGGATGTCGAAGATGTGAGTTGTTGGAAGGCCTTGTGTCATGGGACCGACTTTGGCGTCACGCTCGTCGAACTCGTCGTCTAGGAAGATGTACTCCTGCCATGTTTCGTTGTTGACGACGCCTTGGTGGACGTACTCGGCTCCAGGGAAGCTGGTGATGGAGATGATGTTGGTTACGTTACCGACTTTGTCGGTCACATCGTAGATGGTGAGAGTGTCTTCGTTGTACGCATAGCAGATGTCTCTTTCCCAATACCGCTCATCCGGGCCGCGATAGACGAGACATTGAGCATCGTGCACGTAGCCGTCGCCAGCTGCGCAACCTGGGGATGTGGGGTTTGAAGGGTCAGTCATGTTGAGGAAGATGATACCGCCACGGCAGGGAAGGTCACCGCGCACCCGTATTGTTTCGTTGCCACCAACTGAACCGACAGCCATAGCGTAGTTCAGTTCCTCGTTCACAACAATGTTGTGCGTCCTACCGACAGGAAGCTCGTCCCAGTGACCTGTCAAATCATCTTGGGTAAAGTTTGTTGGGTTCTCAGGATCAAGATCAAGCAACTTTTTCATGTCGAAGATCTGTACGCCATGTTTGATAGCTTCAGATCCGATGACAGCGTAGTCTCGGAGAACTCGAATCTCTCGCCAGCGCGAACCGATGGCATCGTATGGTGGGAGTCTTCCGAGATAAACAAGCTTGCCTTCCGAGCTGATTTCTGCGAAAGCAGTACCATCGAATTGACCGATGGCGACGAACTCGCGCCCATCGGCGGAAGTCCAACCCCATGAAGATGAGCCTTGACCTTGAGAGCTGCCTAGCTTGGCATGAGGCAGGAAGTGGTAAAGGTCGACCTAAAGAATTTAGCACGGTAGCTAGGTAATCCGGGCGCGGGCTGTACTGACATTGTTGCAACGAAAGGTATTGTTGGTATCCCCGGGAATTGCCGCTGCAAAGCCATCTTCACACGGAGTGTAATGAAGCTCTGGATATCTCGAGCTCTCCATGGCACCTGAAGCTATTTCGGCATCCCATTGGGCCTGTAACGATCTTAGCCTAGGTGACAATTGAATGAAGACTGTGACTGGAGACATACCACCTTGAGCGCCATGATTTGGGCGTGAACAGCGCCGGATGCATAATCTTCGGCGGAGCCGAGTGCTGCTGCTCTACTCAAGCCCGTGAGGGCCGAGCACAGTATCACTATGGACGGGAAGCGAGCCATCGTGTCGATGACCAGGGCAGTGAGGATATGCCGTCGATGCAATTAGCACTGCTGGTTCTTCTTCGGCGGACGATGAAGCATTTATACTCGTCCATAGCCTGAACTGGCTCTACTGGCGTGCGTCATTGTTTTGTGTTGCGTTGCTTGCTACCGGCCCCCAGCCGTCGCATTGCTCAATGTTATTGGCGCGGCCAACAAGCGGCTACCCATATCGCGACATCGTGGCCATCAACCTAGCCCAAGGCACGTGCTTACTACAATGGTAACTTGGCCGGTGAAATGGCAGAGATAGCAGACCTCTAGGTGCTTGTGTACTTGGCGGTAGTTCGAATTTGTGGACTCCAAGGTTGAACCCCGCTCACTAATCATTTGTCTTGGTTCGGTATCCCGGCTTTTGCAAAACTGACGCTGAACCGTCTGTTAAGATATTGAAATTCGTCAGCTTGCTTGAATGAGGAGTTCCCACTCCTGCTTTCTTTCCGTGCAGTAGATGAATACTCCGATCATATTCAAGTGGTGCTCTCGAACCACGCCGAAAATGCTCCGCCCTACTGTCTGGGCGAAACTGGGCAGACGTGTAGGCGCAGTCTCTTGGCTACTTACTTAGGCAGGTAGACATTTGTTACGAGGATGGCGTTATCGGGACTTCTTGAGCCTCTACATACCTACACTGGCGCATGGGGATTTCTCAACTCCGACGTTCCGGTGAGGTTAGGCGAGCGGAACGGCCGGCGCAGAGAGAACCACAGTTCGTAGGAAAGCTCTGATTGATGTAGTTATCAAGGCTGGCCGTGAAGATGTAGCGCTTACTTGTTCCACCGATCACTATTACTAGAAGTACATGTAGAGCACACTACACATCAACATATACCGGAGGGGCGAATGATCATGACTCGTCAAACCTGGGCACAGATGCCAACCCGCTACGCGGTAGCAACATGCCGTCCTTCACGCGCACCATCCACTTGATTGTCTTCGTGCTGCCCAAAGAATTGTGCAAGATACTCGCCAGCCAGACCTAGACTGATTGCACCTCCTGTGAACCATGCGCCGTTCACAAACCACCACCAACAATTCTTGACATCCTTTAATCTGACTTTTCGAATCATAGTGCCCAAAGTGAGCGCTGCACCTCCGCATGATACAAAATAGAAACAAGGGCCGAGGCCAGCAGCGAAACCGGAAGTAGCTAATAGTCCAAGCTGCACAACGGCAAGGCCTGACAAGACAGCCTTAGTTTCATTCTCATGCTTAAGAGCAATGCTTTTGATACCAGCCTTCGCATCGTCCTTAATGTCCATATGCGCATATATCATGTCGTATAGTACTGTCCATGCCACATTGCTTGCGTAGAGGCAACTTGCCGCTATCAGAGCGGACTGATTCAAGAGAAGGTCGATTCCAAGGGCAGGGAACCCCATCATTGCACCCCAGGAGAAAGTGAGTCCGAGGACAAACTGAGGGTAGTAGGTAACTCGCTTTGCCAGAGGGTATGTAGCCACAAGCAGTAGTGATGGTGTCGCATACCAGAAACATTCGAATGGGAGTGACAGGAGAACTGCCAGACCAGTGAATAACTGTCCTCCGAGGAAGACAATTGCTTGAGGAGGACTGATGGCGCGTCGTGCAATTGGACGGAGTCGAGTGCGTTCCACATGAGGGTCAAGATTTCGATCCCAGAGATCGTTGATGGTGCATCCGGCACCCCTCATAACTACAGCGCCAGTGAAGAAGAGAGCCACAGTACTGAGAAGTGCGGAAGGTGCAGCGATGGGTGTTGCCATTGTGGCTGCGATGAACGTGCTGAAGAGACATGGGAAGAAGAGATAGTATGAGCCGGTGGGCTTGTCGATTCTCATCAATTCAGCATATGGAACGACTTTTCGAGGTAGATACGAGAGAATACCGGAGGTAGGCGGCGTGTATTTTGGAGGGTTACTGGGAAGTGCATCGTGAGCTGTTGTTGCTATGCCTGCGTGCTGATATGCGACAGATTCAAGGAGACGATACGAAGTTGGACGAACTACCAGCTGGAGTGATCGCGCGTGACGCAATATTGGCCGTTGTGATGTTGAAGTGAATAGACTCGATGGCTGCGCTCTCTGCCCGCGTGATCGTATGCATTGTGACAATAATAGTTGTGAGAAAGGAGATCGACAGGCTGTCAAGACAAGTGGAGAGGGCCGGATTCTTGGAGGGACCATCATGACGTTGCGAGTCGACAGTACTGCTGGCTACACGTGCCCTCGGAGCTTTTACAGAGAGCTTGATAGCTCGCGCAATTGCGAGCAGCGAATTTGGGGTGCGAATAGATCAATGCATGTTGAGCGCTGGGAAACGACGCATCAGATTGCCGAATTAGAACCGGCAGAAACTTCGCGGAGTGCCGGTGAAGATTGTGCCGCGATGATTTTGTTCTGGAGGTGATCAAGGTAATGAAGGTGAGCGTTGAATATGGAAAGCACGCTAGTGCCCGTTGACACGTGATGTCGTACAGCTGCCCGCAGGTGAGCTCACCAACACTAACTTTCCGTCGCGTCGCCTGCGTCTCCGACTTCGTACAGGCGCTCTTGTAGCGACCACCGTCGCTCAGCCCTATTGCTACCGTCGTAACTCTGCGAACGGGACCCTTATCTGGGCTGCACCCACAGTAGAATTGCGCGATCGCACTTGCGCCGCGGTGGTAGTACTACAGAGCCATAGATCCCACCCGCGCGCACCAAACGTGAATGGTGTCAAGCAACCAACACCATGCCGGCCGCGCGCCCCAGGGCTTCGTTCGAGCCCATACCGCCCGACTTTGACGTGCGCACCTTCGTCGAGACCGCGGACAATTTTCAATATGCCGACCGAATTTCCTATGAGATGATCGCCAATAACGGCATCGAGCAGTTCGAGAAGTTGGTTCTGCTTCACGTGGTCGTGGCTGGAAAACCTCTCATCATAGATGGATTTGAAGAAGTGCTGGATCCGTGGACTTTCACGCCTTCATGGCTGCGCGACAACCACGGCGACAAAGGTCAGACAGTCGCTGAGCGCATTGGTGATGCAGCACAGCTAACAGCTAGCAGTCGAGAATGCACGCAATCTCACGACCAAGGAGAGCATTCCGCTCACTATCAAGCACTATCTTAAGCACATGACCAAGCTGACCGACCAATTCTTCGATGCACCCGAGCGCTACCGCGATAAGACCCGCCAACGTATATATCTCAAGGATATCGATTGCCCACAGGTATGGCAGGACAAGCTGAAAGAGCACATTCCCCAGGGACTGTTCTATCTGAACGATAGCACTGGTGAAGTTGGCGGAGCTGGCGCACTGGACGAACCGGGCGGTCGCAAAGGCCGCGGGATAGGGCGAGCTGGAGACCTGATGAGCAGTTTACCCCCAGAAATGCGCGCAGAAAACCTCATGTGCTACATTGGTCACGAAGGCACGTATACACCATCACACAGAGAGATGTGCGCAAGTCTTGGTCAGAACATCATGGTGAATGCCTCTGGACAGATCAGTGAAGATGGCAAGCCTGAGCGCCCCGGATCCTCATTATGGTTTATGACCGAGACGAAGGATAGACACGTGGTCTCCGAGTACTGGCTGTCCGTGTTGGGCCATGACATCGAAGTTGAGAACCACTTTGCTCAACTCATTGCATGGAAGAAAGCACCGTTCCGAACATACGTGGTTGAGCAACGGCCCGGAGACTTCATTCTGATACCACCACTCGCCCCGCATCAGGTGTGGAACCGCGGTACCCGGACGATGAAGATCGCCTGGAATCGTACCACCGTGGAAACGCTGGAAATGGCCATCAACGAAGCCCTGCCGAATTCTCGTGTCGTTTGCAGAGACGAGCAATACAAGAACAAGGCCATCGTTTACTACACCCTCCAGAAGTACTCCACCCTCATCAAATCTGCACGTGCGCAAGTAGAAATGGGCGGGGAGAACGCAGAAGCTATTCAGCGTTCTGTCAAAGTTCGACACCTCCAAAGAGACTTCAGAAAGCTTTTTGACCTATACAAGACCGTGCTGCTGTCGGAGATGTTTGCACCCGAATCTCGCGAGCATTCTGAGTTCCTTCCATATGACAGTAACGTTACTTGCGCCTATTGCAGGTGCAATATCTTCAACCGGTTCCTAAGCTGCAAAAGCTGTAAAAATCTATTCAGCAGCGAGATTGAAGAACCCTACGACGTCTGCATGGATTGTTATTGCATGGGTCGAAGCTGTGGATGCCAATCAGGTTACACATGGGTTGAACAATGGAAATGGAAAGACCTGAGTCACAAGTACGAGGAATGGAGAGCACAGATCATCGACATTGATGGCCACATGAAAGAGACAACGCCGCTGCCGCTCCAGGAGGAGCGAAGATATCTTGGCAAAAAGACTTTGGCACAAGTATGCCAAGAGCAGCTGCGCTTACGACCATTTGTGGACATCAAGAATCCTCAACCTGAAAGCAATTCTAGCGACGAGGAACCTGTTGTGGACGAATACGGCCAAGTCAAGAAGGTCTCCAACAAGAAGTCGAAGCAGTGGCTCAGCAAGCATAAGTCATGCCACTTTTGTCTTCACAAGCACCCGAAATGGAAGATGGCGTTCTGCTCCAGTTGCGACCTGTCATACTGCTATGGAACTCTGTTTCGCGCACACGACATGATGCCTCTGAGCATTATGGAGAATCGCAATTGGAAATGTCCGCATTGCAGGAGAGTTTGTAACACTGGCCATTGTCGGCGCGATGCACGTCAAACCCCTTACGAACCTAAAGGAACGCTTCTTGGTCATGATACTAAGAAGGTGGCCGACCCTCGATCTGTGGAGTGCCTCGTAGATTTCAGCGTCTCCAATCTTAATTGGCTCCGGGAGGAAGAGGGCTCGAAGCAGAATGCCATGCAGCGCCGCCTGCAACAAGCGGAAATGGACAAACTGGCGGATCCATCCCTGGATCCCCGCTATGTTGATGAAGATCTTGCCTACGCGCGGGATGGCATCGCATATTCTCCAGTGGAGGACACTACTGGTAGCTTCAATGACATTGGCAATGGTCATCACGCCGAGGCACATGATGGCGTCGACTCTTACTACGCAGACCCTGATGCGAACGGTGACATTCCGCGCTTGGGCCAGAAACGTGGGCCTGAAGACGAAGATGAGGATGGTAACAGGCGTCGCAAGAAGAAGGTCAAGAAACAGAAGATGAGGGACGAAGCGCAACCACTCCAGCCAAAGAACATATCTGGTAAGCAATATCAGAAAGAGATACAGCGCAAACTTCTGGAAGAAGCAAAGCGTGAAGATCGCTTCCTCCTGGTTGCCGCGAGGATGAAGAACAAGTCGAAGGTTATCAGACTCTCTCTACCTACCGGCCTTCTACAGCGCATAAGGGATCGACCAACTCCCGAACGCCCACAGATCGTCCGCCAAAGTACGCCGGAAGATGTAGATGGTCCGAGTGAAATGGGCTCCATTCTACAGTCTGATGTTCTACCAAGAGGTGCCGCGCCTAAGGACCTCGTCGAGAAGGAGAAAGCTGCAAAGACGTTCCGCATTCGCGTCCAAGAGGATGAGGCTTACAGCAGTAGGAAGAGGAGTTCTGATGTAGGAGGTCCATCGAAGCCCGGAAGACCCCGTGGTAGTCGACGCTTCGAAGAGATCACGCTCGATTCCGACGAAGATTTTGATGATGAAGATGACGAAGTCGAGTATACTGGTCGCTCTAATGGGAGAGCTTCGAATTGGCTAGCACGGAAGAACCAGGGCGAGGAGGACCTGCCTACTGAGCTTCCACCAGACTTCCGCGATGGAGCCATACGTGCCGGTCGCGACAAGGAATTGGAGCGAAAGCGGGAGGCAAACGAACGTAGAAAGACAATGCCACCAAAGCCGAAGGCAGGAATTCGGCCCATCGGACGACCGTCGAAGAACCTGACCCACGACAGCGCCGGAAATGTGACTGGCAACATGTCTGATGAAGATGGTATCCATGGGGAAGATGACCACTCCAACGACACTATACTCCTCGCCCAACAAGCCGCCGCCGCCGCTGTTGAAGCAAAAGAGCGGGAGGACGAAGCTAGAGCAACACGAGAGCGCGTCGAAACTGCAGAACGCGAAGCTCAAGATAATCTCCGCGCAAAGATGGCTCTCTTTGGAGGTTCTGATGATGAAGGCGCGGGCGTGATCGACGATTTCCTCGGCGACCTATCCAATGGTGAAGAAGACCAACCCTTTTACACTTCGCCCCCAACACAAAAGGATCCATCGCCATCTCCTGAACCCGTCCGCAACGGTCCGCCCCAGTCAACGAATTCCATCTTCGCGCAGCCAGGCATGAAGGGCAAGAAAATCAAGATTGTGTCTGCTCAGTCCAAGGCCAATGGGAAGACGACGACTACGACGACTCTTACGGCGCCTGCATCCAGCTTTACACCGGTCAATCGCCGTGGCAAGGAGATTGCTTTGTCGGAATCGGATAGCGAGGATGAGGTCCCGGCTAGTGCACCGGCGGTCAAGAAAGCTTTGGGCAGACCGTCCATGGTACCGACGCGAGGCAGAGGGGCGCCTAAGAGGGGCAGAGGAAGGCCTAGGAAGACGATGTAATTATGATCTTTCTTCACACTGCGGCTTAGGTTGTTTGAGCATGAGGGATGATGGTGATGAATGGGTGTATTTTTACATTAGCATTTTGCTTACTTAGCGAGGCGCCACGGGCATTATGAAGGTGCGGCCGACTGCTGGCATCACATTTTCGAGAAAGTGTTTGGCATGAAGTCAAAGACTGTAGTTACAGTTGCAACACGAATCAGTCAGTTCATTCATGTTCATGCGTCTCTCTGCGGTGGATCCGCCACCTCGTCTAGTGTCCAAACCTTGACTTCTCCTTCATCTCCCGTGCTGACTATGACTTCCTCGCCATCATATCTCTTGTCTTTGTCTGCTCTCTTTGCCCAAGTGACATGGTTGATCTCGAACACGGAGTGCGCAGAAAACAATTCCGCGAGGACGAACCACTCCGTTAACGAGGCCGGCTCGCTGCCATCAATCTGCATGTTGTCCGTATCGACCCCGTTGGGTGTTTGCTTCCTCCATCGCTCCTTGTAGATGATAATCTTGCCATCACTGCCCGCACTCGCGATGAGACCCGTAGTCCGACTCCACGAAACCGAGTAAATCGCGCGCTCGTGAACTTGTGGCAGTATGGCGTCCTGATACCAATCCTCGTCGATGGCAGCCGATCGAATGATGGACGGAATGCCCGTGTTGGACGACGCATTCTCCGCTCGCTCCCTCGGTTTCCTCCGCCAAATCCTCACCGTGCGGTCGTCACTACACGTCGCCAGCCTCGGTCCCGACCTCTCCATCGAATCAACGTGTTGCGTTTGTTCTTCAGACAGTCCATCTCTCTGCACCCTAAAGTCCTTCCCACTGATGCCCGACCCCTCAAACTCCACCCACCAGACGGTCATGCCATGTCCCTCTTTCCCAGCAATACACGCCACCTGCACCCAATCGTCCGAATCTTCTCTATAAAGCCTCACACTATCGTCGTAACTCGCACTCGCCAGTAAATCCTCCTCCGGGTGCCAAGCGACGCATTTGACATCGCCATCATGTTCCTGCAGCACCGCGACCGTTTCGAAATTATCATCCTCCAACTCTTCCCATATCCACACGCTCTTGTCGCGCGAACACGTCGCAAGGTATTGGCCCGTCGGCGACCACGACAGCGATTTAATCTCAGATTCATGACCGTCTAAGATACACGAGAACTGGTATTCATCCTCGTCGTCGTCATCTCTCCCATCCTCATCCTCCGCGCCGCCAACGCGCCGATTGGTGAAGTCATCCTCATTCCCACCCTGCTCTTCGCGCCGCCAGATGCCCGCGCTCGAATCGAAACTGCCCGTCGCGAGCACGCTTTGGCCTTGGGTATGCGGCTTCCAGGACACGGCGCGCACGCTGCGCTTGTGGCCCCCCGTTATCGAGTGCAGGAGCGTGAAGGATGTGAGGCTATAGACGCGCACGCTGCGGTCGGAACAGGCGGTTGCGACAATGGGAAGGGTGGGGTGCGGGGCGGTCTGCCATGTGCGCGAGCTGGATGGAGGCGTGAGGGTTGCGAGGGGGGAAAGGGTGTTTGGTCGTGGGTCTGACATTTTGGAGGGACCGCGGCGGCGGGGTGGAGGGGTTGAAGGTCGTCAAGTTGTGCAGCGATTGAAGTGGTGTTGAGTTTGGTATGGCGGAAAGAATTACTCAGACTCGCAGCAAGGAGCAAGCAGACGAAACTTCGCTACCAAAGTTCGAATCCGCAAAGGCGTGTTGGATGTTGTGTCGTGCGGAAAAGTTTAGGTAGGAAAGCGTCATTTCGCCAAGGTTCCAGACAAGGGTGCGTTATCGGAGTCGCATTTCACCCGCCATGCGATTTTCTGTTCACATTCCTTCAACATGTGTTCTCATTGTTATGTACTTGCTTGACTTAAAGATCACTAGTTTGGAGTAATTCTTGAATGCCAAAAATTCAGGTACAGCATGTCATTGGTTGAATGGAGAGACGAATTCCTAAAACGCACTTCTTTTGATGCTTCGGTCATGATGTTATATTGTACATATTTATGTATGTACATAATTTACAAGGCCATGTGATGGCCATCCAGCTCAGGCTACAGCTTGTATCTTCGTACAAACCGTACTTGAACCTGAATTCTGACAATTCCCACGATCTTATATCTTGTTTGCCTCGCTCCACCACTTACATGTCCTCCCCAATCGGATCACTGAAAGGATCAATCGCATCCCCCTTGGGATCGTACAACTCCACCCTTTCTCCGTCATCCATAGTCAAACTCCACTCTTGCGTCGCATACAGCCCTCCTCGTCCTCGTCTCCTACACCTCAGCCTAACCTCTCCCTGCCGCTTTGTCCCCTTCACCCAGAACCTGATATCGATGCGCCCATGGACTTGATTGATCTCGCCTTTGATCCACGGGTATTTACTTGCGAAGTAGATCTCGTCGCCAAGAAGTTCGCGCACACCGGGGTTTGTACGTAATGCGTAGAGGGTCGACGTGACGACTGAAGATTCTTGTTTTTGGTAGTTGAAGAAAGCGCCGGTTGTAATCACCATGGCGATGATGAATATTGGGAAGGTTTTGAGGACTTGTGGGGATATGAGAGGCGGGACACTGGAACGGTTGTTAGTACATTACTTTTCCAAATGGTAATCGAAATATGGTAGACGTACGGCGGTAAAGCGCGATTTGGCCGTCGCTCGAGCAAGATTTCGCCATCTTTTGGGGGTGGTATGAGATTCTCGGGCGACCAGACGCTCGTGGGTGTTTTCCATGGTACGACTGGTTTCGACGGATCAGGTCCTGGTGATGTGGTTGATGCAAAACGGGATGCTGCGAATCGGCGGAGACATTGTGCTTGCGATTGGGGACGCGCTCGTAGTATGGAAGACATTATCCGTGGAGGAGGCATTGTTGATATGTAATGTGCAATTGGTGACCTCGAGAAAGTGAACGACGATGAGATCAGTCCATGCTTGGCGGGCTGTGTTTGCGCGGTTTGCACGCGGGCTAGCCCGGGTTCTCCCAACGACAGTCTATCCGTCGCTCCTACACACCCACAACGACTCCTTGCAAGACATGCACACGAATCTGAAATTAGCACCATATCAATGTAATGGCTGGTAATGTATGAGGTGTCATTCAATTAAGACCCGTCGAGCTTGCACACCGTCTCCCGGATAGAACTTCATGCCTCTCTAGAACTACACATATAACCTTGGAATCGCCTTCTGCTCTTACCAGTTGTAAAAACTCAATGCTAGCAGGTATATTGTACAGATTACTTTGATCTGACTACTGCCTCTTCTCTGTTTCTATGCATGTCGCCGAAATCATCTCCCTTCCCGTCTCGACTTCATCTACTTGATTCCATTTCACAAATTCTCTCACTGATAGTTTCTGTATCTCCTGGTCGTATTTTCTTGCACTCCAACCTGTTTGGAGTTTCGACTCTTTTCAACTTCACCGCACCATCTCATCCCCTCGGGGTAATCACATTTTAGGATTGACATGATCGAACATCAAAGCCGTGCAAACAAACGCTGAGATTGGAAATCTTTTCGGTCCATTCAATGTTGACTGCCGGCTCCGGATCGCACAAAATTGGTCACATGAGAGCGCGTGTTGCTAGCAGCAATGCCAAGGATTGCCCTCTACTTTGGCGGTGTCGCGCCCACGAACACTCACCGAGCAGCTGCAAATACTTCAGCGCTTCCACCTTCACAAAGACGACAAGATGCCTGGACTCACTATCCGGAAGGGACCTGCTGTCTCCCTTGTCCAGGATCAGGACATCATCTTAGCGGAGCCTGAGGCCGCTGACTTTGCTATCACGGTCATTGGCGCCCTGGAAGAGGACGGCTCCAAACACGTCACCGACATACATATCTCGTCTACAATCGTTAAGAAATCTCTGTTCATACAAGCGTTCATCGAAAAGACGAAAGACAAATCAGAGATCACACTCGGAGACGGCAAGTTCACTGAAGACGGATACAATAAAGAAGGTACCCTTGTCTGGCTCGCTCATCTGCAGGGACTCTCGCAGCAACGTATGAAAGAATTGGGACTGTGGGAGATCTCGCTGCTTGGGGTATGGTACGCGATCTTGTACTGGGACTCGCATCAAGACAAGAAGGCCAGGGAGAACTTGGGAGAATGGTTCGACAACTGGTACAGGACGAGCATGAGCAATGTTCAGCTGACCATTCCCATCGCGCGCGCTCTGGTCTACCCATACTACCTGTTCGACAATGCCAAGGGCTTCGCACAAGTCACCAAGTATCTAGCCTACAACCACGTCGGTCACGTTAAGGAACGCCCGCCCAAAGGCTTCAAGGGCGGCAAGCATCTTCACGTTGGAGAGCGCCAGTTCGTTGGTAAGCCGAATCGAAAGCACACATACCGTCTGAAACGATGCTAATCATGAACAGGTCCGGTAAACCATGCTCGCGGAGGCCTGCGCAACACGCTCCACAAGTCTCTCTACTCCCGCGTCGGCAGGATTCTCCGTTCCGAAACCACCTTCTGCGACTGCTGGGATGCCACCATCGGCCGCTATCAGCTCGCCCTCACCAAATGCGAGGCCTGGCCCGTCGACGACGTTCTCACTTCCTCAAGTATTGCCGAGGTCACTCGCCGCCTCAAGGCCTTCAAGCTCAACTACACTGCCAAGTGCAAGCGCTGCGCGAGCATTGACTGGGAGTCCGTTGTCCTTCGTGCTTGTTCCAACACAGACGGCTACTTCAACGGTATCTGTCTTGATTGCCAGGACCGCAGCAAGCCCAAGGGCGAGGGTCTGGATGATGAGTACGAGAAGCATAACCAGCCGGATGCTGGTCGGTGGGACACTCGCTGTCGGTTCAAGCATGGACAGCCAACTTGGTACATATCCTGGCTCGGTCGTCCTGATATCCGCGAGAAGATGCTTCGTGGACCTGATAACTATCGTGCGCCAGAGGAGGAGTGAGCAGGACGGCGCCTCTGCGGGACGTCGACGCGTCGATCAGCCATGCCTGTCACACCTGCAGCGTACTCTCGCAGCAGGAGACTAGCATGGCAAAGTCAGCGCATCGCAGCTATGGAAATCTCGAAAATAGTCTAGTGTAGCCGTTGTAGCTATGCTCTAAATACGAATCGTATCGTGAGCGCTTCATAGATTCGAAGTCCAGAATGACACAGAAAGAATGTCAAATCATGTCTGAATTTATGATTCGTTGTCGTATCTTCTATATAATACACTCATGAAGTCGTGAAACTATCTCATCCCCACAGGTCATACACCCACGCTTAGCCATTCACAATAGTGCCGCCGTTTGCATGGATGGTCTGTCCACTGATGCAGCTGCTGTCACTGCTAGCCAAGAAGACAAAGCAAGTCGCGATCTCACTTGGCTGAGCCGGCCTGCCCATCGGCGAAGTGAACTGCTTGATCGCCTCATCGTTCATCGTCGCTGGAATAAGAGGTGTCCAAACTGGCCCGGGCGCAACAGCATTGACACGAATACCTCGACCAACATACTGATTCGACAGACCACGGGTAAACGAAACAATCGCACCCTTGGTCGAGGTGTAGTCGAGAAGATCCGGACGACCAATGTACGCGTTGATGGAAGCGTTGTTGATGATCGTCGATCCCTTCTTCATATGTGGCAGGGTATACTTTGACAAGTAGAAGAACGGGTGGATGTTGGTGTTGAACGTGCGCTCCCACTGGTCCTCAGAAAGATCCTTGATATCCTCAACCATCATCTGATACGCGTGGTTGTTTACGAGGATGTCAATGCCGCCCATCTGCTTGACCGCCGCCTCGACAACCTTCTTGCAGTTGTCACGGCTGGTGAGGTCAGTGGGGTATGTGTAGCATCTTGCTCCTTTCTCTTCCACGAGCTTGACTGTCTCTTTCGCGTCGTCTTCTTCTTCTTCGGGCAGGTAGGCGATGAAGCTGTCGGCACCCTCCATGGCGTAAAGGACGGCGATTGAGCGGCCGATTCCAGAGTCGCCGCCGGTGATGAGTGCTTTCTTGCCCTTGAGCTTCCCGGCGGCTTTGTAGAGTTCGCGGCCGCCTTCGGCGGTGGGAAGATGGTCGACTTGGGGTGGAGGGTCCATTACTGTCTGCCATCCTGGGACCTTCTGGTGCTGGACCTCGGGCTGGTGGCCTTGTGAATGTTAGATATGGAGGTGCAATGGGTTTGTGAAGCTCACCCTGCTCGAATTGTCCTTTGCTTGATGACATTATTGTGTATAGTATCAAATTCTGTTTTGGAATTGCCTTTTCGTGACTGGTGGTCGTTGTTGTTACGAATTGTCAAATGATTTGAGGTGCAACTTTTTATCTGACAGCATCATGTTTGTGACATCACGATGAGGTATCATCGAGCGCAGAAGTGGAGCAATTACAACGAACGGCAACAGCACCTAACAATCACTGAATGTAGAGTGCTGAATATCATATTGGATGAAAAACTCCCGGAATGCTTGCTTATCCTCCATGATTAAGATGTTCCAACGAACCGTTGGTCCACGCCTACCCGAACATCGCCAGCCACGTACAACGACTTCAGCCCTATCCGGCTTCGCCTTAGTGTCTAATGGGGGCGTATCTGAGCAACGCTATTTTCCAGGCAATTAGAGGGCAGGCAACGGGAATTCGATATGCAATTACTTTGCGACTCGACAGTGAAAGCTTTCCTAATGCAAAGCTTGGAACCGTTGCGTGAACATTCACAACGCGATGTCAGGACGTGTGACATCAATGCCGTGGCTTTACCCATACCAGAAATCGGGTAAGCGGCTCGAGATACCACAACTTCGTTGCAAGGGCACAGCTCGAAATCAAGAGCGATGACGGAATTGAAGCTATTCTCGGCTCTCCGCTTGCTATGACATCACGGGGTCAACGGCGGCGCTTAGCCCCTTCCAGCCAAGTCCAGCCACCAACCCCAGCAAAACGTCCATCTTCACTCAAGGAAGCAGTGGCCTGGAAGCTGTCTTGAGATTGAAACCAGCCACACAGGATCCTGATAGCGCTGGCGCACGTCATGCGCCACGCCTGGAGCAAGTGTGTGCGGACCCTGCATGACGTACCCTTGTCTCACGAGCAGATCTATATCCAGAAATGGGCGTGTGAGGGCACAGAATCTTGTTTTTCAGGGTCTGTATTATCGTCGTGAGGGTTGGCAGAAGGTCCGAAATCGTGAAGGAGGGTGAGGTATAAGATTGGGGTGACATCGCATACCGAAAGCTCATCATCACATTCGACACAACTTTAAGACTTCAAATCCAGCTGCAATAACTACTACCAACAACTACCAACCTACCAATACTACAAACACCTCTTATATCCTATTTCATCAATCATGCCTCTCAGCCGCACCTACCGCACTAAGGCTGCTCCCCGCACCACCCGCACTACGCGGTCGACTGCTCGTCCTAGCCTCAAGACCCGTCTTCTAGGCGGAGGTCGTCGCACCTACGCTACCAGGGTGCCAGCTACTACAACTACCACCACCACTACAACCAAGACTACCCGTACCACTGGCCGTCACGGACATGCCACTGCCGCGCCTGTCCACCACCACAAGCGCCATGCCACCATGGGAGACAAAGTGTCCGGAGCACTCATGAAATTGAGGGGAAGCTTGACCAGGAGGCCCGGTCTCAAGGTATGTTGATTCGTCTGTCTTACCCTTGAAGATATATACTAATTACTGTTCAGGCTGCTGGTACTCGCCGCATGCACGGTACCGATGGCCGCAACGCTCGTCGTGTCTACTAGACACGAAGCTGAATGCTTTGAGCACTTTCCGTTGATGTTTGGAACTGTATGATAGGTCGCTGCGATGACTGTACGAGTACAATGGACGATACCCACGAAGATGAGCGTTTAGTAATTGAGAACTTTTATCACAACATTGACTTCTTCCGTGCTTCTCGTGTGAAAAGTGACGTACATGTGGACCCTGTGTAATATTTTAGGTCCCCGTTCAGCGGAGTTCGTCAACACTAAATACACTTTTGTTCCCAACATTTGGGAAGAACTACCCGCAACACACCATTGTAGGAGTGCCTGCATGAAGATGCCTCATCTTGAGAATCAAATAAATCATCGTCCGAAGCCAATGCAACCTGGTTGTTCATTGTGTTACTGAGTCGCAGAACAAGAAGGTCGCGACCGTCGTTGTAAAAGAGACGCATTTCGTCATCAATGCCACAATTTCCCACGAACCCATCAATCGCATACTGCGCCCAGCAGATCCCAAAGCCATCGCATTTTCGTCCACGATGCACGAAACCGCGATGCCGAATGATGATTGGCACCACTGACAAGCGCTAGCGGTTTCAGATGGCTCGTTTCCGCTGCATTGGTTGGGGTCAGGGGTTTCCCCACATCTTCAACAAGTCAAGCTCCGAGATCTGGACGTCACTGTTTGGGACCGAGCCACCAGGGCTTGCATAGTCCAGAATGGCAGGTCACAAGGTGAGAAGTCTTGTACGCTGCTCTCCCCTTCTTCCCTTTCAACCTTCTGTCCTTTCGTTGAGGTGATCAGAACGCAAGGCTGGTTCATCGATAAATTGCTAGGGAGAGAAAGGTCGCGTTGCCGTTGTCGCATCGTCATTTGTTTCTTGTATATATTTTAGTACTTGGGCTGAGAGTTGCCTCTGCGCCATTGTCTCTCCACTTCGTGCCATTATTGCGCTCTTCCGCCTGGTACGAGATTGTAGACTGACGCGTGGCAAGCCCGAAGAACGCGACATTCGTTATCCCAATTCTCTGGCATAGGAGAGGAAAATCAACGTCAACGATCACCTCAACAAGATCTGTTCGCATACAGCCTGTGTTGGAGCGCATTTCTAAATCCGATACCAACTCAGTACAATGCATATATCGCCATCATGGCTGGCATTATCCACGGCATTACTACCTACAGCCACGGCTTTCTATCCATACCATTACGGTGACAGTAATCCCGCCTCACGATCTCGTCGTACCACACCACAATCGTCAGACTCAAAGTCTTCGTTACCCCCGATAAACCTACCGATCCGTCGCGTCCCTTTTTCTTCGAATATCCGAACACGACAGAATGCCTACAACATCGTCAACTCGAATGACCCGAAACAGGCAAACAGTGTGGCGATCGACCAAGACGGAGGTGATCTAAGTTATATGGTTGCTGTCAAGATTGGGGATAGCAAGGAGGAGTACCACTTATTGCTGGATTCTGCTGCGAGCAACACATGGGTCATGGGACAGGATTGCGCGACCGATGCGTGCAAGACGCATAACACTTTTGGCAAGGGAGATTCCAGCTCGTTAAAGGTATTTCTATCAGCATAGAGCGAATGATTGGAGCTAATTATGGACTGTTACAGACACAGGATACGCCTTTCAGCGTGACCTATGGTACTGGCTCGGTTTCTGGAACCCTCGCTTCGGATACTGTACATGTCGGCTCCCTCTCTTCCGCCTTGACATTTGGACTGGCAACCAAAGTCTCGGAAGAGTTCGCATCGTACCCCATGGACGGCATACTTGGCATTGGACGTGGTGTGAAGATCGAAGGCAGCATAGATGCTCCACAGCTCATGGATGTTTTGTCTAGTAACAAACTCATCGGCGCTAAGCTTTACGGGATACACCTTAGTCGTGGCAGAGATGGCACCCAGGACGGCGAATTGAATTTTGGTGAAGTCAACAAGGACAGATTCAGCGGAGACCTCAACTATCTCGATATCATAGAAAACGATAACGGCTTCTGGGAGGTCCCTATTGAGAATGCAGGCGTTGACGGCGTGCAAGTTGGTTTGACCGGGCGCAGCGCGATTATCGACACTGGCACGTCCTTCATCCTGATGCCCGAACCTGACGCTGTCAAAATCCACAGCCGGATCCAGGGCTACAAGCAGGACGCCGAGACCTTCAGTGTGCCGTGCGATACCGCTGCGATCATCCAGTTCTCTTTCAACAAGCAAGTCTACAACATCTCCACAGCAGACTGGCGGGGCGGGAAACTAGACAGCGGTTTGTGTCGAAGTAATATCATTGGGCGTCAGACGTTCAAGGACTCGCAATGGCTCGTGGGCGATGTGTTTCTTAAGAACGTTTACTCCGTGTTCGATTTCGACCAGAAGCGCGTTGGGCTCGGTGTGAGGGGTGTAGAAGCGGCATCGAATCCAAGCAGCACCGGCACTTCTTCGACGTCTCCAAGCACCGTAAATACTCCGGGTCAGACGCCAGTCGGGACAGCGGGAACTTTGCAACCGCCACCAGCCATATCTCCTGGGGTAGCCGCAAATCCTACGACGGCGTCTACCGAGGGGACCCAAGATCAAGGGCAGAGCGGCATGCAAAAGGGCGAGGCTCCATCGGCGGCAAAGGCGCCGTTCCTCGCCATCGTAGTCGCTTTTGCGGCGTCTTCATTGTTTATATTAGCATAGATGAATATTTGTGGGCATGGCGTTTCGTCGGTAATCATGCATCAGGGAACGGCCTGGGGAATCTACGGTTTGGACAAGGACTCGAGATCTGACACTGGCACCGATGCGTCGTTATCTGACTGACACTTGACATATGGGCCTTGGCGCGGCGTATTTTGTTTGGCATTGCACAGCCCGAAGATCTAACGAGTCTGTTTGAGCGAGCGTTCTGTGAATTAATGCAATGTTCTTCCTGTTTTGAGCGTGTTGGCGCTGTGGATTTTCGATCGCGATCCTTTGACCCCTTATCTCGCGAATACTCCACCAGCTATCACTTCGATAAGTCTTTCTAATTGCTTTCGCAGCGCTGATACCTGCGTATTTACCTTAGGATATGCAAACAGATGCAGCACCCATCTTTTGCAATCCAGACCTACCACTATAGCGCGAAACCAACCAAGCGTCGCCCGTTATTTCCCCAGTTGTTTCATCTCACCCGAACATCGCCCGCCCTTACTCACGAACCCACCGCGCGTCACGCTCACCATGGGATTCATGGTACAACGAGTCACGCTTGCATTTCTTCCACCACTTCCTGATGGCGAGGCGCATAAGGCGTGTTTCCCACTAAACCTCCTCGGGTATAGCTGTGGAACGTCCACGCATCCTGTTCATGTCTCTGAAACGCCTGCGGAACGGCTATCCCGGGCACTATCATGAGCGCAAGTAATTCCTCCGGTCGCTTCGCTGCTAGCAAGATTCGACCAAGCCCCATCGCGCAGGCTTGTCCGTGCTTTTGTGTGATATTGCCATGTGTCTGGGTTACACTAGGCTTGTTGGGGATGGGTGGTGAGTTGAGCTCGGTGCTGATGGTGGATGTGGGTTGTTTCTAGAAAACGATGCTCCACTGACAGCGGCATGATGGTAGTTCCGTTTCTTCTGGTAGGTCTGGTGTTATAAGGTGGCGTCTGCACCGATCGATCTTGCTCCAGTCCGTTTTCGACTTATCATTCTTTTGGCCTTTTTACAGTCGTTCATTCATTCCTTTTGAGAGCCTTTTCTTGTCTTCAGCAAATCGATTTTGCTATTCGCTCTTTTCAAATAGTTCTCGATCATGAGGTCTTCTATCATCGTGTCCGCTCTGGCGGCTTTTGTTTCAAGCGTCACTGCTGCTGATGGTGTCAAGGGTGCAGCTGAGGGCTTTGCCAAAGGTACATGATAAAGTCTAGGTCGACATCAAGTCAAGCTGCTAATATCGTCCAGGCGTCACAGGAGGAGGCAATGCCGCCCCGGTCTACCCCAACTCTATCACAGAGCTCAAGAGCTACCTCTCCGACTCCCAGCCCCGTGTTATCGTTCTCACCAAGACCTTCGACTTCACTGGATCTGAAGGAACCGCTACCGAGGCTGGTTGTGCTCCATGGGGAACTGGCTCGCAGTGCCAGCAAGCCATCAACAAGGACAAGTGGTGTGACAACTACCAAGCCAGCGCTCCTAAGGTCAGCAAGATCACATACGACAAGGCTGGTATGGCTGGTATGCCAGTTGGATCCAACAAGTCCCTCATTGGTCAGGGAGCCAAGGGTGTGATCAAGGGCAAGGGAATCCGCATCTCAAACAATGCAAAGAACATCATCATCCAGAACGTCCGTTTCACCGACATCAACCCCAAGTACGTCTGGGGCGGTGATGCCATCACCGTTGACGGCGGTAAGTTCCAACCACTCCACCTCCTCCCTCCCGAAAACTAACATACCACCAGGCGACAACATCTGGATCGACCACGTTACTACCGACCTGATCGCCCGCCAACACATCGTCCTCGGCAACAACGCCTCAGGACGCGTCACAATCTCCAACTGCGAAATCAACGGCGCAACCGCCTGGTCCGCCACCTGCGACGGACTTCATTACTGGGGAATATACCTCACCGGCAGCAACGACATGGTCACACTGCAGAAGAACTACATCCACCACACGTCCGGCCGCTCCCCCAAGGTCGGCGGAAACACCCTCCTGCACGCGGTCAACAACTACTTCTCCGCCAACACCGCGCACGCTTTCGAGGCCGACAGCGGCGCCAAGATCCTCGCCGAGGGCAACATGTTCCAGGACGTCAAGGCCGCGCAGCAAGCCGGTCTGCCAGGAAAGCTGTTCAACAGCGCGAACGCGGCGGCCTGCCAGTCAGGCCTCAAGCGCACTTGCCAGGCGAACTCGTACGGCGCTTCAGGTGCGCTTACGGGCACCGACACCAGCGTCCTGGCTGGCTTCGCGGGCAAGAACATTGCTGCTGCGGGCGCCGCGTCGACCGCCAAGGGCGTTGTCAACACGGCTGGATACGGAAAGATCTAAATCTTGCCCGTCTGTGTTCGTGAAATGAGATGGATTGACCACACAAGTGTCGGCCTTTGAACTGTAAATATTCTCCCTTTTTTCTTGCTGTATATAACCGCATCACTATATTCTATCAATACTTGCTGCTGCTTGCAGGAGCTTGTTTTTTCCCCAAATGTTCTGGAAGCCAGACGTGTGATGCTTGTATTTGATGTATTGCAACCACTAGCCGAATCTCACTTTCCCACTTAATACCCATATTCTCACCCACGCCCCTTCTCTTCCCTCTTGGGAAACCCCAAAGAAAAATTGCTCTTTTCGCAAGCCTTACCCAGTTTATCTTGCAAGTCAAACTAGATGTTAAAGGGGCCGTGGATTGAGTGGAAGATATGATGCGGGAGTGAATACTTGGGTATACAATGATTGCTATTGGACACGGGGGGGCTTTTTGGTGAGCGAGCTGTGATCTGGGATTCTGAGACGCATATGTTGCATTTGCTGGATTAGATGTAGGATAGAAGCACTGTAGAAGTGATTATGATCGGAAGATGGTAGTTCAGTGTACCATTTGACAGGAACTGTATCTCTCTCTCCTTGAAATGGACACACATCACATTCAAGCCTTTCTTCTGCATTTATGGCGACTTGCATTACGTCCATTATCTCCTCTCGTATCCTATCCCATCCCCATCATACAATCTACCCATGACCATTACCACCCCCCCTCTATCCCCACTACCTATTTAAACTCAACAACTCCTCCACATACCTCCTCGC